GGTCTTCGTATGTTCATTGTATGACCCTACACAATGGACAGGAACTTCAATCTTCTACCGGTTTGTACATTTCTTATTCAACTGGTTGCAGTGGCCATTTTCCTAAACGAAATCAAGGGGTCGTTTTCTTTTTAGAGTTTAGGGTGAGGCACAATCGTTTGGGATTGCTTGAGGTTTGTCTTCCACTCGTTTAAACATATAGGCACACACCACGATTCCTCTTCCCTAGTTCTAACCCGAATCTCACTGTATTAACAGCAATTATACGTACGTCCATGATGATGGTCGTCTCATACTGACTCGTGTTGAACTCCCATCCATTCTTGCACGCCACTTTGGAGGCATTGTAGTCGGTGTGGTTGATGTAAGGGTTGAATTTTAGCCCCTCGGGCAGGCCCCACTGGCGGCAGTTGTCATAGTAGTACGGGTCTTTCTCTGGGTAGTTTTCGGCGGGCGGAATGCTGACTCGCTTCACGGCCTCTGTGCACTCCTCCGGCGTGTTCAGCCCAAACGCGGTGCAGTTAGGGCTGAACGTCTTGCACCAGTGGTCGCTCTCGCCGGCGTAGAAGGCGTGCTGCAGGGTGGTGAACGCCCCCAAGTAGTTGACGAGATTCAGGAAGAAAAAGGCGTACCACTGGTACCTTCCGAACCCGCCTAGAATCTCCAACACCTCGTCAAATTTCATCCTGACCGGTGATTATTTCCCAACAAAATCGAGCAGGTTTCATGAAACCGTTTTGACTTAAGGTGTGCTCTTTTCGGTGCCCTGGATGTGTGGCTTTCTTGTGGTTTGTCTCTTCGTTTTGTTTCATTACTCGCTCCCTTCATATCAACCAGAAACAACAAAGTTTTAGTCACTAATCTAATATCTCGAGGTCAATTGTATAGTTGTGCCCGTAAAGCATGCCAAAGCAAACAAAACAATGAAACATTTCAACTTGAAACGGGGTGTGCAGGTACAATCTAATCTTGGTTCCAAACATCCAATTTGCACAGCACCATTTAAAGTGGCGACCAATTTGGACTCAACCCTTGAACTGATCCCCTGATAATGTCGCAGTACAACATTTATAAAGGTGTCTATGCATTATTGAATGCACATTCAGAATTGCATTGTGGTCGAGACTTGAGGCAAAGAATACTCTTCCTCTTAGGAGGAGGAAAAATCAAATATCTGACGCCCCTCCCTCTTTATGGGAAGCATGAACAGCGTAAATAGCAAACAAACAGCTGTGGAACATCTTAATATATAGGCCTTGGGGCACGGGCGTATATAACAAACCCTGGACTTGCAACGCCTTTGTATGAAATAGAAGCCAACCAGCGGCCATGTTACCAAGCCGAATACAAATGCGCGGGTTGGCTCGATTCTACTGATGCCAGGGAGAACAAATTTATATAACGGATTTTGCCCTTACCCAACGTATATATTAATTAACACTGTATGCTCAGTGCTTGTCCGAGAGCTTGCGAAAAAAGTCACAGGCCTACTCAGGGGGACTCCAACCCCTCGACCTCCTGCTTCGAGTCCCACCCGAGTAAGCTTGTGACTTTTTTCCGCAAGCTATCGAGCAAACGCTGAGCATACTGTGTTTATTAATATATACGTTGGGTAAGGGCAAAACCCGTTATATAAATTAACATCTCCCCAACGCAAAAAAAAATACAGCTTGAAAAAGGGAGAACAAAGGCGGGCATTGCCGGGCAAGCTTGTATTCGGCTCGGTAAAATGGCCGCGAGTGGATTCAATGATCTCTATAAGCTGATTAGGCCTAAGGGCATTGCAACTCCAGATTTTTTGTTATATATGTCCGTGCCTAGGGGACGTTTCCTCAGACTGAAGTCGTCCATGCTATACAAAAGAAGATAGCTAGTTTGGGGCTGCCGACCACGCAAAACCTTACACTGTAAAAACTCTGGTGTTAAAATCAACACTTTTGCACTAGAAGGTGTTACAGGTAACACCAAATAACACCAAAATTTTAACACCAGTGAAAAATGCTAGTGCGGTCCTCTGATAACACCGCAGGTGTTAAATTTAACACCCCAGTTTTTGCAGTGTACGCTTCATTTGCTCTGAACAACAGTTCTGAAAGGTAATAAAACAGATTGGTTAACAACAATTCTATAACCAGGCTGAAGTACAGATAATCTTGATTTCTGACTGTACCTCTTCCCCACTGATCGCAAGGTAATATGGGAGGGAATGGACTCCATGTTGTTCTGCAACTTTCGTACGTACAACTTCTGTTCTCTTTCCCTCCGTGGCGTAAACTAAGGCTAAATGTCAGGGGGAACCCAGGGGAGCACACATTTTTCTTCAAGGGGGCACCACAAGAAAATCAGCTGCAGCTGCATTTAAATGGAAATTATTAATAGATTTTAAATGGGGGTGGGGCACCCGGGTCCCGGGCATCCGCTGGGTTGGGAGGCACAAGCCGCCAGTGCCTTCCCCCCCCCCGCACGAGTTACACCACTGTTTTCACCTGTTGTTTGAGGGCTGGGGAAACTGATAGAAGTCCAGATTGATTGGCACCGTGTTAGACTTTTCATTACAGAAAGTTGGGTCAATCAAAATAATAGTGTCAGTCATGTCAAATCAAAACATATTTCCTAACGCAAGTACGCTTTGGAGTCTTTACTTACGTGTACTTCTTCATCGCGTCAAATAGCCCAAAGTTGAATTTGCGGTGTGCTAGTAGGCCATAGTGATGTCACGTAGCTCATGCTAGTTTGTCTGGCATAGAGGTCCCACTTTTCACCAGGTGCCGCCATCAGGGGTGGACTTGCCCTAGGTTTGTTGCTTGATGTCGAACTGAAAGTCATGGGCAATGCTGTCGCACAACCTGTACTCTGAGGTTATCCCGTTGGCAACTCCAGTCAATAGTAGAGGGGTTGTAAAGAGGGAGCCTGGGTGGGGCAGAGGTGTAGTACTGCAGGTGGACGAACCATCGGAGCCAACGCTGCATGGTCAAGGATGATGCTGCAGCGGAATAAAATTGTACGAAGGCCGATAGTGTCATCACGTGCACAGTCTGACCACTGAACATGTTCCAGGCAGCTAAATCCATTCATATCAAACACATCAGGGCGAAGGGTTAGTCAGAAATAAAAGACTATGTCTCAGCTCCGTAGTGAAGTACGAATAACGCTATAGGGCATTACACATGTGGTCTTCCTCGGGATTCTCCTCCAAACTGTGTCAGAGCTTCCTCAGGGCACCAACAGCCGCATTCCCGATCCGTGCGGAGACGTCTTCCTGCACAGTTCCGTTGCACGCTATACGAGGGCCTAAGTTAATTGCTTTCAAAAGGTCAGGATGATTCCTTGCCACCGATCATTTAGGATCGGGTCAGACTCTAAATCAGTGTTAATGATAAACTGTAGTCACTCTAGCATACACTTGGCACCAGCCTTGAGCATTTCGGCAATGATATTGCAGATCCCCGCTGCCCTGCCGCTCTTCATTGATGCTGGTAAGAGCTCTCTGGATCTCAAGAAGGTTCACGGTATCTGTCGCACAGCCAGATGGTGATGGGTGCATGTTCTGCCTCGGTCTGCAGGAATCAGAGGCTCGTTGAGAAGGTTAGAAAGGCGCTGCTGTTGCTCCCGGGCAGGCATTCAAGCATTAAGCACCTTGCCATCCTTGTCCTTCTCAAGGCAGATAAAGTATTTGCGATTGAGGTAGCTGTACTATGGGTGCAAAGCTCCCTGAACTTGGGCCAATGATCATGATGATTAGTTGGAGCACCAGCACTGTCCAGCTCCTTCTTCCAAAATTCCTCTTCGTCCCGTCCAAGAACCTTCTTTCTTTGGCGCAGGAAACTGAGGCTTTTCGCGTGATTTCTCGTTAAACGAGCTTCGATCCTGCGCTCCTCTATTAGATTGAGGGTAAACGAGATATCGAGATGCCGGGTTTTTGCAGTTTCCTTCGGCGGTGGAACACATTCTGTAGCCGCCTGGAGACGTCCTGTTGGAATGTGTCCTACTGAGCATGTTCATCTTGATTGGGCAAGAGAGCTGAGAATCTGTTAAAGACTTCCATTGCGAATGCAACTTGGGTTTGGGGGCCCTTTGTTACATGCACTGCTGTCACATGTCACGTAAGTCTCAGCTGAGTGGCTACCGGTACCCATCAGCTTTTACGCTGGATGTAAGCAATGATCAGGCGATGGTCGGTGGCATCGAGTTCCCTACACGACTTTTGCGTCAGTTTTGTACCGAAGACAGCCATCGATGGTCGATGAGACTGTGATTTATCATCTTTCGGGTAATGCCGTCATAGCTGATCCAAGTATACTGGCTATTCGCTTCCTTTGCGGATAAGTGTTTGCTACAGGAGAGCAGTGAGTATAATGGGGCGTTTCCCATAGTCATTTTTGACAGAGTCGAGGGACACAGACCTTGATCTTGGACAATTATCTCAGGGGATTCAGACAGGTTTGATTATTCTTAGTACAGAGGAGAGTAGTTAGCAGGCACCGAATAATTCTCCCTTTTTGGTGTGTGCTTTTTGGTGACAAAGCAACGGTAAGTATAGGTTTTCCCGGCCAATTTCGGAAAATGTGTAAATGAATTAGCAATGGCAGCATTCGTTTTTGAGCGAAATGGAACAAGCATTCAAATCCCCGCCTCTACTTAACAAATAAAAACTTTCTTTCAACGAGGGTGCATTCAGTCGTATAGAGTCAGCGTTCAATTTCCTGAGTTTAGTAGTTTAGTAGGTTGACATTTATTTTTGCGCGAAATCAAATGCACCTCTGCAATCCTGCATTCATGCTAATTTGAACTTAATCTATTTCGCAAAATATGCAGGGGATTCGCGCAAAGTGTTATTTAACTTATGCCTGGTCAAAAATTGGAATTGTGTGCTAAAAGAAGTTACATTGTTAGAAATGTTTAGTTGAATGGTTCAACGTTTGAATATTCATGATTAAAAAATAAACCATTCATGTTGTCTTTGAAAACATACCGACTATTGTACGAATCCTATACAAACACTGACACTGAGGTAACCTTCCTTTTGGAGCTACATTTTTGCCACAATCACATCGTAGAGCAAGTCAAAGGTTCATAATTGTCCTTCTTGCAAATGGCTAAACGGGAAGATGCAGAGAAATGGACTTTAATTGGTGTACAGTTTGATAACAAACACACTATAATCCTTCATGGGGCACCCGAACCGACTACCCATCGCTACTTATAAGTGAGGCCTGTGCAGCAAAATAGCCATGCTCTAACTGTGATGGTAATATATTATCATATGATGCAATACACTAGACACACTTATGAGTGAGGCTTGTTCGAGCCTTCTGCTTGCAAATTTTCTTGACGCTGACTAGCCTTAGTTATAAGTGTGCCACTGTATTGCATCATACGATAATATATTAGCATCATCACGGTTGTTGCAGGCTTTTTTGCTGCACAGGCCTCACTTATAAGTAGCGGTGGGGAGTCGGATCGGGTGCATGAGTAACATTGATTTTCAAAGTGGTGTCATGATTTCTGTAACCCTGTTTATTTCTATTCAAATTGAACGCATTTTCTGTGAATGTGGATTAAAGCAAATGAAAATGAATACTCAGTACCGGCGGTTTACGGTAAGAGACAGATTGTTGGTGAACAAGATTGCACATTGGCTATAATTGGCAACGAATAGAGGGATCCCAATACGACGCTTTTAGCGTCGATCTGCGCACTTCCGCGTTTGAAAACGAGGCTGTATGTGTCAGCTTCAATTCTGAATACGATCAGACAATTGAAAGTAAGGAGTTAAGACACAAAATACATAAAGGTTTTCAGACTGCAAATTTTTGTGACTCGACACGTAAAATCAAAAGAAAAAATAACGACGATTGACCGCAACTAACGTACCTGCGATGGTCGTGCATCTTGTGCAGTGGGTGCGGTTTAAACTGAAGTGGCGTCACACTTACGAACCAGATACTCAATTTACTCTGTCGATTCCGCGGGCGCGTGCGACGAAGTTCAACACAGAGAGCCTCGGTTTCGATGCAGATATGCGCAGACGGCGCTAATGTGAAATCCGTCTATACGTCAAATCGAAATCCCAACCACTTATTCGTAACCTCTTAAATGAAACGTAATACACATTTATTTATTTATTTGAAGGATGCAAAACGAATGCTTGTATTATTGCGAAAATGAAACTAGGTTGTGAGTTGTTTTCAGATCCACTCCAAATTGAAGTTTTAGTTTACAACTTAAACAGCGGATTTTCCGAAATTGGCCAGGAAAATAATACAGAGCTCGTGTGACAGAAAAAGTCAAGAAAAACTGCCACTGGTAAGTATTTCAATGCCCATCGGTGTTACATGACACAATATATGATATCTTATTCAGCACAAAAAGCAAAATCTACGACGTTGGTGACTGAAATAATTGCTTGATAACTTAAATCTAAACTATGCCTTCACAAACAATAGATTACAGGATTTTTAATGAATTACTCTCCATGAATAACCCAGATTCACAGTTAAATGAACCTTAAATTTCCTCAGTTTGTCGAATATTACATTTTCATGTACAATACTTTCTCAAGACATTAATACGGCTGATTATGAAAAAATAAAGACACTTATATAACATTTGGCATATCCAAAAGGAGCTAAGAATGATATTTCTCTGTCTCAGTCTGTATATTATTGACGTGACAAATGACTGGATAGTTTTAGGTGCATATAATATATATAAGAAGCCTTACGTGAATATGCATGGCAGTAATATAATTATTGTTTAAAGGATAGTATACCCCGTTAAAAAAGTACTCCACCTGGGCGAAATACTAATCCATTCGGGCGAAATAGGTGTTTCGTCATTCGTTATTATGCCTCGGAACAAAGGTGCGCAGTGACTTAGAATTCAATTTATCCAGTGACCTTTACTTTAATAAATTACTTTGTATACTTCTTTTTAAACAGCACAGAAGCCTTAAATAAACAATGTAATAATACTTTCCCGGGCAATAATATCACATCCTCAAGCATCGCTACTGAACTATTATTTTCTTGTATACCTTCTAGTACCTTTCACCTCCCCCAAAAAACCTCAGGTCTCACCATCCTTCATCCCACCACAATGCAACTCTTTCACTGTGCATCTAATACCCCAGGCAATTCAAACGTCAGAACTCACTGTTTAACCACTTGTGGTCCAAAGGAACAAAAAACTGGAATTTTTCTTAAAGGCATTTATGGGATCAAGCCTTGCCCGACTGAGAAGTCTTACTTTGTGGGCGTGGCTGCTCAGAGGGTTTTGCTTGATCTTTCTTGTTTAATGTAATTTGGTAAGTAGAGAAATGTAGTAGATTTTTTACTAACCCTTTACTAACTGTATCTCAAACATCACATTAATTAATGGTTATCTGAATCACTAAGAGAGTTGGTAGCCTTATCACCGTCATCATTATCTTTCTCACTCGAGTCTACCCTCTCACTACTGTCTTAGTAACCTTTGCTTTCCACATTATCACCTTCATCACGAGCCTTAACACCGTCACCATCATGACCCATCTCACCACCGTCACTGCTGTTTTTATCACCATTGGTGTTTACCTTCTCACCGCCGTGTGAGCGATCTTTGCTCCCTTCAGTTTGATCACCTTCGTCAATAGCCTCATCACTACCATCATCATTGCCACGATCAGAAGCCCCTTTACCTCCATCATCAGCCTTTTCACTTCTGTCACAAGCCTTGTCAACACTTCCACCACTTGAACTACCGTCACCACTGCTACTAATTTTATCACCATCATTGCTATCGTGGCCCGAAATATCATTACCACTTTTGGTAGAATTGTTACCGTCATCACAATCAGTCCCAGCCCCATTATCACCCTCTTCTTCAACTGGTTTGTCGACCACGATCAGCACGGGTTCTTCCTCAGGCAGTGATCCCTTGTCAATTTCCCTCGGGTCCTCTATCGAATCGTCCATTCTGCCTGGCGTCTCCGGTGACGATCCTTCCAAAGCGGCGTTGCCTGATATCCCTGGCCCGGGCATGGAGCCGTTCTCCCCCTCGGCTTTCTTCTGCCTGGGTTTCTCCGGGAATTGGCAGGATTTCTCGTTCACGGTCTCGTAAGGTGGGGGAGGTTGGGCGATGCAAGCGTAGTCATCAGTGTCAGGTACGAAGGCAGGGTTAAGAACGTCTTGCCGGTTCACGTCCATGTCTACCTCCTCGACTAACGAATCAGTGTCATGATAGCGGTTGCGACCCCATGCCCATTTCTTCATAAAGTTAAACCTGAATAAAACATCCAAATAAGCCAACTATACCAACCAGATTTTAAAAAATGTATCTCTATGTACTAAATTCGCTATCGTTGCGAAATATAAGGTTTCAGATACATTACATGTTTACAACCTCAAGCAATAGTAACGAGTATACCAACCACTGACGATGAATATCGAAGGGGTCATAATCTTATATGACACCCTCCGAGTAGCCCCTGGCCCCTAAATCACACCCTTCCTCTATGAGGTGATTGTGGTCTCCAGGTCAGTTCCCGGTCATGCCTGAACCTAAACGACTGTTTTATGGTAGGTAATGCATCCCTGAGGTCCCCTCTAACTAGAGTCCATTCATCTGCTATGGAAGTATAAGTAATACCAGGTCACAACCCAAACAGCCGGCCAGTCAACACATGTCTGTCATCAAAGAGATCCACTTCCTGATAGCGACCATATGGGATCCTCGGGGTGACTGATCTTTCAAGAATTTTAACTCGGCAGTGGTTGGGGTCTAGCCAATGGGAGTTTACAGGCTAGTGGTGTATGCCTAGGGTGAGGATTACAAAAAAACTTTGCCAAGTTCGCCCACTGAAAAAAAAGTTATGACCATAAAATGTGGTAAAATGTGTCGATCTCAATGCCCGCGCCGTTGACACCAGGGTTTTAGTCCTAACTGACCTTTGTAGCTTTCTAAGAATTTTCCGAGGAGTATATCACAGTACTCAAATACCTCTTTTTATACAGCTCCCTCTGTAGTTTTTTAATACAGTGCTTAATTATGTCACTCTATCATATCATTAGAGTGATTCCTGCTTGCCTCCATGGGCAGGGGGAGGGGCAAGGGAGGGCGTGCCCCTTTCAAAAAGGGCATGTTTTGGTTCTTGAAAAATAATGAGAAAAAGAGGATTCGCAAGAGAAACTTTACTCTTTTCCTCCCAACAGCTTGAATAAAGAAATGAAATTTTGCCCTACCCCTCATAAAGGCAAAAAAAAGTTACAGAAATTTCCAAATCCCCCTCCTCCCAATTAACATTTTTCCCCTCTCTAAAAACTTTGGTTCCGGCTGTCTTTGGAATGCTGGGCTATGACCTTTGGTACTACGCGTGCTTACAGAAACAGCCGGATTCACCTCCACTGATAAGTATGTATCATTCCGTTAATGCTGCACTGGAAAACTAAACCCAGGGTGTCCGTAGACAGATAGATGCCAAAGGGCCAATAGGGAGGCGGGAAAATCAGGTAATACCACTCACTTGCCAAACTCCTCCCCATCTCTCATAGTCTCCGGGAGCTTCTCGCCTTTGGTTTCCGGCAGTGGGATGAGGAGCAGGCCCGCTGTCAACGCCACTGTGCCGAAGACGATCAGGTGAAGGTCGTCGGTGATGTTCTCGTTCTTGGCCAAGTTCAGGATGAGCGGGGCAACGATGCTGCCCACCCGGGCGGTCACGGAGCACAGCCCTATCGCAACGGTCCTTTAAGAGATATCAAGAGTTTTACCAATCGGAGTATTACATTCATGCCACTCACGTTCAAAATGTCCCAATCAGCAGTCTATACAGCCTCTGAATGTGTTAGTGCAATCGTGGCTTTTGCAAAGAAACGGTTGGCGAACTAAGGCCGTCAATACAACAACAAACAACAACAGCATTAAATGACTGCATTAAATGATCAACAGTACTGCTAATTAATAAATCAGAGAGCCTCTCTCTTTATATATGGAGCAAATGTGTATTTTCAGGTAAAAGTTGCCGCCGACCAATTGCAAAGTACAGCGGCTAATGTTTGCTTTACGAAAAACCGTACATGTATTTTTAATAGGAAAATCAAAGTTTGGATGAGAAAAAGCACCTTGTAGTAACTTTGTAGTAATGGTTTTGCACCGCTCTGCTGGCTCCTGTTGGCTCTTGGCTCAGGAAACATTAACTTGTTTAATATTCACTGAGATGAGGAAATAAAATGGCGCGACTACACAACCAGACAGGCTTACTCAGTTAACTGACTGGTTTCATTTTAATTCTGGAATTTTTAATCTGGTGTGGAACCTTTAAATTTAGTAAGTAAATCACAAGCCACCTCCTTCAATATCAAAATGAAATATCGTGACAATGTTTCTTACCTCAACTTTCAAGGAGTAGGTAAGGTGTTGCGTTCTGAGAATTGGAAAGCGGATAACTTTGATAGTGGATCTTGTGGATATCGGGTTGTGAGGAAAGTGGATAGTGTGGCTAGTGCATATAGTGGATAGTGGATACTGAGGATAGTGGAGGCTGAAGGCTGCGACGTAAAATCCAGATCGCCCAATAATCACAAACAATCTTTTTCAGTACTAACAAATGAGTCTTCAGCTGGACATTGCCAAAAATTTCCAGCCCGTGCTGAGGACCTTTTACGTTAGCTGACTTACCGGACTGGTGTAGGGCAGAGCTCACCTGTCCAGAGATAGACGATGTTGAATGTGGCCGTTATACAGAATTTCCCCACCATGGCTACAACCGTTCTCGCAACTGCATTCTCTGTTGATTGAACCAGGAAAGTCGATGACTGAATATGCCTGTCACTTAAATACCAAATTCTACACAGTTTTCCCTAGTCAAAATGTGCATACCAAAACCCCATTGAAAACAACCCCACACACACTCTTCAAAAGGTACATTCCTCTTTCTGGGAAAGCGCATGCACCTTTTCTTTAAACTGAATTGTGAATGCTATAATTTTGGTATTCAACTTGGGTAAAGTTGTGAAAAAGTATCCAAATGTTCCTGGATAGCGGTATTTATTGAACACATATTGAATTTTAGAAAACCCATTACAATCAACAGTCACTGAAAATTTTGCTAAAGAGGGGCTTTGGTATAATTTTGCCAAAATCAGCGCAGTGAATCGAAGAAGCAATAACATAAATACCTTGCAAAGGCTCAAAATTCTGCGCAAAAGTGTTCACAACTTACTGTGACAGTAAAGTGGAATGCTATAGCATTGCTCATCATAACTACAACTTTTCAACCCACTGCTGTTATTGACATGTGATACTCTCGTAAGAGTTTGAGGTAGAAAGTTTGTAACCGATGGTTTATAATTTAATTCCTTCATGTCGGTGTTAGTACACTTATAATGCACAGCTTCGGAAAGACATAACGAGTGGGACCAGCGCTAACCATCGCTATGAAATTGATGTTGGTGCTTTGCATGATGTACTGGGGCCTAGGGCCCATGACGCACTCAGTCCAACATAAACCCTAACTCTCTGACAAAGTCCCCTTGTGCCGTTACCTATGAAGATCGTGGCTAGGCAGGCGGCGCCCCCTATCAGCTCCAGGATGATCATGTTCATCTTGCGGCCGAAGACTCGCACACCGACGGTGGCGTAGATCAGGGCGGGGATCTCGACTGCCCCGAAGAGGAAGAAGGTCCAGTACTGGTCGAAGCCCAAGGACTGCGTGCTGAAGGCCAGGCCGTAGTACACCATGCTATTCGTCATCCTGAGTAAACCAGTACAAGTATAATATACATAGAAACACTATGGATCTAATGATTTGCCATATGGGCCTTGGGCGGGACCAAGAGAGGGCACTATTTTCTTCGCAACGGGGGCTCCTTTAGTCGAAGCTGAGCTTTGCTGGTACAAGTAGAACACTCACGAATGCATGGGCCTAAATCCTGGGAGGGGTGGATACATCCATTTTCGGGGAAGGGAGGGGAATAGGCCATGTGGTGAACCCAAATCACTGTTGTGAGGGTTCATTAAGATTAATTTTGTTGTTTTGTCGCTTCGTTGTTGATTTGGTAAACGACTATATGCCAGTAAGTCAACTTTGGCTTCATAATTTGCTTAGCTCACAGGCCCATAGCCGGGGAGGGATATAATAACAATCCATTCGCACGCTCTTGGTTTGGACTGCTTTTCTCACACCGTAACGATAGACAGCGCTACTTTAAAGTGAAGATGGGAGTGTAAAAACAGCATTTCAGCCAACTGCACTGCAAAATCTGGGGTGTTAAATTCAACACCCCGGTGTTATCAGAGGACTACACCAGCATTCCACTCGTGCTGAAAGGTTTGGTGGTATTTGGTGTTACCTTTAACACCCTCCCGTGCACTGTAACACTTATAGGTGTGCAAAGTAACACCAGCGGTATAAAAGTAACACCATAATGTGGTCATGTTATAACACTTTAAAAATCTTGATTTTAACACCACAGATTTTGCTGTGCACACGCTTCCCAAAAAAAAAAGAAAGTGAATTGACCAAAAATCGCCTTATCTTTGAACGGCAACAACAGCACAAGTATAAGCATGGCTGCCGCAGCAGCTGCAACAACAGCAACAGCACAAGTATAAGCATGGCTACTGCATCAGCTGCAACAACATCAACAGCAATAGTATAAGCATGGCTACTTCATCAGCTGCAACAGCGACAGCAGTAATATAAGCACGGCTACCGCATCAGCTGCAACAACATCGACAGCAATAGTATAAGCGTGGCTACTTCATCAGCTGCAACAGCGACAGCAGTAGTATAAGCATGGCTACCGCAGCAACTGCAACAACAGCAACAGCAATAGTATAAGCATGGCTACCACATCAGCTGCAACAACAGCAACAGCAATAGTATAAGCATGGCTACCACATCAGCTGCAACAACAGCAATAGTATAAGCATGGCTACCACATCAGTTGCAACGACAGAAACAGCAATAGTGTAAACATGGCTACCGCAGCAGCTGCAACAGCAACAGCAAAAGTATCTGCAAAAGATGTGTTTTGAAATTAGTAACAACTCACCAGTTGAACTGCAAGATGAGGGTTCTGAAACACAGGTTGGGGGTTCGGTACAGATCAATGAACGAGGGCAAGTGTCCTTTTGACGATTCCTACCAAAAAAGGTTAGTACGTAATTTATGATAAGCTTGCCTTTGGGTTTTAAACAAGGCATTCAATCAGTCAGTCCCCTGACTGAATGAATCAGAGTGCAAAGAATTTCTAATTCTCAGCAAAACTCTAACAAACGAGTACGTCAGGAGCAGACAAAACCTTGCCAACAACTACCGACTTCAAATCTTTTCGGTGGTTTCATCAACACATTACAGATCCTGCCAATGGAATTTGACCGATTTCCACTTCAGTGAACCGCGCTCACTGAAATTCTCCCTAAAGAACACACACACATCATCAAGCCAAGATGATGTTGATAAGAAAACCAAATTTTACTCTATCTGGTACCATTTTAAAGAGTGAGGTGTGTAATTGCCTGGGTATGTCCTGCCAAGGAACACGCGCGCCTGGCATTAGTCTCACCTTATAGTTTTCGATCTCCTTCTCGTCAAAGATCTTCTCCGGCAGGGTCTTTTTGTTCCACTTGCCCACCTTCCTGATGACCTCCTCGGCCTCCTGCACTCGGCCCTTGGACAAGAGCCATCGGACGGACTCGGACAGACCTCTGCAAGGAGGAAGCGACACAAGTACAGTGTCACGTTTGATGGAAACTAACTGATCGGTGTACGCACCAGGGCACACAGACAGTTTGTATGCAATAGCAGCACACTACTGTACACATAATGAACAGCCATTTAGTTTCAGAAATCTGAAACTGGTGCAACTGTTTCTGTATTCAGCTTTGGCACACCGCAGAGATGGAATTTGTACGATTCTTGCATTGCCCTTTTTGCCTAGTTAGACTGTATTTTCTGTTTCCTTTTCGGTCCGGTTTATGTTTACGGTGTGTTGGTAGTGTTTACGTAATCAGTACGACTTGGAAAGGGTGGAACGACGACCAACGACGAGCTAGTGACCTTAACAGGATTAAGTGGCGTACATGACACTACGACTGTGACGTGGAAATCCTGTCTGAAACATCCAACTTCTACTTACAGCACCAAGAACACGCTGAGGAAAACTGGAATGATGGGTATGAACGCCAGTACTCGCCACTGTCTTATCCCCATGGCAACGAGGGCGACTGTCATATATCCCAATGAGTACGAAACTCCTATGAAAACCCCGGCCACAATGCGCCATTTGGCAGATACAAACTCATTTACTGAAAAAAAATCAAAAGGTAACAGTCAAAGGAAAAAGTTCTTATTCGCCCTAGATCTTGCTACAGTAACGGTCTTCCTATGTTCTACTTTGTTACTGCAGTAACAATCAATCAGTTAGGATCGTGCAGTTGGTGATTTTGTTTCGTACGATGTATTTCGTGTTTTGCTGTTCACTGTAAAAATCATGCCACAGTCATGCTTGCAAAAAGTGCTTCTCCTGTATTTGTTTTAATGGGCCACATATTCGCTAGTTAAGGGCAGGTTGGGAAACTGTGTGGAAACTGCATTTCAAAAACAAGGGGATTTCCTTTGCTAGAAAATATCGTGCAGTAAAGAGTGGATCGCTTAAGAAGTTTACCCATGATATCACTTTTTGCGAGGAGGATGGGTTGTTTCCAATCGCTTGGCATTTTGTGCTCTCTAATGTTCAGGCACCGCCTGAATAGCAAACAGAACTGTGTGTTTTTCACTTACCCAGAACGTATGCAGGGATCCAGCGACCCAGCTGCCCCGTTCCAGTGATAAATCGCACAATGTAGTAATGCCAGGTGGCGCTTGTGAAGGGCGTGGCCAGGACGCCTAGAAACCACACCACCACTGCCAGCATCAGCGCTCTTTTACGCCCCCACCTGCAGAAATAGTTGAACCATTTCAAATCCGCTGCTGGTACCTGGTCCCCTTCAAGGGCAAATCTCATGACTGTGTGCAACCTGATTTGTGACTTTTGGAAATAACGAGCGCGTCTATAGACTAATTCGATTATAACTACGTCCGCGCTGCACTCACACGCAAATTCATAAGCTTGACGTGCGACTGGCAAATGACGACACCCTATTGGTCAAAGAGGCGTGTAACGCGCGCGTACCACCTGTCCAGAGTGCTGCGTCACCGCAGTAATGGCTTCTCATTCTGGTTGTGGAATTACACTTCAGAAGCCGCCAGATAGTGGCTTTTTGCATCTCTCGTAGACTTATGTATTTTTTTCCAGATGCAGCCAAATAATTTGGATGCATTTTATTACAATAAATTTGTTGAAGGATGCTTGGGCGACGCAGAGCAGCGCTGGCAGTGCTCTGCCTTCATCGTGATGGTTCTGGCCCGCGCTTCCGTTGAAACAAGGTCGCAGTTCAAACGTTGAACTTCTACTGTGCTTAGGCCTATGCGTTAAAAATAATCCCCCAAAATTGGAAATAAATACGGAATAAAGTCAATGTTTCAAGTGGAGCGATAATTTCACGGTGCTTTATGAATTTAGGAAATCTTCCATATCCTGCCGAATGGACAAATCGAGAACACATGTGAGGTTAAACCTTATTAATAAGATTTGCAGATAACCTCGTTAAAAAACCTCTGATTTTATTAGTAATGATAAACATTTCAATGTTAAAAGCAGAATGTTATGAATTAAAACATCACTCTTCTTAACGAGGTTCGACAGTAATCGGCTTGAATGACACTTTTTGAATGGTTTTGTTGTTACGGATTTTACGACTGTCTGCGTTGCCATGATAAGTGTTCATTTCAAGAAAATGTAAGGAACGAGCCTGCATGCCCCTACCATTGAGTTCTTAAAACTTTGGATTTTTGAGTGCAGGCCAGTTAGATCAGCGCTGGTAAAGGGTACATCTACTTCACTCAACCCCGCCTCCTAATATGGTCCAGCCATAATGGAGGTCGGTCAGACGTATGAGCAGTGTGATGCATACGAAATGCGCGGTGTGTTTATGGATCGTTGTGTGAAGAACGGGAGGGTAATGAGTAAAAGGTAGGATTGGGGGGGATAGTCGGTTACATGGTCGATCCCCCCCCCCCAAATTTGGTCTCGAGAATTGGAGAGATAATGGATCACTGCGGACGACTTTTGCTAGGAATATCTGATCGAGAAAGGCAAATGTATGTGTTTGTGCTGCATTCAAAAACCCATGAATGAGTAGGAGTGCTGTAAGGCACACAGGGTCGTATCTTCATTGGTAATCCACGCAAAGTTGTAGAAATATTGTCTAAATTAAGCAGTAATATATCAAAAACACTTTTTTCATTTCGTGAAGTAACAGCAGCATTCTGTTTTATATCATACATTGAAGGGGTTGGTCACTGCGTGAAAACATCAACCCACTGAAAAACTTGCCCAACACTTGTGAATTACGGCTGAGGTACACGTAGGTAATCAAGGAAGGTTTTAATTGTCAAATTGATAGAAATAGATGAACGTATCACTGCGATAAAACATCACTTCAGACTTAAAATAATTTCGCTCACCAATCAGATATGACACCAAAAAGGAAAGAGCCGGCCATGAAGCCGCCGAAGAAGACTGACGTCATGATGTTTGTCGCGCCCCCATCCTCACAAACAAGGTTCCACTGACCACATGAAAGCAACAACAGTGCACTATTACTTTCATTAGCGTAGCATTTGGGGTTGGGACTACCCCCCCCCCGAAAGTTTGTCAGGAGTGCCCACCCTGCAATAGGCCTCTTGCAAGTTGAATTTGAATAAAATCTGGTACACTGTGTTATCTAATTGCATAGAAACGTATCAATTTGAATTCCCCAGACTAAAGACACTGTTGCTATACCTCGAGATGTTTGCTGTTGATTTTTGCTTTTGCATAGCAACCACCATCCCTGGAATGGACTGGTTCCTCTGTGCCGTTCTTATCCATTGAGAACAGTTTATTGCCTTTTACACACAGGATTGTGCGAGTGACGTAGTCACTTCGGCACTCTACAAGATGAGGTTAAATCTTTGCATTAGGCCTCATGCAGAATTGTATAATCAACTTGTTTTATAATCATATACACAGCTAATAAATGTACGATGTTCTTTCCCTTCAACCACAAAGCTCTCGAATTCACAGTACACAGCAATTATACGTACGTCCATGATAATGGTCGTTTCAAACTGGCTTGTGTTGAATTCCCATCCGTTTTTGCAGGCCACTTTGGAGGCATTGTAGTCGGTGCGGTTGATGTAAGGGTTGAATTCCAGCTCCTCGGGCAGGTCCCACTGGCGGCAGTTGTCGTAGTAGTACGGGTCTTTCTCTGGGTAGTTTTCGGCGGGCGGAATGCTGACTCGCTTCACGGCCTCCGTGCACTCCTCCGGCGTGTTCAGCCCAAACGCGGTGCAGTTAGGGCTGAACGTCTTGCACCAGTGGTCGCTCTCGCCGGCGTAGAATGCGTGCTGCAGGGTGGTGAACGCCCCCAAGTAGTTGACGAGGTTCAGGAAGAAAAAGGCGTACCACTGGTACCTTCCGAACCCGCCTAGGATCTCCAAGACCTCGTCAAATTTCATCCTGATCTGTGATTCTTTTCGAACAAAATTGAGTGGATTACCATTAAATTAAGAACCCGTTTTGATGAACTTCTGCTGTGCTTTTTTCACTGCTCAGGAGGCGTATTCTATTTCGGTTTTCGTCTCTTTTCAGCATGTTTGCAGCCTCGCGTTCGTTATCTCTCCTATATCAGCCAGGAACAAATAAGTTTTAGTCGCCCATCTTTTAAGGTCAAATGCGTGGTTCTGTGCTTGATCAACGAATGCCACAAAAGCAGGCCAAAGCAAATCAAACACAGATATATTTTGACTTCAGTTTGGATGTGCAAATTTCTCTTTATTCAGAATTTGCACGATACCGTTAATGGAGGCGAAAATCTGCACTCAACCCTTGAACTGATCTTTGATAACAGCAACGCATAGACTTCATATTAATTTGTGTAATGACTGCCCGCTAAGTGGTTAGTAAGCATTTCTTGTTTACTTTGTCATTTCCAAATAAACATTAACAGAACAACTCCATTCGGAAGAACTTTTTATCAACCTAACCTGTACATGCCACAAAACAGAAGAAATAGTCACTGACAGCGTGCGCAAAATAAAAAACAATTACGCCACTTACGACTCAACGCAATCGCTCAAGGCAAACGGCCAGACTTGTGACCCTCGAATCCACACCCAGGCTGAAGTATTGGTGATATTGTTTTCCAACAGTCCGTCTCGTCTGCACTGCAACTAATGTTAACAAGGAGCAGATGAAGAATAAATGGATCCACAGTAGCACTGCTGCTGTATTTTGGCCCTAATTGTTGAAAAGATAAAAGATGGTTTTTAGTGGGGAAACAAGATTTTATTTTCCTGAGCCGCCACACCCAAACATTCCTGAAGTCAGTCAACCTTACCAGAATGATGGGCTGAGTGCCAGTTGAGTTGTTATTGGTAGATGTAGCCACTTATGTATTAATTTGAATAATGAATATTTATGAAGGGTATAGTACACAAAACATGTTGAGTTCTTTGGAATGAGGCGTGGCAGTGCTGGAATCTTTCCTTCGGGTTTAGAAGAAAAGATATGGGTTGATGTGATCAGTTCATTGCTGGATTCCGAGGAGAGGGCAGCGGCCAGCCTCGATGAATTGTAGTCGTGAGTCGAGTTAGTCTTGAGATGAGTGACTTCTAATTATGGAACTAGAATAAACTACATGTACGTTCAGACTGAAAGCCAGGAAACGCCCAGTTCCTGGGTTTTACGTCAAGAGGAAGAGGGAGTCGGTTGACCGGTGGTGACAGAAAGGTTGGACCGCGGCGGCGGGACGCAGAAACTTGCCGAGACAGCCACAGGCCACAGAAGCCGACTACCCCGCAAGAAACAGAAGCAACATGGTGGCGGGACATTGAGGCGCTCATCACCTCATTTCTATTGTAATTAAAAACAATGTTAATGTAAGAGATGATCCTTATTTTGTGTTCTTTTATAAATAAATGTAAATATTGTACAGGCAAAACAAATTTCCAGCAACAGGTGTGTATTATATTCGTGTCTAAGCTACCAAAGGTATGTCCCCAAGGGTAGGATAACTCTACGGGTGTCACAGGGTGACAATGTAGGCTCATGGAACTCACCCAGCGCCTTGTCTTCACAAGACGGGTGGAAGGTTACATGTCCATGCGCTACCTGTAATGCAGCATTACAAAATTACCCAATCTGAAAACATGTAATGTAGTGTGGGAAAACAGAATTTTTATACTTGCTTTAATACAAGCACCGTTGTGCATCAAGTGTGGTCAACAATACTCCCTTTGATGAACGCCGCTGTATCTGGGCAGATGACCCTTCACGCATATAAACAAAAGGTCCTTCCGCTATCTCTAAAATAAATTTAACTTACGATATTCCTCGTAAATAGGTGGAAATATGTAATGGAGACGTTTGACTAATATAGAAACACTTTTTTGGAATCTATAAGATAGTTCAAGGGATCATTTGTGTACTTTACCTATTTGAAAGTGCGTGTAGTTTAATTGCGGATCAATAACTTGACTCTCTACGAGTGTTTGGCCACAGGACGGGGTGCTCACTGTCTCTGTCTTTGACAGCTGCTGAGCACAGACCACAAGTGCCTCCGACCGGTTTTGGTCAGAATTCCATATTTGGAAGGATTTCTATGTATGATACACCCATACGAACGGTAAGCTTATTGTTGCTTATACCTTTGAGTAATGGACTTTGGGCTGAAGGAATCACTATGTTGCTTAAAAGAGGCTGTTTTTGTGAACGTTTTGGAAACATTCTGACGTGTGTATCAGACATGTGCGTGTAGTGCATAGTGCAACCAACCAGTACCCGTTCGCGTACATGTAGGCCTATTGTTTACCGCAGTATAGTCTTGACTGAGAGCGAGAACTACTGGCTTGGGGTGTTTTCTTCGGTTCAACATTGGGTTAAACCTAACAGTCCTCGGTCCTCCAACAGGTGAAGGATTGAGGACTGTTAGGGTTAATGCCACGTCCGCTTTCTCACCACTGGATTGGCCACTGATGTTGCATGGTGATAATAGATAAGAGTACAGTACACCACAGATACCTTGTCCTGGTGTTGAGTTCCGTTTGAGTGGTCCACACCCTCGTCACCCGAGGTGGATTACCTACCCCCTCCTTGGCGGGAGCAGACCCGCCCATGTTCCACGACAGTAGTGAAAATGTCAATTGAATACGGAGAACTACAAGCGCATAAGTTCATTTAAATGTAAGTTGCAGAGGTGCACACAGAGGTGAAAGGGTTTGCGCATAGGCAGTAAATTCTGATACATACATGTACGCGATGCATGCCAAGATCGCTGAGCAACCCGGTTAGAGGTCACAGAAAGTTGCGAATTACCCACAGCGTACGGTGGTGTCACTGCAATGCATGCACGATGTACAGTACATGTACATGTACACGGTACAACATACTTAGGAAACACGTGGACAATTGACTTATGATAGGAATCACGAGTAAGGCAAAGAAAAGCTCCCCATGTTCATTTGAAAGTAATTGTAAAACGATTATAAAAGGAATACTAACTGACTTGGTACTCTTTAAAAACAAGGATGAGCCAACGAACGGCGCAGAACACCTTCCCTCTGACAAGGCTAAAATCCGACAAAACGGGCAGAATTGTGGCTCACTGCGCTCGCGCGCCCATGTCTTCCGAAAGAATGAGAAGAAAGGTGGAGCGTCTGAAGATGCTAATTAATATTCATTATCCTTACAAGTTCCCTGCTTGAGGACCCTTGCCCTCAAAAGGTCCAAATCAGTAAACGTACTAGTATCTATCAGGATGTACCAAGAAAACTTTCTGCATCCATGTGCCAACATTACTCTGATGTCGGAGGACACTGAAACTGTAACCTTGAACAATTAACATTTATACAAAACCAACCGGTAAATCGTTACAAAACTTTAAAACGTTGCAAGAATCATGAGCTCATGCCGTCTAGAGCATTGTACACTTCTTCGAGATCACCGATATGTGATCTATACAACAAATATAGGCAAGATGCAAATTCAGGTTGGGTGGGCGAGCACTATGTCCTGCGAAGTAGGCTACCTCAACCGCATACTAATACGAGGGTACAATACCTATAATGTATCTATCCAAGTCTCAGACTGATTCAGCTACAATTAATTAACCAACACAGAGCCATATCATATCATAAGACACACATAGACACACCATATCCTGCAAAGCAGGCTACCCATCGCAACGCTTACAAGGCGAGAAAAAAACTGTAAAAATCTAGTAACTTCTCATTAACCATCTCTGGAATTATTGATATTTGAGACATGGAAAGTGATAAACTAACGGTCAAAAAGCTTTGAAGCAAACAAAAAACATTCATGAATTTCGTTTCACATTGATCAAGTTCTTTGGAGTAACCCTTTTAAAACAAAGTGGATGTAAACAAGCAACTTGCCATATATACTGCATGTGAAACAAGAGCTAGTCATATATGGGTAATGCATACTTCAAAGGGAAGTCATATAAATCCTGATTTGGCAGGTTCCCCTTTTTGGTGCTCTGTTCAGGAAATGCAAAGCAAGGTCATTTGGAAATCTAAATAATTGCCTAAGTTTACAAAAAGTAACTGTACCCCATCTTCAAAACTTCTTTCAATTATAGCAAGTGAACCAACATCTAGCAATGGGTCGAATATGATGAATTCTCCAACAATGTCTCGCATTAGGGCTGACCAATAAAAAATCAATACAAGGCTGTCAGAGATTAAAATGAATTGGACACACAATACAATTTGTGCAACGAGCATATACCTTACATATACTTTACATACCCAGGACAACAGCTGGAGATTTAAAGCCCAAAACGGCAAAATCACTTCCAATAACATCTATAGGAAACAGACTTTAAAAATTCTCAATCAGTCACTGTTACATCTCGGGTGCACTGTACCCGGAGATGTCAAAAAATCTGACATACCCAATTAAAGGGCGAGAATAAACAGCTGAATATTATCAACTACAGAAAGTCCTGCGCAAATAATAACCGATAGGAAACATAACGCTAACAATCTCTTACAAGCTTAAAAGCGAAAAAAAAAACACTTTCAATTTGTATGGTACAAACAAAACTAAGTGGCGAATGTTAATCAGAAAACTAAACATTTCCTTAAAATAGAAGGTCTCGCGGGTAAACTGCACGGTGACAAAGTCTAACAAAGTCCTATATACGGGGTCATATACAAATACCCACTAAATAGTGAGAACATCAGAAGTTGGAACTTAAACAATTGTAAAATGGCAGCAGCTAAACGTTGGAAGTGACTAGATACTAACCCGTGAAACCTGGTCTGCTATTTTTCTCAAGACTCTTAGAGGGTTCATGCTTGGACTATGTTTACAACGTTAGCAGCTACACGAAACACAAAAATTCCCGTCACATATTTGGGGCACTGACTTTGGAAATTATGCAAAACATCCCGATGCCAAATGTAATGTAGTGAAAATGTCAGTTGAATACAGAGAACTTGCAGTGCATAAGTTCATTTAAATGTCAGTATATTTGCAGAAGTGAGCACAAATCGTTAAAGGTTTTGCACTCCTTCATGATATGCAGTAAATTCTGATAAATGCACGATGCATGTCAAGGTCGCAAGCAACCCGGTCAGAGTTCACGGGGAGTGGCGAATTACCCACAGCGTACTCTGTGGTATCACTGCAACGCATACACGATCTACAAACGTTCGCTACGAAAAACGTGGACAAAACTGACTTATGACAGGAGTAAACGTACGGCAGAACACCTTCCCTCTGACAAGGCTAAAATCTAACAAAATTGGCCCAACTGTGGCTGACTGGCGCTCGCGCGCCCGTGTCTTCTGAAAAAACGAGAAGAAAGACGGAGCTCGAGCGTCTAAAAACGCTAATTAATACTCATGATCCCTACAGAAATAATCTCCATCAAATGAAAATGGGACTCATGATCAATCTTGAAGTGTGGAAAGGGTGGGAGTTCTAGTTCGGCTTGGTTCTACCCATAATATTGATCGAAAAACAAGAACAAACAAACTTTGACTGTGCAATGTTGATTAAATTCTATATTGAGACGACATTTATTTGGTCTCAGAGGGAGACAAAGCCAAAACCTAAATAGTTTTTTGCTCTTGCATAAAAATATATTGAGGAGGGTCAGTCGAACGAAGATTCTATTTTTTCCCGCAGGTGTAAAACAGTACACATAGTGCACACACTGGTTCACCCTCGTTTTTGTCTTTTAAGTATGGAAAGGATGGCCACTTGCCTCAAATATAGCCCTCGTTTATTACTTTTTCATTCAGTTGAGGAAGAAATACTTCGAAAAACATGTAACGAAATGCAAGATCCTGTAATCTGGTTTTAGGGACTCGGTTGGCGAGACACTGGCAGTTTCGAGGAGGCTGTAATTGTATTTGTTGAGTAAATCAGACACATTGCCTCTTCAACATATGTATGTGATGTAGCGAGCCGTAATGCCACATGCACACACAGACGCACTGTTATCGCGAAAGAAAGCTTCTAAGCTTCCACCAAGCTTCTAAGCTTCCAACCACCGTATTTCTTCTTAATTTCTTTGGATTTCCTGTCGGCCCAACGACAATGGGAACTGTTGAAGGAACGGAACACCAAAAGATACAGACTGATTCGCTGACGGTGTCCCAGTCACTCAGGCGCGCATCTCTAAACTTGACGAGCGCGTGGTTTGGTTAGCAGTGCGCTCCATTGGCTGATGAGGAAGCATTCAATGTGTGCGTTCGATTAGCTTCCCTGAATACACCAGTGTTACACCAAGGTAAGCCTCGAAATGAGGCGAATCGAACGATGCAGTGTATTCTCCCGGGCATTCTTGGAAAAAGGTCAAGTCCCCGCCACGTTCCATCCTGTTCATGCTCGAACAGTCCATCTGTGACTTCATTACCTTGGGCAGCCTCCACAGACCCACTCACCAGCGGAGGTAGTGGTGGCTGACACCAGGGCAGGCACGGAGATCACGCGATGGCAAAACGAACACTCTCGTGTAAGTTTGACTTACACGTGTAAGCTAATCGAACGGTACCCAATGTTCATCTCTTTTGTCCACGTGCGTGGGGAAACTGCGCAGGAATGGCTCCTGATTATTGTCACCGAATCGGTCTATAGATACTGAGGGCTCTGAACTCCAAATAAACGAAAGGTAATCAGGCGTTTCCTTGATGGCAACGACGTGCAACCTCATGATTTTACGGCAAAACCCCTGGCTTAGGGTGGAAATGTCCAAAACTCTAGACGGAAAGAATGTTGCATCTGATCTTTTTCACTTTCTTTTGTTTATGAACTATTTGATATGCAGCATACACCAGCATTGAGGAAGGGACATTGTGTTAACCCTACGCTGCAAATGTGTTTTTCCCCCAGTAACTATTTATATGGGGACTGTGGTGACGCCGGTCTTATAATCCCATTTTTATTAATTTTTGAACGTAGATTTTCTTCTACATGATTTTCAGTTCCTACATGGAAGTCTGCACCCTCATACCATTAAATCCGAAAAAAAAACCAGGAAAAGGTATTGAGCTTTGACCCCACAGTAGTTCTATGTTTGCTTTCCAGTAACTGCTCCGAAGGGTGACAAGGCACATGAAATAAACTTTGGCTTTGCTAGTTACCGGGGTACAATTACCCAGGTATGTGCCTTCTGGAAAGCCACAGAGCTTCCACGAGGCCCGACAGCCTTCAGAAGGTCGTGTATGGGTCACAGGCAAGACCTGGGCAAGCCAGGCACCAGTTGACGTAAAAAAAAAAGAAGAAAAAAGGATGACTCAAATCTGGACGATCTTTGTACACAGATGAATTGCACTTGGCCAGGGACCGGCTCGAGTTTTTTTCCCTGCTTAGGGAAGGCCCCGTAGTTAAAGGTGACTAAACCAGGCTGTTCAGCATGAACAGGGGTAGGATTACATGGGAGGTGATTGCATTTGTCGGTTTTTTTTATCTATTAATTAGCAAAAACGGCGTACACAGGAGACGTCAGTGAATTTAGGCTATAATGACATGCCCTCTCAACCAATGAGGAGGTCTTTCTATGCATGGTGGATAATGCGATATACAGCCGACTCATGTTGGTACGAACTCAACTATGAAGAAACTGCAGTTATAAAAACACACATCGTCAATCCCAGCGAAAAAACGCACATTTTCCTCTGGGGAGAAATTCCGCCAGCGAGATTGCGCAGGATGAAATTCCTTTCACATTGAAAGGCGTGTAACCTCCAACTGTTACAAGTATAGTTGCCTGAAATTGACAGCTCAGTTTGATATTCATGGTTGAAGCTGTCTTATGTGTGGCTTTACTTTTTATTCAGCATTATTATGAACATTATGTACGTGTGTCTCGATACGTGTGACACTCTTACAATAATAGCATTTATCATGGTTCCATTATGAATAACGAAAACAAAAATACTGAGGTTGAGTGTTGAGTTACAAACATTTCAATTAAAAATACACCAAGAGTGAATCTGATCAACTCTAAATGTCGCGCGACAATCTCCTAATCTTACACACAATTGACGATTAAGGAATCATGTGACCCACATGGGCACAGTGGTTTGGAATAGGTGTGCATCTGTCCATAATGATCCAAAATTGTACAGAAAATTTGACCAAATTAATTGCCACACGTACATGTTACACTATGTAATCTTTAATATAATCATAAGATGTGTATAGATGAATCAACTTACATTTGCCGAGCTTCGATTTGTGCTAAGGAAACAAGGGAGTCAGGCTGTCAGCATGCCTATAGGTGTACGTGCACAAGTATGTTCACAAACCCCTGGTCACGCCCAAATTTTAAATGAACAGCGCCCTCTGGGCTAAGAAGAAAAGTGCCCCCTGGCTTTTGAAATAATCTAAACTACGCTTTCCATGAGTGTAAAATTCTGTCTTTAACAAAGGGTTTTTGTGACCCCGCTGCTTCTAAAGCATTGTTGGTGACCCTTTCTAACGAATATTTAAGTCGTGGATCACATGACTGAAAGCAGAATCAGTTAACAAAAGGCGTCTTTGTGTCAGTTGCTTAAAACTGCCAATGGAGAATCTAATCATGTGCAGGTGCTCCTTGGTTTATGTATTGTGAAGTGTCTGTGTATACAATGTACGTTTAGTCGGCGTACGATGCCCCTGGTCTCGACAACCACGCGAGGCTTTCAACGTATACAGTAAAATCAACACTTTGACATAAAACACAGAATAATTGGCATTTCGAAAGGTGGAGGGGGGATGGCCATTTCTTAATTTTTCGGCCGGTCGGGTGAGAGCCACACAACCATTTGTAAGTTGCCCCAATCATAAAATTGTCAGTGCCTGTATTTCAATCCGGTAACCTGGAATCTCACGGAAAGCTGAGTCAAAATCTATTACAATGCCATTATACAATTCATTCCTTGCATTTTCTTAATTGACATGTAAAGCATAGTTATAGTGTTATATTTCCTGACTCAATCGAAGACATTAATCTATGGCCGAATTATATTAATCGAGAATTGCAGATTGCATCATGCACGGTACAGCGCGTAGAATTTTTCAAAACTCAATTATGCATTGTTACTGGATTTAGGATTGCAAATGCTCAGTTTTGATGCAAAAAGTATATTTCAAAACTGATTTTTTGCGGCATTACGACTTTCTGAAACAAAACAGGTTAATCAACTTCTGACTGACCTTTTTAAGTTTCTTTTTTATCATATTGGGGTTGCATGAATTTGTCAATAGCATCCCACATTGCCTTGGTGAGTCTCTTCGTTTCCGGGTCAGGGCCGTAGTCCAGGCACTCGGCTTGCCACATGGACACTCCGCGGAGATCGGCGTTCTTGGCATACAGGTACCGCACCACCAGCGTCTCCGGGTCATCGTACCACACCTGGTGGGGCTTGCCTGTGCCCTTATCCTGTGTTTTAGAGAAAGAGTCGGCGAACGCCCTTAAAAACGAGACAGTTTGTTGAAAACTCCATGGCGGATTCTGGACAACGGGGGCCAGTGCCCTCCCCCGAAAAGTTGTGTTTTTTTTCCAGATGAGGTGAATTCGGAGACTATCACACTTCCCTCGCTTTCAAAAGCATGTAAAAAGCCCTTAAATCAAGCCCCATCCCTTATCAAAGTTAACACAAGGAGACATCGCAAAGTTGTGCCCCTCAAAAACAACTTTATCAAAGTGTGGACCTACATGTAAGGCAAATGTGAAGCTGAGGGTGAAAATTGGGAGACATCTGCAGGTTTACCGCGTGGAATTACGTAATCTAAAAGAAACTCATCCATGCTGTTCCAAGAGAACGGTATCAGGGGCGTTGCCGGGGGGAGGCCTGGGGGTACGTCCCCGCATTCCCGGTGCCCCCAGGTGCCCCCCCCACTAAAAAAACGGATGAATGGATATTGAACAAGGCTAACAAAAGCTTGCCCCCCCCAAAAAACACCACTGGAAGCTGGTGCCCCAATCCCCATAAGATGCTGGTGCCCTCCCCAGTAAAATCCCCGGGGCCAGCTTCGCCACTGAATGGTATCCTGGCAATAATAATCCTCTTAAATTCAGACTTTCATCCGATTTTGGTCACAGCACGCTGGTCGACACATCGAAATACCATGCCTCTTGTTTGACTCATTGTAGAAATTTCTGACACCACTATGGGAAACTGCAAATTTGACATACAGTGACATGATGCAACTCAGGTCATGTAAAGTGAAGACAAATTATCCAAAACTGAAGTCCAGAAACCTGGACGTAACATGATTTCCTCGAACAATGTTGCATTAGAAATAATGAAAATCAAATCATGTGGCATCTAGCATACTCCGTCTCCATGCTCAAGCTAGAATGCCCCACACTGGATGGAAGCCAGCCATTTGAAAAACAAATCGCTTAATAAGTTATAATACTTTTTTTCAATACTCCTTATAGTTACCGTGTAATCAAAGAACTTTGAGACGAATGTAGAGTTCAAAGTTCCAACGATGGAGAGATTCTTGAGCATCTGAGTGATGATGTTGTAGCAGAGTTGCCTAGAAGACTGTGCATTGTATTGCTGACCGACTCTGGAGCAAATGCTGTCCTGAATACAAGCAGAGAACAAAGTGTCATTATGTACCCTCAAGTACAACAGATGCATTTTACCACAATCACATTTCAATGTTATGCTTTTGAATGCTACCAAAATGGTTCCCTTACCTTATAGACATGCGTGCATTCATAGTCATAGCCGTACCAAGGGAAGGCGGTTATTAGCTTACTTGCTGGTATGCCGTCAGCTTGAAAAGATTCCACGCCTGAAAAACCAAGACATCTCTCAGAATTTCTCAGTATTCTAAAAATGTCTTATTTGGGGATAGCAATGAACAACATATTAAGGCAACTTGCATGCAAACTTGACTGGAGGAAATTAGCGTTCACAGATCACCAATGAAGAATCATACATCTTAAATAAAGTTGCATGGGGAACCTGCAAAGTTGAGCTGAAATCAGCTAACGGTCAACCAACCGACTACAGAGTTTGGTGTGATCGGGTGAATGGCTCAAATCCAGTGCAGGATTCAGAAACGCAAGCAGTCAATCAAATTAATCTGGCTTTGTGTTCGGAAAATGTCAATATAAATTAAGACGTCTTCAATAAAGACTTTCATGTATACCTTTGATATGTTAATATGCCCCCTTTTTACATCTACTCTTTCCTCCAATCAGAATCCCCTCTATGTTCCAAAGACTACATCGATATGTAAAAGAAAACTGTTTACCGATTTTGATGCGTTGGATTGGATCGTTCGATATAGCCATGTACGGGTCCGACATGTCGTAATCCATAATAACGAAAAAATCACAGGATTCTGATAAGTTTTTGTAGTCATAGCAACGTCCCCAAGTACACCCGGCTGCAAACGGGGTGTCGAACGATATCTGTATGGGTCACAAAAAAGATATACATGTACACATGAACTAAATCGGTGCTATTATTGCTATGGGCCTGCGATACGGGTTTCATCGATGAATGCATCTTAGTGTGTCGAAGAGCTGGATAAGGACAGACATGCGACAGGAGGCTCTCAATGAAGCAGTGAACATGGCCACCTTATATCACAGTTGGGGGCTGTTCTGTGTAGAGTTGAGTCGATTGGAAAATGGCTGTTACGGTGCCTCGAGAAGTCACACCGAAGGACTGATTAGAAGTGGAGAGTTCATTGTTTTTTTGCCCAAAATGCTTGCGGACTGTAGAACCGAATCAAAGGTTTTCACAGCCCTGTCTACTTCTCTGGTTGCGAGTTATGTAACCATGCCTTCCTATTTTGCTATATTTTACAAATGTGACTTTATTTTAAAAAGTATTTTTGGACAATTAATGTGACACGAGATTTACCCATAATATTTAACTACTTATAGGAGCAATAACACGGAATTCTTGGTTATTCACTGCATCATTTCGTTGTCGTACAAATTAATTTCTTTTCTTCGAAAATTAATGTTGAAAGGGTTTTCCTCGCTTTCGATTCAAAATGGATGACTTGGGAATAGCGTGCCATCTTACGTATTGCATGCAATTTTTCCCCAAACACACCTGAGCGTACGGATTTGCCTGTCGGAAAGCCTTAGCCGTCTCATTGACCAATGCCACAAGGTTAGGAGCATCGCTCTCGCTCAGCGTAGCCTCAAAGTCAATGTTAATGCCGTCCAGGTGCTGCGAGAGGGCGGTGTCCGCCTGCTGCTTGACCCAGGCTGACCGAGCGGTGGCGTTGGACAGTTTGTTTGCTGGATAATCGCCTGACAAAATACATGGATAATTATATCTGCTGTAAATGTCGGCGATAACACAGACACGACGGGAAGTGGCTACAGACGCAGGGTAACTGCACCAATAAACACTTAATTACAGCCTTAGGCAATTAATTCGGACACGGCTTATTACAATTCACAACGGCCATGTAGACCTATATACTCTAAATCCACTCCCTCTAAATACGGGCTATTCACAAAAGCGCGCCTCCAAGAGTTTGCAACGCGTTGGCCAATCACAATGCGCAGAATCTCTCGACCCTTTCCAAACGCGCGTTGGTTCGGCAGATTTCGCGCATTGTGATTGGTCAAAGCGATGCAAACTCTTGGAGGCGAGCTTTTGTGAAACGCCCGTATTGGATTGCGTTATATTAGAAAAAAGAGCTGCGTGCACCTTCAGACATTAATGCTAAACGTTGATGCATGTCTTCAGCGGTTTCATCTGACCATGATCTAAAAAGGCATTTCTAGGATGTTAACTTTGCAAGTTTGGCAGGCGAAGTTGTAGATTTTGAGATTCAACATGGGGCCGGGTACCTGTATAGCACTAAAAATGTAATTACATGTTTCTACAGTCTGTTCATGATATCTCTGTGCTTTCACTATTAGCCTTTGGCTCATGTCAGTTTTAATTCACCATAAAACCGTCTCTTTCTTTGGTGAAATTACTTGAAGTTATATATTCCAATAAATTCCAAACTCTGGAGTAATGTGGCAGCACAGCATATTTGTCTCCAGGTAGAAACAGAATATTTATTTTTTCACTGACCCGTCATAACATATCTCACACCCTTGGAGTGTGCAAAGCACATCAGCTCTGGGACGTAAGGGCCAAACACGGCCACGGTAGTGATGTAAGTCCAATCATACAGCTTCCAATCGTCTTTGTCCCCCGTCCGAAAGACAAACAACTAAAGAAAGGGACAGAAACTGTGGTTAAAACGAGACGGTTGATGCTGAATACACACACAGAACCAAGCTTGGGTTTTTAAACAGTTTAGTTCATCTTAGATGATCCGTGCAGTTTGTTCTCACTGCATAAAACAAGGCTTTCGTTTTTGGTAAGCCTTTGTGCATTCGTCTCGGCTGCGTGCAAACACGATTCCTGTTTATCATCTCATACAGTCTTGTTTACTGCTAATTCAAAACACTTTCACTATTGTAAATTGAATTACTTTTATCTGCGTCCAAAGGGCGGTCTAAATTTCATGTCATCTCGACACACACTATGTTTCCTAGCTTTTTGGTTCTATTTCCTTAAGGAAGCCAATTTAGACTGTTTCAGCGTTAAATTTGAATTTGACTTATACCTTGATTTTCTGCCAAGGCACCTGTACTACATTATACTTTTGTTAAATTGGTCTTAAATTAACGTCATTATGGTGACCATATGACTGGAGAGGGACTGTGTTAAATTTGGTACCAAAGCTTTATCAGTGCAGGTGCCTTATACCGAACCAATGAGAGAATTCAACCCAATCAAGCAAATAAGTGAAAAATACAGACAAATCTGTCTCACACACACCTTCATTCCTTTGCGCATCAACGTGAAACGCAGCATTCTGTGTATCCTACGAATATCTACCATCAAAATTCTTTTTCATTGCCTGAAAACTTACTAAAGTACTAGTTGGTTTAGCTTGGTTTCAAGGAAACCCAGTCTCATAATTTCAGGGGTGTATCCACGGCCAGGTCTTGGGTCTGGAGGAGACAGTGACTTTTTTATATAAAAATTGCCTGTTCCAATTTTTCAGTCTTAAACGAATCCTCATCATACCCGAAATAGGTGGTACCACGGCCCCGTTTCTAAAATTCTGGTGATTTGAAGTCCCCGAAAAGAGAAAGAAGCCTGGTAGACACAAGTTCCGCCGGATACTACTATGCATAATTCGTAAATGTCCCTTACATGTTATTGATTCATCCACGCGTTGCTCGGTTGCACAAGATCAGGAATAAATTCAAGTAACCACCGAATGCGTTTCGTGCTTGCCGATCACGAGTGCGCCCTCAACCGTGACGCCAGCTGCATGTCATCCAATGTATTAAAAAACGTTCCCTTTGTACCCGTAATCTTTTGCGACAATCACGTGCAGGGAGATCGACTGTAACGCCCCACGAGGTCGGCGACCCGCATTGTTCCGAGAGCAATAAAATCCATGAAGTTTCCCGTCGTTTCATGTCGAGATACAGCAACAACACATCAGCTTACGGCTCAGTGCATGCTGCATAGATATTTGCTGGAGTAGGCGTACCTAAATGAACACATTTGATTTATGTACGGACTTACGGTAATTCTTATCGTCCCTAAACAAGGTAAAAACAGAACAGCCAGTCAAGCAAACGCAGTAAGTTTGTTCTAACACAGAAGCTGACAGAGAAATCTCGATTAATTAATGAAATGGGATCAATTAGGCCTTGACTTGTCACTCATTCAATGGTACTCACTTCACTCATTCAATGCTATCCTCACTCGTACTATTGCTGGGACTGACAAACTTCATGTAGGGTGCTGTATTTTCTTGATTCGGCCTTACCTCCTTTCTAGGTGGTGCTTGAACGGGTTGACAGAGTGATGGGTCCTTGCACGGACAATTGCCTAGTTGCACATCACCAAGCAGTCCTTGAAAAAACCAGCACGCCAACAATAGGACCAGTTGACGGTGACAAAGCATGGTGGTCGGTTTTGGAAAATGGTTTTCAAGTCCGCAAATCAAGAAACTCTTGTGTGCAATAAAGTGGAGCCACCAGCTCACGTACACTACCACCACAGCATGAAGTCACATTTGATGGCCTGTCCTGTCACAGAGTTGTCAGAGCTGTTTGTCACAGAACAACACTGCCCCCTCGTGGTGAGAGCCAATAGTGGCGCACTCCGGCATAGAGCTTTCGAGCCCTAGTTAGTTTCGCTCGTCACCCACCGCCCCACTGGGGGCTGGGAAGGGCAAAATAATGCACTACACAGAGTTTTGCGAAGGAGATGCGTCACGGGCGCGCATTGTCGGTTACTCGCTGCCAAAATCTACGCTGTATTTCTTTCAGTGCACACGTGTCACGCACACACCTGGGAGGGTACGGGTTAACCTGTGTTATTCAAATTAGCGGGTGGAGTTATGAGTTTGAGACGTCAATATCATAATAGTAGTAAGCTGAATGGAAGTAAGGAGATCATTGAGTAACATTTATTACTGAAAAGTTCCTGACCAGTCCTGAGACTGCTAAGATAACGTCTGTGGGGATGTGTAAATAAAATGAGGAACAGTAGCATGGTGAATCGCGGGTATTATCAAACAGACACAAGGAACCATGACATTATAGAAAAGCATGCATGGCACAAGGAGGAAAAGTTCAATTCTCAATTAAAAAGGCAGGCTACGTTCGCAAAATTAAAGATCAGGTCAACTACGTGCGTGTGCATGCATGGACCTACGTCAAGAATGTGCGAGAGCGTCCATAATTTCAATATGTACTACCAAAAAGATGCAAGGACATAAAAAATGCAAGAACGGGTATTATAGAAAGAAGAGAAAAATCTTATCAAATACAAACCCAAGCCAACAAATCACTTATTAACATTAAGTTGAAAGAACTGGGCGATTCCAATTTTCGAAATATGATTTTTTTTTTTTACTTTGAAGGAAGTAACATAAAAAAATATGTTTTTCCAGTATACAAAACAACCGGTATCAATTTGAGAGAGATTAAAACTATATGTATTAATTGAGGAAAACACAACTGATTACGATTTTGTTTTGTTTTACGATTACCTATTGTATACAACACATTTCAGGAATACAGACACGCCTTACTTTGCTTTTGCCAGACACCGCAAAAATTTTGATCATCTTTCACATTGTTTTAACGACGTATAAGAATTATATATCTTTATGGTAAGGAACGCTATCATACCATGTTTCCAAAATGAAATGCTTGCCTGATTTAAGATTCTTAATTATTTTTGATATACGTTTGATAAAATGGTCTTCGACGAAAGAAGTATCAACACATGTTTAGAGTTCAAAATGATGATTCAATAAATTCTACCCTCTGACAAATGATGACTCAAGCTAGGGCAACAGTTTTCTTTAAAGAGACTGTAGGCCTACTTCCAGACAATTGGTCATCTTAATTGACCCTCCCCATGGGGTGGGTCGATCCCCGAAAGCCCCCTTCTGTATCTGTGCATTTCTAAAATAAACATAATTCGTTTAGGTACCAGGCTTCTGCACCTATTTACGACGTGCAAGAATTCCAAAATAATGACTTAAAACCAGGCTGGGAGGGCAGCTTTGTAGAAACGGAGAACTGCTTGACACCTTGGGATCGAGATGTTCTTGTTTGTCTTTCCCCCTGGGGAAATTTCCAAACGGTTTGAAAAGCGCCAGACTGATTTCGTAGCACCTACTTAATGGAACTCGTGCGTCTGGCAGCCTTTGTCCTCGAATGACGTGTTGTCGAACCGTTGCTTCAAGTCCAACTCCACCATACCATCGTCGACTTTGAGAACATCAGCGCTCTGATCGCCGCCTCCCAAACACTTCGGCCTTGAAAGACAAAAGTCAATATCAAACAGCAGTTAGTTCACCCATTCCGTTTAGTGACCTCCTTCTTCGTGGTATAAAGAATAGCACATTACACACCACCGACCTAGACCAGCGCTGGGACAAAATATAGGACAGGCAATAAACTTGTGCACATTCTGACGAAATTTGAGTCGTGCGCGTCTAGAACTGTAATATAATACTTTTTACGAGAACGATTGTAAGTAGTCTAGCCCAAACTGAAGTTGATTATTCGCCAGAATGATACTTTATCATGAGTATTTATACTTGCTCTTGACTGAGAAACGAGTTCGAGGAAAAATTATCTCAGTTATAGCATTGAGCGATTTTCAGCGCCAACTATTTGTCGACCTCAGGCCGATTTGCCACAGTATCTTGTGCGTGAAATGCACTATGGGTATCAGGCAAAATCGAGACTTTTTAAAGAAATAGTCGTCACTATGCCAACTGTGCACACTGACTTGTTCTGTTACTGTGTGGTAATTCACGTGTTCAAACGTACATTGTGGGGATCTAAAAAGTTTGGGGACACATTGTGCCACCCACAACCCAGCCTCGTTTCCTAACAAAAGGAAATCCTCTCAGAAGACCTACCAACATAGCATCACGTCTACAATGGATAACATTTCAAGTAACTTGAGAAGATTGAACAAGTATCGTTTGTGCATTTGGTTTCGTTTTATCATTTCATGATAAATCACTTTGAGAAATATTCATGAACTTAATTGATTATTCACTTTTTGTTCTTTTATTACGATAATCTGTTGCTTTGAGTGTTGACGCTGAAACCTACTTTCCGAAGGCCTCCCCTTCTTCCATAGTCTCTGGGAGCTTCTTATTGGTTGTCTCCGGGAGCAGCAAAGACAACAGGCCGGCTGTGATCGACAAGGCGCCAAACAACACAAATGGAAACTGGTCCCAGACCGAGCGCAGCTGCACCACGAACGGGGCGATGATGCCGGAGATACGGGAGGACATGGAACACACTCCCATACCGGCGCTCCTGCGAAAAAAGCCAGCGGAGAACAAAGTCAGCTTATCCAATAGCACCAATAGGCAGAGTGCCAATGGTGAAGAAAATTGTGGGCCTACGAAAATGTTAGGGCCCGAGAAAGTATCAAAGCGCGATTCCTCTCATTGATTTTTGAATGCCAGAAAGGCCACAAATCAGCCAGTACAAAGCTCAAAGTGGAACTCAGTGTCAACACGAGATGGGAGGTTTCAGCGCTTTGAAATTGACGCTTGTACCCATGGCAAAGTACGGAATGTCAAGGCACCACCGTGCCCCTCGTCGGGCCTTCCTCACACTTTTTCCGATCTTTGGCATGGCACTAACACTGAAATTCTAGACTGGGATATCCCATTTCTTTTTGGCCATTGAGAATCCATAAATTGGGGAGGGGGGTCCAGGAGGGGCTTAGGAGGGACGTGAAGACGTGGTCCATCCCTAGGTCAGAAATTTAGGACATTTGTCCTCAATACCTCATAGAAATCACTGCTGTCTGTGATGAATGTTACCAAGCCAACAACAAACAGATAGGAAAACATCAAGCCCGCCCAACAGACCCCGCAAAAAACAATAAATTGGAAATGCTACCGCACCAGTTACATCCTCAAATTTATGATAACTGTGAATATGACAGAACATAGTTTTAAAGGGACAAGAGAAAAACAGGACAAGAAAATCGCACCCACCTTCTAAAAATCCTGGGTCAACCCCAGGGGTACTGCCTAGGGCTCAAGTGTTTAAATATTAGTCACCTGACAGGCGTAGGAAAGAGTTCTAGGGACACTTGGTAAATGATGGCAAAAGCAGCGGTGATACCAAACTTGCCAACCATGGCGACAGCGGTCCGTGCCACGCCCTCTTCTGCGAGGAGAATAAAAACAATGAGGTAAGTTTACCAAAGTTGAATTTGTAAACATTTTACCCACGCCTTCCTAAAATTCCGCAAAGTGGAAATTTCGGGCGAGCAGCACCACGTGATCTAATATTATTTTCGGTGAGCAAACACTACATGCAGTAAAGCAAAATTGATTGGCGGGGTTCGACTCAAATTTAGTGAAGGCAAGAGAAAAAAGCGCATTTCACTTCTTTGAAGAAAAATCACGTTCTCAGATTGGATAATGTAATGAATCAGTGTTTATCGTTCATGCTTGTGGCTGTCCTGAGAACGTGTACAGACATAAATGAGAGCACGCCATCTGAAAAAAAATCGAGGATACAGTGTCTCGAACGAACCAAGAAAAGCCGAGACGACGCAAGCCACGCCTCCGAGAAGCATGCTGCTGCTCAAGTTCATGCGTCGGCCAAGATACTGCAACGAGAAGATGCAGTAGCCGTAGGCAGGGAACTCTATCAGGCCCGAGATGGCCGCAGCAACGTAGTCATCCACGCCCAGGTCAGACGTACTGAGCCCCAGACCATAGTAAACCATATTGACAACGAACCTGTGGTTACCAAAAATGAAGAACGAGAAACTTCCATTTACCTGACAAAGCTCGGTTCACATTTCAAGCAAATGGGAAATCTACAATCGGAGTTAACGTCAAAAGTGTTGCACAGAAATGCTCTCAACTCCTGCCGGTCACAAAATTGCCATGTTCATTTTTGCGCAAAGTATGAACTGGCCTTTTAGGCTTCTAAGATTTTTCAAATGAATGGCAGACACCGATGTTGAACTGGAGACTGGGAACAAAATGCAGTGTGAGTAGTTTGAATTTAAGGGTGATTTTTGTGCGTTAAGATGTCCTTCTATGACAAGACGGCTGCCTTGATTAATGTATTCTATGAAAACAGTTTACAATGAGCAGTGTTTGGGTGCGCATTATGTGTTGTACGGTGGCCCATAGCTGTCACGGCAAAAGCACAAGCGCCACAGCAAAAGCAGAAGCAAACAACGACACCATCTACATACGAGCAGGAAAGCCAAATTCAATCACGGATATGTGTCACACGACGTCACAACACCCATGCGAAACTACATGCAGTAGATTTCAGTGTACGCTCCATTCAGCAACCAAGCACATGCTCTTCGTAACAGCGTTGTGTCTGCAAGTTTCTTGAAACAGAATAGGCTAGCGTGGATTCAGATCAAAATTCAGAGAGAAAAAGCGAGCCAAGACTAATCCTGGGCACAGTTTGAACAAAATTGTCACAGTTTCTCATTTCAAGCCTGCAGTTGCAAAACGTGGCTTTTGCTGAAATTTGCTTTTGCCGGGACAATCGTGGGCCATCATAGTTTTGAGACACAATGTACAGCCTTATTCGACATGTGTTTGGATAAGCTAAACAAAGTACCAGTAGAAGATGAGATTCACTGTTTTGATGGCCATGTTGGGAGTGCGGAAAAGTGCAACAAACGTCAATTGTCCCACCTTGTTTTCCTTGGGAGTTAGAGAGAAAAAGTAGTAAGTACAACGCAATAAATTTCAAAAATACGGAATCGTAAAAGGGAAACAAAGAGTAATTGCCGCGGCGAGATCCACTGTTAACAAGCTTACATGTACAGTTGCGGCCCTTCTAAGCTTCTGTATACAGGAAGGCAATCAATTATTGTTTGAAAGTAACGATTACTTTGATGGCAATTGTTCGCCTTAGAGGACGTTTGATCCCATTTGATACCACAATGTAACAATAGCGCCCCCTGATTAGACTGAGTAAATGCACGTTCTTTCCAGGGTCAGCTTTGAACAGAAGATGGGTCTTCCCTGGCATTACTGTAGTCCGGTTCCCCGCTTCTGAACACAACGGAAGACAGTATAAACTATAGTCATCTTCTGAGAAAACATTGCATGCTTTTTGGCCAATTTTGTTTATCGAGACCTCAAGGCGTAAAGCGCATGAACTCTTTTAATGAGTGTGGTTGACGGAAACACATGAGATTGGCGCTCTGAGTCCAACCGCCCGATTTGGTTGGAGATAGAATATTGAGCATCGAAATTCCTTCCCTCGAGATTCAGACAAAAGCTGAACATTTTAAGGGCTTGATAGAGTGAAAATGTACATTCCTGTATTAAATAATGAGTTGAAATATTAGTATTTCGTAGAGAGAACATGTTCATAGGCCAAGAGGGTTCATCAGGGACGTTGTGTAGATTTAGGGTCTAGTTTCACTTAACATAATACGTTGTCCCTAAAAAATTCAAATGCCATTCTACACATAATTATGTTAAGTGTTAGCATGAAATAAATTCTTCCTCTCTAACTTCAGTTATGCGTCTGAAGCCTTTTTTGCGCAGCTAAGTTGACAGTGATATAAGTACTGTACCTTGGCTGCGCTGACGATTTCGGGAGAGAACATCTCTTCGGGGAATTCCTTCTTGTTTGCCGCCGCTATCTTCCGTAGCGTCTTCTCGGCCTGTCTGTACTTCCCTTTGGACATCTGCCAGCGGGCCGACTCCGGTATGAAACTGAAACAAGATGTCGGGATTTTTTTTAAGTAACCCTCTGCAAGGTTGGTTCAGAGAAAGAGTCTGCACTGGCAAAGTTTGTACGCTACACAGTCTATGCAACTGCAGCCTCGTTTTCTTCCCGATTGACTGATAATGCACACAAAGTTAAGGTCCATGATTAATCGATTTTTCTGAAATTCTAAACTATCGAATACTAAGTTACAGTGGAATCGATACATTTTCGGTTTCCATGAAAAAATGCACGAAATACAAAGCCTCCGGCTGCTTACAAGAACAGGAGGAAATACAAGATGGCAGGAGCCCCTATGGCAAGCTGGAGGTAACGCCAGTCACGAATGAGGTAAGCAAACAGCGAGAGGAGGAGGAGACCAGCGGCGAAGAATCCGTGCATGGCAATGCCGACCAACACCCGCCTGTTCGGGCCCACAAACTCGGTGACTGCGAGTTGAGATAAAACATTGAAAGTATTAGCCTCATTCACGAGTCGGCCATCTCGAATTGAAAGCGAGGCTGTCCCTACAAACATTTTCTAAAAACTGGATAGTTGTGGCACTGAAGATGACGCAAGAGGGTGTATTTTCATCTAAAATTCAACACATTAACCACTGATTTGAAATAAATTGCTGTAAAATGATTTATCATTGGAAATCATCGGAAAATATAACCTTACTGTAATTGACAGAAGTGTACCAAGCATTGGTACTTGTCTTATATTCGCTTCTCGCTGCAACGTGATTGGTCCAACAAAAAATTAAATATTCAGCATCCGAATTGACAGGGCTGATCGCGCAGATTAAACCGCAGCTAGCTACCGGTCCCTAGTAGGAACGGGTACCAGCCCAGCAACAAACAGGCACACCGTATCTTCCGCAGCTGTTGCGTATTAACATTTCGTGTGCTGTCGGGTACAATGAAAGACTTTGATACGATGGTGGCAGCAGACATGCCAGTCCTTTTTCAAGGTACTGTGCGCGCTTACTGCTCAGAGCTATGCACGCATGCTCAGAACAACGCACGCAGGCTCAGATGAAAAAGGGCCGGCGTGCTTGTCACCACCAACCGTCTCGAAGTCTCTCATCATGAAATCTGCACTTTTTAGTGCTATTTGCATCGGCTATTTACTGTGCACAAATGAGATGAGGAACGCCCCCATCCCGCCAACTCCGATGAAGAACCTCAGTATCGTGTACACCAGCGCATTCGGTGAGAAGACGTTGCCGACACAGGCAAGCAGGAGCACCGTTGATGATATGTATATCGCTGTCTTGCGGCCAATCCTGCAGTATTTGCCAGAAATGACAAGGACATGAAAGTTTATTTGAGAAAGTAATGCAACTGTATCGAAAGCGGTCAAAGTGGTGTAGCTAATGCTTTGAAAGAAGCGGTGGCTTAGAAGTAGTTGGTGCTCTAAGCATTAGTTGGTGCAACGTTGCGGTCTGGCGTCCCCAGTGACCAAAAGTGTCAGGCGGTTCAAAGTAGCTAAAGGTATCCACCTTGAGCAGAATCACCCCTTATCGTTTGAAAGGAGCCATGTTGGTGGCATCTTGTTGGTAGCGACGCGACCGCGATGCCTGCATTTCACAATCATTCGCGAACCAGTGAATTTAAAAGGAGCCTGTGTTGCTAGGAAAATCGCGCCATCTCTTGGTCCCGCTGGGGCGGATAAAAGTACCTGGTCCGATTAAGCCTATTTGGTCTTGCACCCCTGTTCATCGTTGATGTATAAATTGTAATCTGGTAGTGAAAAGTAGACTGTAGTTAAAAGTGACAACGCGACCAATCTGCTGCAGATTGCGTGCTCAAAATGCGACTGGTCACATGGGGCTTAAACCGCCCCAATCGTCTCGGTAGTCTCCCATTGAAGGCATCAACTCTTTCAAAAATTACACTAGCACCGTTGGTGAACGAAGAAATGTTTTTGATTATCAAAAAATCTCCAGGCTGTTTGACCTCCCCCCCCCCTGGACCTGAAAACTTGGAAACGCCAAATAGGGCCAGATGAAGGGATCCAAAGGCTGCATAGCTATTTTGCGTTTTCAGCATTCAAAGCAATATGCCTTTGACCACCCTGAAGATTGAAGGAAAGACAAAAGCCTGTTCCCTTTTATCAGTATATGAAGTTATGATACTATCGCCGACTGGTCTACAAGGAACAAGACAAACATGACACCATCATGATAACAGTCAATATAGCTGGCAGTGCTTCACTGGCCCTACTCCATTGAAGGCACCTGTACCAATATTAGAGCACTACTGAGTGTTGGAACCGCGCATTTCACGCTGATGCTCAGCTGTACTAAAACAATGAATTTTAAAGCTACATAGTAACTTTAGTTTGAAACGTTACCAAACTCTAAACTTTACAGACAGAAAGAAACCGTCTGCAGAGGCTCTCAAACTTTTCGCAGGCCTCCTCCCCCATATTTTGTAGGCTTTGAGTACAGTGCCTAATGGATATAAGTCCAGCCCTGACGTCACCGTGTAGTTGGCGAAGTTTTTATATACGGTGAACTCCTACCAATCTGCCAGCGAGCCAACGACTAACGAGCCGGCCAGAAACCCAGCAAAGTAAATCGACTGCAGGAAGCTGACGGTATCGCTTTGGTCGCACACAAGATCAAACTGTAACCAGAAAAAAATATAACGAGATATTGGTGGCACTTCACAAGTTGGGACAATGTTTTCAACTTCTCGTAAGACCGGGACAAAATTGTCTCATGATGTCGACAGCTTACGTTAAGGATGGTCGCCATCCTACGACAAACCATCTCCACTACATGTCGACACCTTCCCTGCAAAACGTCGTGACCCTGAAATGGAGTGTGCTCTGGATTGATACACTGATACTTTCGTGTGCACTAGTACGCAGACGGTTGTGGGTTCGAGTCCCACCCAAGTAAGCCTGACTTCTTTTTTGCAAGCTCTCGGACAAGCACCGAGTATACAGTGTTTATAAATATATGTATGTTGCGTAAGGCCCAAAACACGTTATTTAAAATGATACATTCTGTTGTCACGTCTGGGGCTCCGTATTGAGTATCAAACAACAAAACTACTTCATTGTCTGATAATATCATCTTGAATTGCCATGATAATCCGTCAAGTGGCTGGGCCAGGCATCAAAGGTTATTCCGAGGATAATACCGAAGCTAGTACTATGTTTACTTAGAGTTTCAACAACGTTCAGCCTCAGTATTTATAGTCTGTGATTTGTTTTTATAACTGTAATAAAATTTAAACAGCGTTTACTAAACCTTGCCAAGTTGCCCTCACCAGTTTAGAAGCTAAGCATGAGAGTACACCTGCCAGACGTCAATGTCCAATTACTTAACACAATCTAACGTAGCGTTTATGAGTGTTAAAATAAGAGTGTTGAGGTTTTCAAACGCGTGTATGGCATACGAAGTGTGGCAAGAATTCACTTGGCAATGCGTGCAAATTCAGGACAAAACACAAAACCGGTAAATGCTATTTTCCTCACACGAAACACGTTTCATTCCAAAAACTCTTTTTCTTTTGACGGAGCCGACAATAAGAAGCCCCTGGTGCTGTTTCGAACCGTTTATAGTGCCACAACAATCTGTATTCAAATAAGGTTTATCCAAACAAATCTTCAAATGCTTTACATAGAATGAAAACATTATAAAAACCACATAGAGCATAAAGATTATTGAAAACAATACTCATCACTGGCAAAAATAAAAGTTTTAGGAGAGAACTCCATAGGCTGGAGGCATCTTGATGGTATTTTTTTAGGTTTGCATTTGATTGCACGTTACATCAAAACGGTTCCACAACAGGCATTTTGGGTGGACTCGTGCCGTGCCCTTGCGTCTATTGGCCCATCCGAGTCCACCCACGGAGCCGAGACCAGTCGAGTCGAGTCCAACTCTGAGTAATAGTCGAAGTCGATGTCCTTCAAAAAGTGGACTCCACTCCTATGACACTGCAGGGGACAAAAACTTTCTCATGGGGTGATGGCCAATTTCATGATTTGAGGAGGCACAGTACAAGAAGTTACAAAGTTACGCTATAAATGTAAACCAATTAAGAGAAAAAGTAAGCCATAACTCAAGATAATACTTGACCAAATCTGACATATCTCACCTCATTTCGGATGGTTTTCTTGTACTGTCGGGTGTCATAGATCCAACCATCGGCGTCCCTGCACCTAACTCTGCTGGTATTGTCAAAGTCGGACGGCCTCAATCCAGGGGTGAATACCACACCGGTCACGTTGTACATCTCGCAGCTGTCAAAGACCTTCTTGGTGGCATTGTACGGGATCGACGCGTCACGCTTCTCCAGGAGACATCCCCAGTCGTCCGGCAGGCCCGTAGCGGTGCAGTTGGCCTGGTCCCAGTGTGCCACGCGGCACCAGTGGTCGGCCTCCCCGGCCATGAACACCTGGGCCAAGGAGTTCATGCCGTGGATCACCCCGATCAGCGGCACCATGAAAAACATGACTCTCTGCCAGATCCCCAGTTCACCAACGGCGCAGATGATGTCGTCAAAGGCATAAGTCGTCTTTATTGCCTGCTTGTCATCAGCTGGTTTCATCTCTTTTTCCGCCATTTTGTTTCCTCCTGGTCAGACCCAATATCCAAGCTCTTACATGAACAGCTCTGGTTACAGCTTGTCCGAATGAGGCTCACAAAAGAAATGTGGGAGGCAAAACACTAAATATATAGGGTCGCATTTAACCAATTACGAAAGACGTTCCAATGAGCGTCTGCAAACACAAGTTATATTGCTTTATACGTTAAGTGTTTTTAATATTTATATATTGTGACATTTTATAAATAGCAGTTTTCCCCCGGTAGAGCGTAAGGTCAAAGAATATTAATGAAGACGAGCGGTTAACACAAATAAAAGTATTTGACCCTAAAAGAGCCGGGTAATCTTTGCCCATCTCACAGGCGGAGTCCGCCCCCGGCTTTTTTTTTTTTAGGGTTAAAGGCAACTTTAAGTACGGTACATGTATTTGCAATTGTTCACCTCTGTGTGGCCCCAAGAGCAACAGAACCAACGTTGGCCACGGGAGGATAAACTAATTCTTTTTAAATGATATATAAAAGATGTCTAAATCTGGTGCTCACAGGTAGTAGATATTAGATGTACTGAACTTCACAACGAGTAAAAAATAATGTGTCCAAGGCGCTGTATATAAACGCCATCTTGCGTATTTGCTTACAGGGGGAGTGTCTGAACTTTAACGAGTCTGTCCATTATGCTACAGCAAAGTAAATCTCAGTTTCTAAAACCTTGTCCACCGATCTCATTAGATGGTTCGCTGATTAAATCAGCCTACATAGTTGTGTTTTAACAGAAGTCATGAAAAAGTGTTGGTATAAAATGAAAAATATTCGAATGGAACATCAAGCTTATTTTGAAATTTCAAAATGCAACAATGGGATATTCGTTATCTATATAAAGCCTGCATTGTATTTTATGACGGCTTTTGTCTTTTTCGTCTTCACTGGATAAAAACAAGCCAAGCATTTTATGTATAAACGTATTGAAGAATTGAGCCTGTCAAACATAAGTAGCTGTTTCCTCTGAATATGTCTCAACTAACAGCTCATCAAGTAAAAAACTCAAGTCAGACGCCATGAACTACAAAACAATTGCCCGTGATGTCTTTTTGAAGGGGTTACCAGTCACAGCAGGTAGTAGAAAAAAACCTGATTGGCAAAAGTGGGAGAACTGAGCTTCAAATCTTAGTTCTCTTTTGAATGGCCCAGATATATTTCACTGACGTCAACAACCATGATCATGAAAGGCCTTTTCCGGATTTTCTTTTTCTTGCAAGCTCCAAAGCTAACTTTGTTAATGACATAATTCCATTCTTCAACGCAACACTGTTTGAAAAGAGGGTGGCTAAGGTTCGGGTATTATTAAAGTTCAACTGATTAATAGCTGTCGTGTATTTTTTCCATAGGCTTGTGCATAAAATGTGTTGTTCGTTCCTCAGAGATGCATTGAGAATATCGAAAAGGTTTATGGCAATAACTTTATTATCAAATACTGTTGTTAGTTTAAAATGGTTACCCAAAACATCAGACACTTTTTGGACTGTTTAGTTTTTACTTTATCTTTGAGCGGGTTTTCAAGGCTGTGACAATGTTCGTCTTCGACGTGGTCAGCAAGGCTCCAGACTACTTTCACGGTCCGGCAAGTTCCTTAAAGCTAGACTCGCTTGTCTGGCACCCTTTGTCCTCGAAAGTCGGATTCTCCACCCCTGCATCGGTGTCTAACTCCACCACACCGATGGTTACCATAGCAACGTCCTTCTCCTCACCGCTGCTCCCAATACACTTTGGCCTGGTCATAAAGAACAATAAAGTTCAGTCAATTTTTTTTTCAATCATGAAAAATGTCAAATTTCGACCAATCAGCTTTCTGCATATTTATGAATATTGTGCACAGGTCTAGGGCTCTTGGCGACGAGCGAAGGTTTCTGCAAGCCGATAATTGCTGCGATCTACAAAATACAAATGTATTTCTACCTTTGCGCGGACAGACTTTGGAATGCGTTTTGTTGTTGTTTTTGTTGTTTTAATGGCGCTTTCAGCTACTCATGGCTATCTGTGCCAATACCTCTACGTTTATTCAGAACCTTTATCAATCAGCATCACTTTACGGAGACAGGAAGAAGGTCCAGTTTTAGAGGCAGGAGGAAACCGGTGTACTCGGAGAAAACCTGCGAGAGCGAGTATGGACTGGAAACCAAATGCACTTGAAGCCTGGGCCAAGCCGGGACTCAAACCCAGAGTCTCATTGGTGCAAAGTGAGAAAAGAACCGCTAGGCTAACCCAATCCCCCCAGGAATCCATATTTTAGGTTTTGTACACAACATAAGTGAATTGCTTTGGAATTCCGAAGAGCACTCTGATTGGTCTAGACTCAAGAGGGGATACATGATCTATGAGCAGTCTTATAGAGCATGTGTTCCAGGCCCCGTCTCGAGGCATATTTATATTGTGTGTCGTCAGTCGATCTTGGTACCATAAAACGAAATGATTCTAAATGGAGTCAGAGTAGATTCGGTGCTCAGTAGGACTCCCTTTCCATTGAGAGAGTGGAGATAAGCGTGGTTAAAACCTGAGCTACTACAAGCTATAAACAGTGCCCTCAACAATGTAAAGGAAACATCTAAGCGGGCATTCGAATACACCTTATGCGAGTTAACTTGAATAAAATTGAACTGATACACTGTGTTATCTTATTGCACATAAACACAACAATTTGAATTTCCCAGACTACAGACAATTGCCATAATGCCTCGTGATTCGCAGCAAGGTTTTGCATAGAGACCACCATTTCTGGAATTAACTGGTTCCCCTGTGCCCTTCTTAACCACTAAAACCAGAATATTGGTGTAAGGAGTCTTTTATGTAACAAAGCCAAAGCTAAGCCAAAGGTTGCCCTGAATCGTAGGCTGAGTTCGGGGGGCTTGTTCCCGTAAGTTCACAAACAGCTCGATTTGTTGTTCGTGGGAACAAACAACCTGTTATCATAAGCAACGTGGCGGCTTCGATGTACGTTATTTGAGAGTTAAGGTTTGGATAGGCTGAATTCTTTTCTATATAAACAGGAACATTCATTTCTGTGTTACGAAAAATAATTAATGTTATTTTTGCAAAACTTCCCATTGTCTACATGGTCCATGGCTTTGAAAATAATCTCTCTACTTTTTGCAGCTGTTCAAAAATAAAAGTCTCACGAGTTTTTCCCTGTGTTCATGTAAAACCCTGAAGAGGAGGTGGTGTGTGATCCTGTTCCGAAAACAGTGTTCTTGAGTCATGTTCCCGCCGTTCGAGCGCAAGAACTTGACAAGAAACCCGTGTCAAGAACAGGTCGCCCGAACTCGACCTCAAGGTATAGCAATAGTGTCTTTTTTATGGATACTTCAAATTGAATGGCATAATTTTGTAAAATAAATATTTTCACAACGATATGTTTATTTGGGAACAGTTGAGCGTGATGATTGTTGAACGTCGCTAGATCTGCACATGTACCGCGACCTACTGAGAAGAAATCCCCTTTCAACTAATGGATGAGCCCTTGCATTTGCATATTGTCATTGGATATCACCGCAGAATGCATTGCACATGCATTTCACTGGACGGATACATATGAATAACACTACAGAGAGTATTTGTCAAGAAGTTAGGCAAGTCGAAACCCTGGCCATTGAGTTTACTTAGTTTAAACCAGAGCCGCACCAGTGGATTTAGACTGAAGTTCACAACACACGACCGACTAACTTACGACTTGTCAAGTCTATACCCTAGAGGAAACATTGAAAGCAGAACAAAGAAACAGCTCAATCATACAAATCAGTAAGTGACGTCATACGGAGCGTGATTGGTCAAGACACATTATCTCGATGTTGCGTCTTCGGAATACTGCCCCAATTTATAAGTCTTGGGGTTTGTATTTCCATTAAACTCGTGCTGCCATAGGAAACCTATGTGTTCAAAATTTTCTCGTGCCGAATTCCTTCATGTTTGATTGTACATGGTACATGAGGGCATTTCGAGTAAAGACATTCATACATCTCACTTTAAGCTTTTCCCATTCTTGTGGCTACTGTTTAAACCTTACTTTCCAAAGGCTTCCCCTTCTTCCATTGTTTCTGGGAGTTTCTTGTTGCTCGTCTCGGGGAGCAGCAGGGACAGCAGGCCGGAAGCTATCGATAAGACGCCAAATACCACGAACGGGAAGGGCGGCCAGGCCGACCCCAGCTCCAGAAGGAACGGGGAGATGATGCCGGAGATACGAGATGACATCGACGTCACCCCCATGCCGGCACTCCTGCACAATATCAAGGGAAATATTTCCATGATCAATGTCCACAGTGAGAAACCCCCCAGGGTGTTGCGATTTGTTTCCTTCTGGAAAATGCAGCGAGGATGAAATGTATTTGGGTATTCTGGATTATTATACTGCAACAGAACAGCTAGTACATACTGGAAAAGATTTTGACCTATGCCCTTTGACCTCCAGAAACAATGCGTTAGCATGCAGCAAGACTATATCGAGAAGAACAGTTTATAAGGTTTTAAGTGATGTCCCACATTACTTACATGCCTAATGTCACGGACTGAAAACCACTGATTTCAAATCAAAAGCTTTAAAAAATAGTCCAATCTGGGCTGACTAATTCAATTAAACCACACAAATCAGTTTGGAAATGTAAAAACAATATAGTGGCAAACAACCATTCTGGTAAAGGCCTTCAAAAATACCTGTGGTTCGATTGAGTTTAGCATGAATTTATCCCCAATGGACCATAAACTGTGACTTGACTTCAGCAGACCGACCCAACTCACAAAATTCACTGACTCGCTCGATACGGCACGGGTGCAACCTTATACGACCAAGAGAGGGCGACCAATAAAGGGCACAAATTTCCCAGCAACGGAGGCTCCATTGGTGGCAACTGCACTTCGCTAACTCACAAACAACTATGATATGTACGCGTTACGGTCGCATCGCTGCCAACAAAATGAAAACTCCCCACCAGCATGATTTAAAAGTTTGTAATATACTACACTGTCCCTGTGGCACTCCTGTTGGTTACTCGTTTCCGAAATCTTTACTCATAGACAGTCTTTTGTGAGCTCTTTGAGTTTCACTGCTGTTCTTACCTGACTGGCGTAGGGAAAATTTCTCCAGACACCACATAGATGATCGCAAAAGCCGCGCTGATACCAAACTTGCCGACCATGGCGATAGCCGTCCGTGCCACGCCCTCTTCTGCATTACAAAATTGTAGCAGTGGATCCTAAAAACCTATCGTTTTAATGGGGAATCTTGTGTGGTCATCTTTTGTTGGGGCGGTGGTAATGAACGTTACTGGAGACGTTGAAGATGTTTCATCGTTGATGGCGCTACTTATGACCAGTGGCGTAGCTAGGATTTTACTGGTGGGGGCACATCGGGGCATCAGCATCTTATGGGGGGCGCCAGCTTTCAGTGGTGTGGTTTTTGGCCAAGTTTTTTTTTGTTGGCCTTGCTCAATATCCATTCATCCGTTGTTTCAGTGTGTGTGTGTGGGGGGACCTGGGGGCACCTGGGGGCACCGGGAATTTGTACGGGCGGGGGGGACGTGCCCAAGACCCCCCCCATGGGGCTATGCCACTGCTTATGACTCTGTTGGCGAATAATTTGCGTTTTCCAATGTGTTGGGTGACGTTAAGAGTCATTTTAATTCTTAATGAAGTCGCTATTAATGCCGGGCCAGCATATCGATCTGAGATGCTAACTATCATGTTAGAATATTTGCCATCTCAAATATCTCCGCTACTAAAAACTGCTGACGTTTCAGAACATCAGAACCGTAATCAACAAGACATGAGATTTAATACAACTGTTCATCCATTCCAAACGTGTCTGCTTCCCACATAATTCGTCAAAACACGAGCGTTTTACAATAGTGCGCGTCCACGAGTTGCAACGCGTTGACCAATCACAGTGCGCGAAATCTGCCGACCCAATTCGCGTCTGGAAACGGTGGACAGGTTTCGTGCACTATGATTGGTCAACTCGTTGCAAACTCTTGGAGGCGCACTGTTGTGAATCGCTCGTATTCTATGCTCCTGAGTCTGGCCTAGAATCTGACTTCTTACCACATTGCGCCACCGTCTATCAGAATGTTTCCAGCTGAACCTCAAGTCTACTCGCCCACTTCAGTTCGCCCCCCCCTTTCACTCAGCGAAAACTTCAGGCCTTTATTTCATTGCTGCATCCCCACAATCATGGCAAAAGATCCACTTGATGTAGGCACCATACAGTCTCATGGAACTCACCGAGGAAAGCAGTAATGATGCAAGCCACGCCCCCAAGCACCATGGTGCCGCTCAGGTTGATACGCCGGCCGAAATACTGAAGTGAGAAGACGCTGAAGATGAGGCTGGGGAACTCGACGAAGGCGGATATTGCCGCAGCAAGATAATCATCCACGCCCAGGTTGGAAGTGCTAAGGCCCAATCCGTAATAGACCATGTTGACAACAAACCTGTGGTTTAAAATATTTGAGATCTGATGAGAGAAACAAGTGTATAGACCTAGTCCTGTTCTGTCCTGAAAACTGTCGGCACTTTAATTTTGATATCTCTGACAATTTAAAGGGATATACAGGAGACCACGATATCCAATATCCAAAGCGTTGTAAGGGTTAAATGTACAACGTACCAGTTTTTTTATACTTTTGTTAACAAGTAGGTCAATTCAGATGTTTAAATAAGCCTCGTGTGCTAAACAAGTGCCTTCATTGCTAAGCTTTTAATTGTGGACTGGGTGAGCAAGTTAAGGCACGGGCCCCTAATTGTTTTATCAACGGAATCGTTGGCACAACCACACTATAAAATCGCTTTGAGGATCAATTGCAAATTTTTCTGCTATGGTAAGCGCAAATTTTGTATCAACTCAGGAAACAATAAGAACAACAATAAATATAAATCGCTAAATAAATAGATATGACTTTCATGGCAGTAACATATATTATAACTTAACATAACTTATAGCTTAAGTAAAGAAATGATGTGAAAAAAAGTTTATTCAACTTATTTTGTAGAGCTGTACTTGTATATTAACATTATTATGAAAAACAGACTACAAAACTAACCCCCATCAAAAACAAAGACAAAACAAAAGCCACCCCCCCAGAAAAAAAAAACCAAAGGGGGAGGGGGAAGCTGCAAGCCTGCAACTTTGACCCGGGCTAAGACTCAATCAAACTGGGCAACTTTCAGTGGGAATATAATTCATGATGGCAATACGTTGTCTGAATGGCATGGGAGATAGGGTCTCAGTGAAAGAGGTGATCACGTAAAGAATTAAGGAAGTCTTTTGGAGAGGGTTCCAGACAGAGATTCTGGAGGTCACCTGGAAGTGAATTGAAAACTCTTGGAAAGAGAGTAAAAAGAGAAAATGTCACACAGTTAGTACGGCAGTATTGATGTTAGAAGAGCAACGAGTCTGTCTTTCTTGTGTTGGGCTGTGGAAGAAGGTGTGACGGAATATTAATATATTTGTAGAGGCATTTGATGACAAAAGAAACACTAAATAATTAATTATACGAGTCGGTTGTAGAGAGGGGGAGGAGTTTAAGTTTAGATAAGCGTTGTTCGTAGGGAAGGGAAGAGGCAGTATTGAAGGGAGGCAAGAGTTTGTGCCTCAATACTCTGGATGTGATTTTTCTGATAAGGTAACCAAACGGGTGATCCATACTCTAGAACAGCCCTGCAAAGAGATTGGTAAAGTTTATGTAATACATCTGCATTCCTGGATTTTACTGTCCGTCGGATGAAGCCAGAAAGTTAGGAACATTTAGAACGAATCATGTCGACATGTTTTGTCCAGGTAAGGTCGCGTGACAAAATAACGCCTAGGTATTTGTAGGAAGTGATGAGTTGGAAGGGCTCAGGATCCTGGAGATAGTAAGGAGACAGGGCTTGGTTTCTGCATCGGGTGATATGTATGACTTACCTACTTTTAAACTGCAGCACATCCGGTGTTGTATCATTGGTATTAGTTAGACATTTGATTTCCAAGAGTCAATTCCGCCAATTGGGCAATCTTTTCAAAAAAAACGAAATTTGAAAAGGGTAAATGCTACCTACCAGTAGAACATGAGGTTCAGTGTTTTGATGCGCATGTTCGGAGTGCGGAAGAGTGCGACGAACGTTTGCTGCCCTTCATTGTGTTGCTTTGGATAAACGACAAAGTACGAACCGTTTCAGATCAGAAATCACCAAACCGTTAAAGTTTAGAAATCATTACGTTGTTAGAATAAGTAAGATGTTATAAGATATTGTTTGGTTTGGGATATCAGTCATGCAGCCCCAACACGGAACAACAGTCGCTGGTGACAACACCCTCTTTCGGCGAATGATTTTCAGCGGGATGTCATAAGTATTAAGAATTAGTACAGCAAGAGCACGGCAACAGTTCAAGTACCATTTGTTTAGCACGGTATGCGCACTGCACAAACTGGGGTGTTAAATTTAATACTCCAGTTGTTATCAGACGAATATGCCAACAACTTCCACCGTTGTTAAAATATGTAATGAAGGTGGTACTCTTAACAACCTCACGTGCACTGTTACATCTACAGGCTGGTGTGAAAAGTATACCAGCGGTGTTAAAATAAACCCCTGTTTGGTGTGGCCATCTGATACGACCAAAAACTGTTGTTTTCAACACCCCAGTTTTAAAATTCGATACTGAGCCAAAGACGTACCGCCACCGTGCCGAAACTCAGTTCACCCATCAGCCAGATGGTTGAAGAAGCCTTGCTTCCGCCGTGCGAAGTAAAAAAAATCAAATTATTTGAGTTCGACACCACATCGGCACGGAATTTAGACCGGGCAAACAGTGTCTTGAACCAATGCGCCTTGAGCAGAAGTGCCCCCTCAGTGGTTGAAAAAAGCCGAGCTATTGGAGTGTTTTGTGTGTTGGTAGCGAGGTGACAGTAACGCGTAATTTCATAGCCATTTGTGAACCAGCAAGGTGCAGTTCCCATCCTATCAAAGGGACCTCCGTTGCTAGAAAAATTCCGCTCACTCTTGCTCGATCTCGGGGCTCATAGTACATTAATCAGCGGCACACCTTTAGAAGGTGACAGTTTCCACGTGTTCACGTGGTTAAGGTGAAGTCTTGCGTTAAAAATACCTTAGATGCGATGATTTCTGGAGAAAACATTTCTTCAGGGAATTCCTTCTTGTTTCTGGCTGCCATCTTCCTTAACGTCCTCTCGGCATTTTTATACCTTCCTTTGGATACCTCCCAACGAGCAGACTCTGGAATGAAGCTTAAATTTTGAAAAAAAATGTAAAAACAACACTGAGCGCAGCCTTTTTGGAAAAAAAGTCGTGAATAGAAAGAGACGATATAATTATGTTGATCAGGATACCCTGAAAGGGTCTGTCTCTAAGGAACGCACAGTTTCCGTGAATGCTTTTAGCGGTCTTAGGAATCAACATTCGCTGCAGATTATATCAGCAAAGATGGGATTTAGAAACTGGCACTTCTTAGAGACGTACTCAGTTGGTCAATGCCATTAATTACCGTATTCATGCCTTTGTAATTTCCATGGCAGTATTGTCACATATTAGGAAGTTCGAGGGCGTAATCTAGACGCGCCACGAGTGGACAATGTTATACTCACAAGTACAGAAGAAAATACAAGACAGTGGAGACCCCAAGGCAAAGCTGCAGGAACCGCCACGTTCGAATGAGGAAGGCTAGAAGCGACAGGAGGAGGAGACCAAGCGAGAAGAATGCCTGGACGAAAATACCGACGACGACACGTCTACTCGGGCCAACAAACTCACACGCTGCAGAAAAAAGAATCAATAATTTTTCATCGACTTTTAAAAATTGTGGAAGTGTTGCATTATTTTTAATGTAATCAAGGAATGTCCCAACAGTTCGCCCCCGCCCTGCACTACCACCAGCCTGCATGACCGTACTTACTCAGGACAAAGCAGACGAGGAACGCCCCCATGGCGCCGGCCGCGATGAAGAATCGAAGGATCATGTACACCAGCACGCTGGGCGAGAAGACGTTGGCCACGGATGCACACAGGAGTACCGTAGACGCCAAATAAAGCGCTGGTTTGCGGCCAATCCTGCAGTTTGCAGTGTTTTAAAACACCACCAATCAACTTTAAAGCTTCATTTTGAACCCAGCATTACTGTACAACAAAGAAACTGGTCGTTGTAAATTTTGTTTTTCCAATGGTCATCAACACCATTTTGTACACCCACCTTTTGATGTGTGTTGACATACCTATACGCACGTTTCTGTGAAATATCTTATTTTATGCACGACGTGCCTAAGAATCAACACGCTCTCTGTGGGTTAAAGTTAGAATTGAAAGCGTGTTCAGATAAATTTTGGCCCGTGCGATCGTACTACATGAAAGCGCCCCCTATATTCTTGTGTGAAACAGTGAGTCTGCATTTTACGTGCATGTAAAAGTATGCACTGTGCATGGACTGCTACAGTGCTAAAAACTGGAAGAAATTTAATTAAACGTCGTGTCGCTTGACGTAATGACCTAACCACAGACAGTTCTTATCACTGTGTGAGTCTTTATACAGTTTTACACATTTTTAAGGTTCTGATCTCTCTGCGTCGGTTTTTGGTGCACAAATATAAATAGCGGGTCCAGAGGTGTTTGCTCAGCATGAAAACCCCAAGTTCCAAGACTTATTCAAGCGATTTCATGTAGCTTATTCATAGTTAGCAGGAAAGCTGTGATTACTATAGTGCAACATTTTGCTTTCCGTAATCACTATGCTATAGCGGTGCTTGGCTTGGTTGTGCCGTGGAGTTATAACCATGGCAGAGCTGATTAAACGGTTGCACGAGCATAGAAATTGCCACTGTCCCGTAACCAAGTTGAGCAAAATAAGTTTTCCTCTGTGGAAATCGTCCCTTTTGCTGTGCCTACTGCATGCATAAGATTTGCATGAAATATGCGGAGCCTCCTGGCGTAAAATCGCATTCGGGTCCGTGACATTGGGCCCAGAGGTTTTATTTGCTGAGTGTAAGGTTCACTCTGCATTTTGATTCTACTGTAATATCAAACCCTCACCAGTCTGCTAGGGAGCCAAAGACGAACGAGCCAACCAGAAAACCAGCAAAGTAGATGGACTGAAGAAGGTTCACGGTAGCTTTCTGGTCGCAGACAAGATTAAACTGAAATGAAACGAAAAACAGACGTCAGTGGAGAATATGGAAGATGACACCGAGGCAGTAATACCGAAGTTTCACATGGTGTGTTCTGTTCGTCCTCCAGGAGACTGCCAGACTTCTGCTGGTGGAGGAGCTTATTAAGTAAAGGAAGCTGGGATTCGCTCAGTGCAATAAGCCCTTTGCACATATGAAGCAAACTATGGGACAGAGAGACCCCCCTCCCCGCTATTGTTATACTGGTATCTCATGAATTCTATGGGGGATGTGTTTAAGTGACAATAGGCTGGAGTGTGTATAGGGATTGGACTTGTTGGGGGGCACCCCTGTGTCCAATTTCGTGCCTGTGTACCTTTGCGAGTTCAATTTGAATTAGATCTGGTACTCTGAGTTATCTGGTGGCACATAAACAGAACAATTTGAATTCCCCAGCCTAAAGACACTGTTGTTACATCTTGTGATTCGGGGCAAGCTTCTGCCCTCTCTGGAATCCTTTGTGCCCTTCTTATCCATTGGAAACCGTGTATTGGTGCAAGGCGTCTCTTATGTAACTATAATAAAGCAAGTGTTGCCCCGAATCACAAGGTGTAGCAACAGTGTCCTTAGTACGGAGAATTCAAATGGAATACGTTCACGTGATTTTAAAGAATTCAGTGTACCAGATTTTATTCAAATTTAATTCGCAAAATGCTAATTCCTATGCATTCGTGGCCTACCTCATTTATAATGGTTTTCTCATACTGTCTTGTGTCATAGATCCAACCATCAGCATCCCTGCACCTAACTGTGTTGGTATTGTCAAAGTCGGACGGCCTCAATCCAGGGGTGAATACCACACCGGTCACGTTGTACATCTCGCAGCTGTCAAAGACTTTCGTGGTGGCATTGTACGGGATGGAGGCGTTGCGTTTCTCCAGGAGACACTCCCAGTCGTCCGGCAGGCCCGCAGCGGTGCAGTTGGCCTGGTCCCAGGAGGACACACGGCACCAGTGGTCGGCCTCCCCGGCCATGAAGACCTGGGCCAGAGCGTTCATGGCATGGACCACCCCAATTAGCGGTACCATGGAAAACAAAATCTTTTGCCAGGTGCCAAATTCATCGATGGCGCCAAGGATGTCGTCAAAGGCGCACGATACTTGCTGTTTGTCGACGGCTAACTCGTTCTTCACCACCATTGCGTAAGGTTTTTTATTTTTATTTTAATGCAAAGTCTCAACAGAAAGAACTCCACTAAATCGGCTGGAAAAGAGCTTGAAGTAAAGGATGCACGACATAAATTGAAAATGCATTCAATGAAATCTACATCATATAGGTCCAACTGCTTGTTTTCGTATGCACACATATTAAAGTGATCTGGATTTGCATTTTGTTTGATAAAAATATTTGAAAAGCAGATAAGGAAAGAGGATACAGCATCGGTAAGGCAATAAATGTTAGTTTACCCCGCAATGGAATACATTTATTGGTTTTTCTTTTCAATCCAATGCAAAATGACGCTATGAGCTCTTTCCTGGGAGCAATTCCTCACAGCTCACAAACCTAAAGTATCAAAACTCCAGGTTATCGATCACGTTGAACGGGAAAATTCGTCTCTTGTTTCGTCAGAGGTCACTTTGGAAAGAGTTTCATATGGGACACTGTGCATAAACCCTTTGAGACTGGTCTAAAAGGTCTTGTTTTCTAAGTTTATGTTCCTCTGGCGGACCACCAGAGACTCAAAAATTCATCACAACAATTTACAAAGGTGCTGAAAATAGGCTCTCACAGAGGTGCATGCACAAGATGTGCAGAAAATCATATGTTTAATTCCCAAACTGTGATGAAATAAGAAAGATGAAAAAAATCCTGTTTTTAATCGCTGTTCATCCCGAGTGAAGTGATCATTCAGTCGGAAGCTGGCTAAGCAGATAAAGACTTTTCTTAGTATGAACGACGACCTGACGAGCCATGAGGACAGAAGGGGACGGATTCCGAGATATATATTTTCCAACACTGGGGATTTTCTTCCCCTCGCTCTTTTTTTTTTCTTTTTTTTATTACTCCTTTCAAAATTCTGATCTTTGACGTCCAGGCAGCAGAAATAATTACATTTGGTTTTTACATACATTAAAATGAAATGCACCAAAGACAAACTCATAAAATACTTCAGATTTTTCCCGGAAAAAATACACACCACCCTTATTGTAGGTCCATTTATCTTGATTTGACGTTTTCAACCAAAGAACAAAACTTCGCCGAAGGATGCCATCAAGCTGCCTCTGAATAAAAAGGGAACGACCACGAACAAGTAGGCTACGTCGGAGGTATATTTTGTGATACTCTTAACAATAATACAATCCAAACATAATTATTCTTGTCCAGCTTTTTTCACAGTTCACTTGACAAAATGATTATTATTATTATTCAACTTTTGCGCAAATAACCTTGAAGCCCTGCTCTGCTGATCAGAACGTGTATCATGTACAAACCCGTAAAACCCTGAACAATAGATATGCAAGAGTGAGCATGATACACGGAACACTGCTGTAAGCATTACATAGTTTAATGAAGATTTTTATTTCCTCACCAGTTAAAAAGTTTTTGGGGGATTTTCCAGAATGATTTATCAACGAAGATGTATTATGTTGGAGCCCCATACGTGTTCATATGTCTCTGCTAAACCCTCGAAACGCCGCCAGAAACCCGCGTGTTCAGCCAGATTCCCTCCTTTGCCGAGCGTTTTTGCGGGGAATTCTAGGGAGGGGTCTGCCTCGGTTGCCAGGGCGACATCCTCAGCATCGTTACCGCTGCCTCCGAGACATCTGGGTCTTCAATTAATGAGATGTTACGAAATTATGCAATTGAATTTCAAATTTCTCAACAAAGGAGGAAGGCATCTTCAACGATGAAATTTGTAGTATGACTGCCGAAAAAAAGATTTTTCAACTTTGAGCTCACCGACCACAGACATAATGTAAAGGTAGTCAGTAAAACCAAGGCAAGGTTAGAGCACATGTCAAGGGTGAAATTTACGTCATGTACACAAGATGGGGCGTGTCCAATACATGGCTGCAGGTGGCAGCAACACATAACTAAACGAGACATAACTGCCAGGGAGTAACTCACGGGGTTTACATGAAGCCTAGGTCACACTGTCAGGATGTTGTACCCGCGAGCCCTCAATTTATCAAGTCTTGGTGAAGTGTAGCTAATCGTGTACACATAAGGGGCAGCATCTATAAAAATCTTAAAAGAGCCTTGGCTGATTTTTATGGGTTGGGAAGGAGCAAGAATGTTTTGAGAATGTTCAGAACTATCCTGGATCAAAGACGATTCTTTTTTTCAAATGGTGGGACTATCCTACGGCAATCGTAATTCAGTCTAGCACCTTTCGTACGTCCATCGTATAGACATTCGTGGCCTTCTATTGATAATTGTGGCTGTCTTTTATGACAAGTGGTTACGAATTTATAGGACTGGAATACCTTTTGAGACTTGTATATGACGGGATGATAAATCTTCATTTATCTCACTACTATCTTCCTTGAAAAGTAAACAATCGTCTGTAATACGGGCGTTTCGCAATAGTGCGCCTCCAAGAGTTTGCTGTTGGCCAATCAAAATGCACGAAATCTGTCGACCCAGTGCGTGTTAGGAAAGGGTCGACAGATTTCGCGCATTGTGATTGGTCAACGCGTTGCAAACTCTTGGAGGCGCGCCATCTCCCGTATTGCCCATTACCGTACAGTATTCCTAGTGGCAATGGCTCCAGTCAATGACTTGACTCCAGTTCGACTAGAGTCACAATTTTTGCGACTCGACTCAACTCGAGTCCCAACTGGTAAATGACTCGACTTGACTCAAGTCACAGCGAGCAAATTAGAAGATTTGACTCGAGTAAAAGTTAATAACAAGACTCGAGTCCCTAAAATAAAAGCAAACTTCTCTGCCAAAAATTGTAACCTAAATGTGATGTATTATTATAATCAACGGTAAGATGTGGCACGACAATATGCAGAAACCCGGTTAATTTCAAAATGCCAAATTAAATTGACTTTTCTCAATTTTCATTTGTCGTTTAGTGTCCAAACATTGGGGACTCGAATTGACTCGAGCTAAATACTTGACTTGACACGACTAAATTCTTTTGCCCAATGACTCGACTGGAGGCACTGCGATACAAGAATTCCAGTCACCGCGTTACAATGACTCGACTCAAGTCGCCAACATGAGTGGCTCGTTAATAGAACTCCGGCGACAACGTAAACCAGGTCCTTGAGTATGTCTTGGTGCAACTGTATTTAATCTGCTTTACAGTCGTATAATGGTAGGCTCACCGTCCATATCCGTTGGGAATTGCAATCGGGACCCTGCCTTGCGGATTCATCTTCATAAACACGTCATCTTGATAAACAATCTTGATAAAGACAAACACGTTCAATGAGGGCGGGCTATCTTGGCCAATATCGTAACAGTGTGACTTGGGCTTAAGCGCTCATGTTATTCCAGGCCGACAAGTAGCAATGCCAACATTAATATTAGTACATTACTTACTTCCCAAGTGCTTCTCCTTCTTCCATCGTCTCAGGAAGCTTCTTATTTCTTGTCTCGGGGAGCAGAAGAGCAAATAAGCCCGCTGCGACAGACAGGGCCCCGAATACCACGAACGGGAGTGGCTCCCAGAGAGACTTGAGCTCTATCATGAACGGAGAAAGGATTCCCGATATACGGGCAGACATCGAAGACAAGCCCATGCCGGCACTCCTGCAATATTGGAAAGAAAGCAGGCGGTATTGACGCAGGTTCCGTGAAGATGCAAGCAATGCCGTTAGTGACTAAGAAATTCTATATTAGCCACCAAAATCATCTCAAATTATATTTGTTGGGCGTGATCGGCCGATATCTGCAAGACCACCTGATCGCTCTACACCAAGCTAGGATTTTACTAGTTGGGAGGGCACAAAGGGGGCACCAGCATCTAATGGGGACACCAGCTTTCAGTGGGTTTTTCTTGGGGGGGGGTAGCCTTGTTTACTATCCATTCATCAGTTTTTAGTGGGGGGCACTTGGAGGGAGGCACCGAAAATTTGTGAGGGGCACATCCCCCTGTGGCTACGCCACTGCTCTGCACGATTGATCGATCCTCAACTCAACTTTGCTTCCCTTTGTTGAAACAATCTGCCGGAACAGCGAATTAGAAAAGAAAGGTCATTTGCCGACGGCAAAATTACTGACAAATCATGCAAGAAAATTGACTGAATGCGCAAGTCGATGGATCACACCCATATACGTATTAGGCTGGTGGGCCTTATTCAGGAATCCACCACTTTGGGCCACGAGAGAATCGGACTCTGTAAATCTGTCCTATATGTGGAAATAAAGATGTTGCAACATAGGGAAATTCTGTTTCTGTGGTCCGGTTGGCTAGTTCCAAATTATGGAAAGGAAGTCTGCCACCTTTATTGTCCAAAGTTAGTTACTGTTTCAAAGTGAGGCTTTACCGGTAATATAAACAGACGATCAGGCTCCTTCCAATTTCAGAATTTTCAAAAAATAAAGTGGATTCAGGGAGCTCGTTCCAAGATGGCCATCTCTAGGATAAAGCCTATTGTTTGCAATATTACCCAAGGCACCTACCTGACTGGTGTGGGAAATATTTCTCCAGACACGACATAAATGATTGCAAAAGAGGCAGAAATACAAAACTTGCCGACCATGGCGATAATCGTCCGTGCAACGCCCATTTCTAATGGGAGATGAAACGAAAACCGCAGACCATTTTACCTCAAAACGTGTTAAATTATAGATTTGGAAAGTCATGATTTAGTTATTCTAATACAAATAGTTTTTGTAATTTTCATTGCAGTGTCTCCACAGCATAAAAGTGCAACAATACAATGGCGCGCCACCAAGAGTTTTCAACGCGCTGGCCAATCACCGATGCACAAACTCTGTCGACCCAATGGGCGTCTGGAAAGGGTCGACAGATTTCGCGCACTGTGATTGGTCAACGCGTTTCAAACGCTTGGAGGCGCACTATTGTGAATCGCCCGTATTGTTTGTGTTATGTGTATTTGTGGCAGCTGATGGTGTTTTGAAATAATGCGTGTGTTTCCATTTCTGTTGCATCGATTTTTGGTGCTGGTGATGAACGTGACACTGGTCAAAATGGCAGAAGTTGCACTAGAGACCTAGTACAAGAATGAATCGCCTACCAAGAAAAGCACAGATGACGCAGGCTACACCACCAACCACCATGTTGGCGCTCAGATTTACTCGCCGACCGGTGTACTTCAGCGCAACGACGCAGTAAACGATGCTAGGGAGCTCGACAAAGCCTGCAATCGCTGCGGCCAGGTAGTCATCGACTCCAAAGTCGGACGTGCTCAGCCCGAGACCGTAGTACACCATGTTGTTCACAAACCTACCATTGCAACAGAGCGTAGGCACAGTTGCACGATATAATATTGTACATGATCATCTTTCACCAACACACTATAAAGTTAAATATCTCTGGAGGAACACAGTATGTGCCCCGAGCTGGACCAAGAGAGGGCGCAATTTTCCTAGCAAAGCAGGCTTCTTTGGTGGGAACTGCAGCACTTCGCTGGTTTACAAATGATCACGAAATGCACGCGTTACGGTCGCGTCTCTGCCCACAAAATCAATATTCCCCTCCGACATGGTTCTTTTCAACTGATGAGGGGGTTATATATAACTATATATAACGGGTTTGCCCTTGAGGGGGTGCTTCTGCTCAAGGCGGATAGTAGGCTCATGCTTACCAATTGAACATCAGATTTAATGTCTTGAGGCACATGTTGGGCGTACGGAAGAGTCCAACAACTGTTTGCTGGCCACCAGCATTCTCCTCCTGGATAAAGACAACAAATTCCAAATACCTCCTGGCTGTTCAGTGTCTGAACAGATCGGTAATTTCAACGAGAGGAATGTTGCAAAATTAGGGTAGTTCATGAAACCAAAAAGTGGCGCGATGCGGCTGAAAGTTTGGGATTACAGGGACAGGTTTGACTGCTGCCGGAAGTTGGAACTTGGACTTTTCCCGTCATTTTATATACCTTTCGTTCCTTTTGCCCTAACAGACGCTGAGATGAGCTTGTACCCCTCACACAATTTTTGTGAAGTTCGAGCGTCTCAAGCCCGTGACTAACTTACTTCCTTAAGCAACGCACGCTCCTTCTTCGCACGCGTACATCAAGGCGCATACAGTTACGCTGACATCCAATGAAGATTAGAAGAAACTGCGCTATGCATTAGCCCATACCGACCGGTCATGCACGAGCGAATACGTACCTTAGCGGCGCCAATGACATCGGGTGAGAACATTTCCTCGGGGAATTCCTTCTTGTTCCTCGCTGCTACTTTCCTTAACGTCTTCTCGGCTTCTTTGTACTTCCCTTTGAACATCTGCCAACGAGCCGACTCGGGAATGTAACTATACAGGGAAGTCGAGTAGAAAAACTGGCTATTTTCTCCGCAAATGTGATGTGGGAGTGGTGTCAAGAAAAATTTGTGTTTTAAAACTGGTCACTCAAAACAATTTGAGATGTCTTCAACAGCTGCAATTTTTCAGAGCATCTGCGCATGATGAAACTCACCGGACTCCTGTGTACATTTATCAGCACTTTGTGGGGGGAAGTTATGCACAAAGTGGTCTGTCATTGAAGGAACACATTGTGGCTTCCCACGGTATTAGCCTTCACCATGTAGTGGATCCACAGGTAGGTCACCATCGCAATCTTAAAGCACCTAGTTGTTGTGTTCTACGATAATTTTAGGGCGCGGTATGTCCGTAACTTTTGTTGAGCCCTAGTTTTCGCTGGAATGGCACAAAAATGCCGTGAGATCTTTGCCTGGTGCATGATGCAATCAGAACACTCCCTTGCTCTTGCTTAAGTAAATTATATATACCACGTCAGTTCTTCCAATTAAGATCATCTATTTTTCAAAACTTGGAGAAAAAACTTACAAATATAGAAAGAAGTACAAAACGGTTGGGAGTGCAATAACAAGTTGGAGTAGTCTCCAGGAGCGGATCAAGTAGGCCAGCACCGGCAGAACAGTCAAGCCAAAAGCGAAGAATACCTGGAGAGAGACGCCGACTAGAGCTCGCTTGCTCGGCCCGATGTACTCCGTAACTGCGGGAGAAACAAAGAGATCGGGATCTTGTCCGTACAAATCCACAGCAATAATTCTTTTTTGTCAAAGCACACTGACGTAGCGCAGACCTTCACTGGCTTTCTTTTTATGAGTATTTTGACAATAAATGTGCGTCTGCGGCCTCCAGAGTTCACAAATTTTACCCCTATAGCTTTTTGTATGGCGCGGAGTATTCATCATCAAATTCCATCTGTCTGCACACCGGTGACAAGTGTTTGGTCACACGGGGGAACGTTATCGTTTCTATGTTGTCTGTGTTGTTGTTGTTGTTGTTGTTGTTGTCGTTGTTGATGTTGTTGTTGTTGTTGTTGTTGTTGTTGTTGTTGTTGTTGTTGTTGTTGTTGTTGTTGTTGTTGTTGTTGTTGTTGTTGTTGTTGTTGTTGTTGTTGTTGTTGTTGTTGTTGTTGTTGTTGTTGTTGTTGTTGTCCATCGTTGGTGGTGGTGCAGGTAGGGGTGGCGGTGGTCGTGTTTTTGGTGATGGTGTTGCTGTTAAGGGGAACTTTTGTAAGGAGCGAGGATGAAACCACAAATTTTATAAACTGGACAGTCAATTGTGTATTAAGATCATTTCTTTGAACTAGAGGCCTGCAAAGAGCAAAGGGTAATGGCGTAAACCTTATGGGGAGGGGCGTGGCCACGCAGGAGCACACACCCCGTTGGATGTCTTTGCCCCGTGTGCACCCCCCCCCCGTGGAACCCGCGGTGCCCCCTTGGAAATATTGACCTTGTTACGCTTGAAGTTCTCTATAAAGGACAGAAAACTACCTTAAGGGTAGGACTACAAAGTCACGTGGTTACATTGAGTACCACCTGGTCAAACATTTGAGCATGACGAAATGAATTAAGCCCGAGTCCATAACTGGTTATCAAATGGTCGCTCTGGCTTGCCTTGATATAAACCGTGCAACATTAATTGGTACTCACCGAGAACGTATGCAGCGAGAAACGCCCCCATCACACCGGCACCGATGAAGAACCGCAGCACCATATACACGATCACATTGGGTGAGAAGACGTTGCCAATGGACGAGACCAACAGTACCGCAGAGGCTATGTAGATCGTCGGCTTGCGGCCCAGCCTGGTATGAAAATGGGGAATGGATTCGGAAAAATATGCATCATTGCCGGGGGGACGGGGATTGTGGGGATGACTTGCGTGAACTATGGCATATTATACAAGAAGCACTGACGGCCACACAGCCCAGCGAAAGGGCTTTTGAGCACTTCATTTTCTTAGCCTTCAGTCATGCCTTAAAAAATTCAGTTTATGACTGACGCCTAAAGAAGTTGACACGAGACTGAAATAATACTGGATAATAAGACACATTTTGGGAGGAAATTTGGGGAATTTTTATTGTGTAGTCGTCATGGGCTTTCTCAGGTGTGGCACTGAATTTCTCCGATTTTCACACGCTTCAGAGAGGCATAGGCCTGGTTCTCCCCCCCTAATATGTCCTTTCATGATGGCATGACAGCGGCCGTGCCCCCGTCTACATCCCCATCCTCCAATGGGTCAAGACATGCTTTTTGCAGCGTCGAAATTAAAGCATTTCTTCAAAGAATATGACACACTGCTACTTTGATGGGATTACAATGAAGACGCTAGACCCGGCATAGACCTACCAGTCGGCAAGCGAGCCGAACACAAATGATCCGACGAGAAATCCTGCAAAGAATAGGGACTGCAGAAAGCTGACCGTACCCTTCTTGTCACACACCAGATCAAACTGATTTCAAATGATAAAGAAAAATGGATTCTGAAAAATATGCATCATTGCCGGGGGGCGGGGATTGTGGGGGATGACTTGCGTGAACTTGGAAACTTGAAGGGGGGGACTGACACCATATCTCAGTATATTAAAATGATAAAGAAATAAAAGAGTCACACGGCTCATCATGCCAGTGCTTATCCCCTCTCTAGTTGGCATGAAAAAAATGAGATTTTTCTTTTCCTCCCGGATGGGATTCCTGCCCATTTCACGCTGCTCCCAACCTGAAGCTGCAACCAAATGCATTCATGGATTCAGAGGCGAAATGAGGTATAAAGTGACTCGCCCCAGGACACATTTTACGACCAGCAGCTGGCTGGATTCGACAGGAACCAAGAATAGAATGAACATTCTGGAAATTTACAATCCCATACGGTCATTTATAGAATAATACTGAATAGTGTCCCAAAATAATTTACAATATATCTCTATAACTTTTACAGAAAGGAAATTGGTAAGATTTCCACAGACAAATGTCACCAGTTTTCCCCTGCAAGGCCTTATTAGTCCTCAGAAAGCAATAAGTTGTCCTACCATGTCAAATTTAGCATTGACAAAATCTACGCAGTTTCTTAGAAAACACCAGCCTCGTAGGGTTTGTGCACAGGGTGTCTAGTGACATTCGTATATGGAACTTACTGCAGGAAATCTTTAAGGAAAGCGGTATCAAAGATATAATGAAACTGAAAATGGAAGAAAGCTGGCATTTTAAACAAGTCCGAGTTTAAACTGTCAGACAATTTCAAACAAACTAAGGTGATTAAGTGCTGAATAATTAATCTAAGTACAGAGTGTGGAATATACGTTGCTGTTCATTAAAAAACTCCTTCAATCGAGCCATGGTCCACAGGCGAATTTCGTCTATTGAAAGATCTTGCTCACGTCATCTTTGGTAAAAATTCAACCAAAACTTAAAAAGAAATGATGAAAATCGAAGCTCTAGCTGAATCGCACACTTAACATTCACTACACAAACGAATGCCACAGAAGGGCGCCCACTCAGGACGCACGGTGAAGCGATTCGAAACCTTTGCCCTAGCTACTTTCCAGTGCAGTGTAAATGCGGTAATTACGAACTGCCCATGATTTCCGGTGACTGTGGTTCAAAACTGCATAGTGCATAATCCAGTCATTCATAGAAAGTCCAGTCAGAGGTCATTTCAACGAGTTGTATAGGGGGTGAACGTCCAAGGCATAAGAATGCCTTTATTACTGTTCATTTAAATAGCTTGTGCATTGAAATGAGACTGAAGTACCAGTTACTGAAGAATGTGCTTAATAATGCCGGAATAGTGACGACATCCTGATGGTGGCTTTGTCGCTGTTTTCAGTGAGGCCGAGAATTTCTGTTACAGTGGAAAATGCTATAATACCTTAGTTTACAGGAAAAAAACATGGCCTACCTCATTTATTATGGTCGTCTTGTACTGACTTGTGTCGAACACCCAACCATCTGGGCATTCGATGGTCCCATTGGCGAACAAGCTGGCGTTGATTCCCACCTCAAATTCGACACCTCTCACGTCGTACATGTGGCAGCTGTCGAATTTCTCCGTGGTGGCATTGTACGGGATGGAGGCGTTGCGTTTCTCCAGGAGGCACTCCCAGCCGTCCGCCGGGCTCGTAGCGGTGCAGTTAGCCTGGTCCCACGTTGCAACGCGGCACCAGTGATTGGCCTCCCCGGCCATGAACACCTGGGCCAGGGCGTTCAAGCCGTCCATGACTCCAACCAACGGGACGAGGCAAAACAAAATCTTCTGCCAGGTTCCGAACTCCCCGATGGCACAGAGGATGTCGTCGAAAGTGGGGGGAGTCTTTGGTTCGGCTCCATCATCCAACAAGTCTTCTTTGTCTGACATGGTGGTTAGATAGTTTTCGAGGTAATGCTCAATGCCTGTCAGAGTTTTTGCTTACGGTTCGGCTGAGACAAAAAAATGGCAACACAATGGCCAAGTTTTACACAACAGCGTTAACAATTCCGATTTTCGCGGACTTTGGTTCGTGCAAGGAGCGGCCTTATGATATTCGCTAGGCTTTGAGGTTTGATAAGATTCAGTCGTTGACCTTGAATCGTTGACATTGATGCGAGTGGCTATTTTGGCAAGGGTTAAGATTGGGTTATCAGACACAAACGCTGAACAACATTGATCCGTGTGAGGGTGCGGGAAGCAAAGACAAAAACTGAAACAAAACACATAAATCAAAACAAAAACTTCCCCTTGCAAATTTGTGCTATTTGGTGCTATGGGATATGGGTGTAGGTTTTGCCTTTACAAAAAAGCCCTGAGGCTGGTTCAGGAGGCTACAAGAGCGAAGCAAATTTTGATGTCACGAAATGTTTGCAGGGAAATTCGCCGGAGTTGAAATGTATTCATCTTTTGCTAACTCGCAGCGTGGATATCTGATCTGACGTCGGTTTTTTTCCCCCCAACATCATGTTTAATGAGCCCGAAGCCACATTTGCTTTTGAACCCCCCCCCACAACAAAGGCTGGAGACACCGCTGCCAAGCATCGAAGCATTATAACTTATGGACGAAACCACTATAACCCGATTGAGCTATACCAGTCACACACTGTACACGTCACATGGGCTTATGTGCTGGTACCATCCTTTTCCTAGCTGAACGCTCTTGCGATTTGCAGTAATTTCTTGTGCTTACACATATGGACCCTATTGTGAGTATGCGCATGGGTCGAGTGGTATCCCGACACAACTGATGCCATTTGGCCAAATTGAACTGAAAGCGAGGTTAACTTTTTTATTTTGGGAACCTGAGAATAAAAATGAAAGTAATTACATACAAGTTCGTCATAAATTGATGTCATTTATGTCGAAAAATCATTTAAAATTTGTGACTGATTTTATGTAAATGTTTTAAGACTTTAAAAAATGAAAGTGAGGTATATGAAATCTAAAATAGTCTGGCACCACCCCATTTAACAGATATCGTTGAATGAAATAGATTCTGGGAACATTATCAAAACATGGCTTCAGTGTCACTGATAAGGTCTACTGCCACAAGTCCCAGTTGCTCGTTAATGCACTAAGCCAGAACTTTGGTCTGAGCTTGTACGACTAAAACAAAAGTTACTAAAAAGTGACGTCATGCTTTCCCCACGTTTGTTCTTCCCCTGCGCGAATTAAGGTGAACATTAAAAAATGTTGTTGGACAAAATAGATAAGTGCCTGTCCGCCTTGAACAGAAGCACCCCCTCATCGGTTGAAAAGAGCCATATGTTGCCCCCTTTCTTGGTCCTGCTGGGGGAAGATGTACACGTCTCTCATTTCCCTTACTACATTGATCACTGTCCCAACTACAGCATCGGTCCCAACTGCAGTTGGGTGATCCCACCAATAAAGTGCTGTAAGTGGACAGGTCGTTCCTTGTGTCAATTAACGAAGTCCCACCTATACATGCAAGGCCCCTTCTCTGGTAGTTTTGCATGAAAAATTATGTTCCCACAAAAAATCTCCCAATGCGTCGAGCCTTTTTTTTTACCTTTCCACTTCCAAGAAGTTTCCACCTTTAACAACTTACACACTTTCACCGACAGTTCCCCTTCTAAGAAAGAAATCAAATAATTAAGAGAAGTATAAAAGCAAAGTGAGTTTACATATAGAATAGTCAGTACTACAAAGTGAAGTGTATTTTTTCCGCCCAAAAATTCAAGCAACCTGTGTTTTCCGACGAAACAAATACTATCACAATCTGCTCGTCGCTAACTCTTGTAAAATACTGTTTTGGAACAACGGCAATGCTGTGCTCTTTAGTAAATATAGGTGTAACAATAGAGATTTCTTGTAAATAAATCTGCCACTAAAACATGACATAAGCTTAAAAAGGGGAATTAATTCGGTTTTGAAGGGTTTCACTCCAAATTAACATAAGAATATCATTCATGGATTTTGATCTAATGTGATTTTGATCAAATGTAGTCATGTTGCAGCGCAGCATAGCAATTCATTAGTATTAACTTTAACAAAGTCTGGATAACAATATTATCAGATATCCATCTTCTGTTCCATAATATTGAAGAACATATATTTACATCTTTAAGTTTGGAAACTGGTAAGCTGCAAATCAGACTGCAAATTAGGCTACATATTTTTTTATGAATCAAACAAGTTTTTAAAAAAAATGAAAAATTTTTCATTTTTACCAAAGTTTTAAAAAGGGGAAGGTGGACTGGGGAAAAGAAATCCAAGAGGGACGAGAAACTCGTTTATATTTTATTCAGCCTAATGGTTTGACACAAATACCCATGTCAAAAAGACTGCAGCTTCTTTACAGCGATTCCTAATCATGTTTGTACCTGACAAGGTGGCGGACTTCTCGAGATATTTACAGACAACGCCATCTCGAGTGTCAATATAATGGGCTTCGTGTACGAGTGACGGTGCTGCTGTTGTGGAGTACCTTTCCAGTACGGAGCTCCAGATGTGCCATCAAACTCAATGAGCTCTAAATTCACACTTTGCCCTCCACATACTTAGATTACACAGCGCCCTCTTCGTTTGTCCACGAAGCCCATGTCACTGACAAAGCCAGTAATGTCTCGACGTTTGCCTACATACTTTTAATCGTCTTGTCTGTCTGGGTTCCCTTCTCTTCAAAGGCAATATTTTCGATCCCTTGCTTGGTATCTAAGTGAGTCACATTAATAGTCACCATAGCAACATCATCACCCTCTTCCGCATCCCGGCCGCTACCTCCTAGACACTTCGGTCTTAGAAGAAAACAAACCAAAAAAAAATCTCAGTAATGGAAGTTAGGAAAACAAATGGATAAAAGTGAGACTGTCCAATTGATCGCTGCAGAGCGCATGGGCGTTGGTAAGAAGTAAATAACCAATAGTCTATACCATAAAGGAAGCTGTAATGGCGGGCGGGGCCCATGGGCGTGAGATCTGGGTATAGGGAATATATATCCGCCTCACTTTTGAGGGGATGTGCTATTGAATCACCCCCCCACACACACACACAATTTGATAAAGATTATTTGATAAATGATTAATACGCCGTTTTAATGTAAGGTTCTTCAAAAGTGTAATACATATTGCAGATGCACATCTCTATCATGAACATTGCACCTAGTGTCATGTGGTGTCAGATTTCCACGGCCGAGCAAGTAATCGCCCACAATCAACAGCCCCCCCCCCATTTCCGACACAAAATTACGCCCTAACCAGGAGGAAGTCTGTGTCTTTTCTTGATACAGAGTTCGGATGTGTTGACTCCAAGCAGCATTGACTACGGTAGCGTTCTTGTCACTATACTCGATCAACGAACACGCCTCCTTTATTTTTTTTTCACATTTGCGCGTAGGTATTGAGCATTTTGGGGGGGGTCAAATTTGTTCAGAAAGCAGGATGCAAAGCGATCCTCTTCCAAAGATTAATACAAAACAAAAAACTAAAATTCGCCATTTGAATAGGGTGTGCCCCTCAAAAACTGCGCAAGCCGATACGATAATGCAAACATACAAATGATGTAGTCTGATCACAAGAATGGAAATAAGTAATCGCACATGTCACCTTTACTATTTGATATCAGAGTTGGTGCACTGAAAAAAATGCTGAGAGACAACACATCTTACTGAAAAATGGAAGAAACTCACTTTCGATTAACCATTTAAATATCGCCAGGTTTACCGTGGAAATTATGTGATTGCACCGTTTGGGGCTGGGGGTTGGGGCACAATTTACGCTTACTTTCCAAAGGCCTCTCCTTCTTCCAGCGTCTCCGGCAACTTCTTGTTGTTCGTCTCCGGCAGCAGCAAGGCGAGTAGGCCGGCAGCGATCGACAGACTCCCGAACAGCACGAACGGCAGCGGCGCCCACAGGTCCTCCAGGTCCAGCATGAACGGGGAGAGGATGCCGGCCACACGGGCCGTCACGGAAGACAGGCCCATCCCTGCACTCCTGCGGGAGAGAGAGAGAGAGGAAAAAATTAAGTCAGATTTTCCATGTAGAGGACCGATGTCAGACATTTCTTTGAGAGAATCTTGATAGGATGAACCACCTGGTCCAATCTTTGGGTCACCGTGTGTTACACAGAAAGTTTATACGAGTATATTTGGGTCTGTTCGGTTGTACATCTTAGTGAACTTCCATTTTTATGATCCAAACATGAGGTTATCTTGACGCATAGTGTGACATCTGCTTCTCTCATTAAACATGAAAGCCGACAAAGCAAAGCTAGGGTCATATAAATGAATCAATACAAGCACTTGTATTACGGTTGAATTTTGTAAACATGTAGGGGCCTACACAAGACATAAAAATAAAAGCTATTATGCAAAACTAAAGCCCTAATCGTGAAAAGAGCGACGTCTGAAACCAAGACGTTTCACTGATTCAAACAGTCGATCTTTCCTCGTCCTGCTTGGGGGGTCAGTTCAAATTCTTTCGGCCGTATTAGCCAAACGACTTTTCCTGATTAATAAAATTGTACTATGCAAACAGTACGTAGGTTTTTGTTTTTGTTTTTGTTTTTGTTTTGCAAGGTGTATGCAAAACCTTGGCATAATTTGGTTCAGTTTGACTTTAATGTGGTCGTCAAAACCTGATGCTAGACCATTGTGGTCAAGACCAGTTTGTACTGAGGAGCAACGTTCTTATACGACGCTATAGTAAAGTTTACAAAAACTGGGAATTTAAAGCTTCTGTGACTCTGAAACAGATTGAAAAGGCAAAAGTTCAACCCAAATTCACTTAAAATTTATTTAAATAATGCAAATATCTTTATACCTTTAATAGAGGGCCATTCTCGTCGGACCCAAACCTATACAAGAGCAACGCGTACTTACTCGAAGAGTAAATTCCTTACACAGTCATTAATTAAAACTATAGAAAAAAAGCTAAGATATAAAAAAAGTAATTTGAAAGTGTAAATATAGTGTGCTACCTGACGGGAGTTGGGTAGATTTCTCCCGACACCACATAGATGATAGCGAACGAACCGGCTATGCAGAACTTTCCAATCATAGCGATAACCGTCCGCGCAACCCCCATCTCTGCAAAATGAAAAAAAGCAAAGGAAATTCAATATTCCTATGAGAGACAACAAAATTTATTTGTGGCGACTTGTGGGTGACCTTCGCAAACTAGTGAAAACTTTTCTTAAGAAACAAACACTCGAGCAGGCGTTTTTCACCGACTTTGTCAAAACAGTCCAAAGCTGTAGGCGCAACCAACGATAACTCAGGGTCGCGTGAAAATCGCCATAAAATATAATGACACTTGAGAAAAGACTAGCGCGACCACTTACATCACCTCGTTTTAGGGGCTATGTTTCTCTGGTTTACTCCCACCGATTCTGGAAATATTAATATTCATAAGAGAGATGACGTCATCTGGATCTGGTTTGGACATGTAACATGGTGGAAATAAGTAAAGAGGCGGTCCAGACCAATGACGTGTGCATGGATAATCACCCTCCAGGCTAAGTAATTGGACAAAATTTGCAGAATGCAACCCTGAATTATTCAACATGGCTGTAAATAGAACCTGCTCGTCTTTTGTCTTGTGCAGCATGTTGCGCACATCGAATACATTGTAGTTTAAAACAAAATGTGACGATCGCCTTGATACAAGTCTAGGACTTGTTTTAATTTGACTTACCCAGAAATGCAGTGGTAATGCACGCAATACCGCCGATCACCATGGTACCGCTCAGGTTGACCCGCCGCCCGAAGTACTGCAGAGCGAAGACGCAATAGATGTAGCTGGGGAACTCGATCAGCGCTGAGAGAGCCGAGGCGAGATAGTCGTCCACGCCAAGATTAGAGGTGCTTAGACCCAGACCGTAGTACACCAAACTATTCACAAACCTGCAGGTAGATGAATAGACGAATGAATTCATAGTGACGTGTACAACCATTTTTGAGGAAATTAAGACTCCTTTCCATGTGCGAGCATTTTCAGTGCCCGTCGTGGTCCGTACGCAGAGGTGTTAAAGTTAAAGGTGATTGACGGATGTCCCCAAACCGCCCGTGCGGAAAGGCGCCCTCAGACAACGCCTGTCAGTTCGTGGCCAGTAACAAAAAGACAATCATTACGCGTCTTACACAACAAAGCATACACCACTTGAATGCATTTAACCGAACAAAGTCTCAAAACTCACCAATTGAACATTATATTCAGTGTTTTTATGCGCATGTTTGGGGTGCGGAACAATCCAACTGCTGTTTGCTGTCTCGATGACGATTTTTCCTGTTGACAAGAGACGAATAAACTCATACTTTTTTGTTTATCAAATTATCCAGGTTACAAGCAAAAATATTCGATATAATCATAACGACGGCTATTCAATCTCAAAGACCAGATTTTTGGCAACAGATATTTGTTACCATTGAAGCGGCGATACTCTCCGGTGAGAACATTTCCTCGGGGAATTCCGTCTTGTTTTTCGCTGCTACTTTCCTTAACGTCTTCTCGGCTTGCTTGTATTTCCCTTTGGACATCTGCCAACGAGCCGACTCGGGCATGTAACTGTGGATGACGAAATCAGTAATCAACGAAAAACTAAAAACACTTTGAAATTTACAAATATAATCCACTTTCAAGTTTCCCATTAAATCGGCAATGTGTATAAAACATCCGTCCAGTATCTGCTGCTTGCATGAAGTAGACTCGCAGCCAAAAACAGAGATAACAAAGTGACGGCTTGTTTGAAGATTACGTCATCAAGATAGCATTACGTGTCATTAAAAAGAAGATTATATGGGTTTCTTTAGGATAAGTTTTGTCCTGGTGAATTTAATCCATATTTTCGATTCTTATGAAATTGAAAGGGCCTATAGGTGAAGTCCATGTGCAGTTTGAAAGCAACACCGGCTGGAAGAGTTTTACAAATTTATGTTTTTTTTCGAAGCTATTATATTAGCAAAGCAAGTTTCAAGACATGGCGGGCCGTTTTGTAGGAATTTTTTACACAGCTGGGCAAGACTGAATGAAAAATTGTCCTTGGTGCCCTATACACACTATATATGCAAGGTGGGCCTACCAGGCAAAATCAACAAAGTTGCTGCTCAAGCTTGCTCAATAATATCCCAACAAAAATCGGAAGGAAACCAGTGACTAACAAGGTACATCACCGTGGCTCTTGGGCTGGGAACCAGTACATGTACTATTTGCGGTGTAATTGCGATTTAGGGGTTGAACACAACATTTACCAATCTACGAAGTGAAACCATAACGCCACAACAAAATGTTGCATTTTCATTGTTTTGCGGATTAGCAGCAACTGTACGGTGGCTCTCAAAGGACACTTACAAATACAGAAGAAAATACAGGACAGTGGGAACTGAGATACAGAGCTGCAGAAATCTCCAAGTGCGGATGAGGAAGGCGAGAAGCGGAAGGATTGTGAGGCCAGTTGCGAAGAAGAACTGGATAGAGATACCGACAAGGACACGCCTGCTCGGGCCAACGAATTCAGCAACTATAATGGAGGTCCAACAAGAGAAATGGGCTCATGTTGTGATCTCAGATGAAACTGGAGATTATGAGGGGAGGGAAAGCCAATTTTAAGAGAGAGAGAGAGAGAGATGTGGGTGAAACTATGCAGGGATTGAGCAAAGGTAAATACAATGGTGCAATTTCCATCCGATCAAAGTACTCACCGACTTAGGCAATGCGTCTATGGGCCGGACGTAGATAACAAGGTTTGAAGTGGGAGCACCTTTAATTAACCCTAAAAAAAGAGCCTGGTTATTCTGGCCTATCTCACAACCGGGGGGGGGGGCACCAAGAACTTGGCTATGCCACTCCCGATTTCTAGAAAACTTGACATGCATATACAGACACTCCTTATCATTACAAATGTGAAGTTTAAACTCAATCGAATGGATAGTGTTGTTGTTAGGGTCATTTGAAGTTCATGGCTACATGCGTGCCCTTGAGCGTGCATTGAGCACCGCAGTGAAAAGAGTATACATTTTCGGCCTACCCGTCTCAGGAATATGCGCGTTTTGCGAGAACGGTATGTTCGAATTTTGAAAAAAATATTTTGTCAAAATGACTGAAAAAAGTTCTTCTGAAATCTCCTACAGGCTCAATTACCCCTGCACTGTGGCGATATTGGAACTTATGTAGGGTTAAGCCAAGGAAAAAGGGGCCCATCCCCAACCCTTTTGACAACGGGGGGGGGGGATTTGAGCCTCCCTGTCGACGGTGGTACAATACTTTTTTAAGGGGTCTTTTAAACTTTTCAGCAGCTAGAGTGTATTAAATAGCACCGGACAAGCGAAGATGTACCCTAATGTATCAAGAATAATTAAGTACCTTAAAGTGCGCCCCTCGGTGTCCTTTACTATACCTCACCCCAGCCCTGCTTTTGGAAAATTCAACAGCCGGGCAATTTTTATCTTAGTTATCCTTAACCCGGTCCCCCCTCCGATAACACCGACTTGCATGTGTGTCAATGTTTACTCTCTTACATAACGCCATGGCGGATGGAATACATGATATATAATACTTCAATGCACTCGTAGATGTAAGCTTGGTGCTAGCTCTGTTGTAGGCCTACTATAAACAGTGGTCAGTAACACTGGATTGGATGCAGTCAACAACCCAATTGCTAAATCAGGCAAGCTGACAGGAGAATCTTTTTAGCTTTATTTTGGACGAAGGTGCCGAGTCATTCATGACTGAGTAGACTGAAGTCAGGTCTTCATGGAAGTTTTTAGAGGCCCTCACAATTACACAAATGTAATCATTCAACTTGAATTTCATTCTGGTGGATATCCCCGCATGTTCCACTTTCCTTTGATTTTGAATGTTTGTTGTGCCATTTTAAAGGGCACTTTGGTACTAGTTTGATTTTCATGCTACGCAAATTTGCATAATTATTTATGAGCAAGGTGTGAGGTCATCCAAGGTACAAAACCCAGTGTTACAACTATTTCTACACTAAAATCTGTCCAGATTTTGGACTCACTGTTGTTTCAGTTTATGGTATATAGCTAACGGCTACTTTTCTCACAAATAGCTTTTTTTGGTTCAAAATTGTGGAAGAAAGCCTTCGAATGAACTTTGTCTTCCTTTAATGAAATGACAGCAAGAACGAAAAGTTTGAATGTTTACAAAAAATGCACTTCCCATTGAGAGTAAGGAAATATGAGATACTTGTCTTCCATTTAAGATGATTAGACAGATGCATAATGTTCCCAGGTAAAATGCACATTGCGGACTTTTTAAGTATAATCTAAAGAAAATGAAAACGGGACAAATTTTTTGCAGGTTTTTTGCACATAACTTTGCAGGTTTAAAGGAAAAAATAAGAAGTGTAGTTCTGTTGCATGTTTGTGCAGCAAAAGTTATATTCTGAAAGGGTTTTCAGACTTGAAAATCAGTGACGTGCTGTAGACATGCTGAAGCATAATCAGTGGCACAGAGAAGCTTTTCCCATCGAAGTTCCCACGAATTGTAAGAATAAATATTTCCAACCCAACGCCCAAATTATACGTGTGCACATGTAAACATCTCCTTCTACATATCAGTTATTACGGAGGCAATCTGGACACAGACCATCGGGAGTGGACAGACTTTGTATCGAGGAAGAGCGATTAAAAAAACATCCGCCGCACACCATAAAAGACCTATCGAATTTCAACATATCCATGGTCTTATGCTGCAAAACCATCCCCCACAGAAAGCTACCGAGGACACACAAGGTCATTATTTTGTCAGGAGTGAGTTCAGAAAGGCTTACCGAGGACGTACGCAATCAAGTAGGCCCCCATCCCCCCGGCCGCAACGAAGAAACGCAGCACCATGTACACGACTATGCTGGGCGAGAAGACGTTACCCAGAGTAGCTGCCAGAAAAAGTGTGGTGGCGATGTAGATTGTCGGCTTACGGCCCAGCCTGTGTATGGTTAAGAAAGGGTGAAACATTTTTTCATGGTTCTAAAGAATTCAATAACATTCTAGGTTAATTTCAACACCTTGACAATGTTTGTTACCTGTCGTAAGCCAATTATCAAAATGAATGAAATCAAACTTTGACTAATCTTTTATGTGATGACGGTGGCCACAAAATCGTTCGGACTATGAACAACTGATTGCTGATCGTACCGACTCAGCTTAAAATGCTCTCATTACACATTTACTTTCGGGCCATTTCCTCTGAATAAATCAGTCTCATGCTCTGAAGCTCGGCCTGTTTTGCCATCAGAACTGCCCGACAGTGAACTGTTCCAAAACATTCTTGGATTTTTGTTCCTTCTTTCTTTGATTTTTTGGGGTTAACACACTAAAGGCTCACTTGGTCAGAAAACTTTAAATTTGGTCATTAACTTTGATTAAGCAGGGGAAAAGCCTGTGTTAAAATGATGATTAAGCCAGTGAAACTCACAAACTTCCAAAAAGCACTTACAAGTCAGCCAATGAACCAAATACAAACGATCCAACCAGCAATCCGGCGAAGTAGATCGACTGCGCCAGGCTCACGAAGCTTTTCTGATCACACACCAAGTCGAACTGAAAAAAAGTTCATTGTAACTATAATTATGTTGCAAACGTCAACCGCAATAGTCACATTCAAATGGAGCACCCCCAAGTAAAATCCAAGTAACACAGTTCTCATGTTCTCATTAAAGAAATCGCAATCATAATATAAAATATTCATCCCCTCTCCCAGTCTTTCTTCAAGCCGTCACATAGCTACATTGGCATTTTGTCCGAGCAGGAGCAGTCAAAAAATACCCCTTATCTTAGGGACTGGAAAACTGGGAAACGTGGCCCTTGCAGCTACGTCGAATCACAGTATCGAAAACAGGATAACATAGGCCCTGTTTGTGGAATAAAAGATAAAAGGACAATGCAATGTGTTTACAATTTTTTTACACAGGATTAAACTTTTGTTCTTACTTCATTAATTATGGTTGTCTGGTACTGTCTTGTGTCGTACACCCAACCGTCTGCGTCGGCGCATTTAATGGTGTTGCTGGTTTCGTAGAAACTAGAATTCGCCCCGAGAATGAAAGGCTTCTCTCCAATGTCGTACATCTCGCATTGCTCGAAGGCTTTGTCGCTTTTGTTGTTGGTCACCAGGGGGATGGACGCGTTGCGTTTCTCCAGGAGGCATTCCCAGTCGTCGGGCGGGCCAGTATCGGTGCAGTTGGCCTGGTCCCAGGGGGCCACGCGGCACCAGTGGTCAGCCTCCCCGGCCATGAACACTTGGGCCAAGGTGTTCATTGCCGTCATGATTCCGATCAGTGAGACCAGGCAAAAGAGGATCTTCTGCCACCTGCCGAATTCGCCGATGGCGCCGAGGATATCGTCGAATTCCTTCGGCTGTCCCTGTTCCTCAGCGACAGCTGCAGCCTCCTTCTCTTTCTCATCCGCCATTTTATGTCTTATTGCTGACTCTTGGTTTGATCTTCCAATACACACCCTTGTCCAGCAAATCAAACGATTAGACTGGCAAAGTTGAGGGTCAGTTCAACGGGTTGGTTTCAAATCTGTCAGGCCTGGGCTACGCGCTGCGCTACCGCCGTGCTGAGCTTAATTATAATGAGTGTGCCTTAATATCGAACTGAAGAGAGCAGTGTCGCGCAATGGGCACAGAAGTAATTCGCCTTATAGCCCAGGCTTGATTTCACCGATGTGGGCGTTGCACTCACGAACAACGTACAATGTACAATGACCAAATTGAAATGCGATAAAACTTCACAAGGTAAACATATTGAGATCTCTTTTGTCAGATAGGCGCGCTTAATGTTCCATGCACGCCCCTTTGTGAGATAAAATTGAGTGTTAATTGCTGTGATGTCGTAAGGCTGAAGAAGAGCTCTTGTTAGCAATTGTTTATCCATGGGGTTTACCCTGGAGACATTTTTATCAATATTTATTTTTTTTATTTATTCACTACCAAAGTTCTTGGGGTGGGCATCCTTTCACAGATGAAAAAACCATCACACATATTCTTTAGAAATTTTTTATTTTTCCTCTGGACCCAAACCTGGACACGCAAATGACCTGTGGCTTTACTTTGGGGAGGGGGGGGTCACTTGGGGAACATACTAACACCTCCACCAAAACAGGGTCCAAGAAGTGGCAACCGTGGCCATGCCCCCTCCCCAAAAAGCTCCATTTTATTTCCCTCTTTCTTCCAAAGGTGTGTAAACTCAAAATGTAGCCCCACCCTGAAAGCCCGTAAAAGGTTAGATGACAACATTTCAAAAACATTTGACCCCCCCTCCCAAAAACTTCAGTTCTGCATACGCCCGTTCCCCCTCACCTTAAACTCTTTGGCTTGTGTAACACACACACACCCTTGTACCAAGAAAGATGTTCACAGTTTGACGCTATAAGCAAAAAAGAGGTTTCAAAATAGGCCTACCTTCACGGATGCCTGACCCCTGTGTACAGTTAAGCCATTGAAAACCATCTAGACTGAGTTTATAATGAATTTCCTTTTGAAACGAATCGTGCACGACTACTTCAAATTTAAAAAAAAAAACCATCTGTAAGCCAAGCATAATAAACATGACAATATCAGGTTTTGTTTACTTGTTTATTTATAGAGGTGACTTTGAAATCCACACCCGTATTTGGGACGCAAGGGTCGAATGTTAAAGCAACATCATGTTTACGACAAGTGTTTACACAGTTTACAAGATCTACAAGATAAGTAAATCTGATATGTAATGCGTACCCTTTATAAATAGGTGGTGCATGGGTGCCCGGCGTGTTAGTCAGACCCAAGAACGTGTTCAGGGGACTATACAGTCATTAATTTGATATTCCTTTTAAAAACGTTCAATGGCCTTGATAATATTTGATCATGAGAGAGAGCTTTTCTATCAATGCTGCTTTTATTACCTCTCCCCTGACAGGGCAAAGAGCCAATGCTCGCTGGCGGAGTTATCAGCGTACTGACATGAGCCATCTTCGCATGATCGGGGTCACGTGATAGCAGTGGAAACAGGTAATGTGTGAGATTTCCTTTTCTGTCCTTATTTTGATGGATTTGCGGTGAAGTCGTTTTGGCCCAAGACTGGAATTGCACTGTTATTGTCTCTGTACACCAGGTCACAGCCAAAGAACGGTACGGGGCGCCAATCCGTAAGAGACAAAAATTGTATTGAAATCATTCTTGGCGACTCCGAGAAATTCCGAGCATGAATCCCATTGCTTGAATTACCACACATAAAAGCGCACCAGCAACGCATGGCAGTTGGAATTAGTCCCCCTCGACGGACGTGCGATATGGTCACGCCCTGTGATTATTCAACTAATCGTCATCAAGAAGGCGTTGCTTGGCTTGAACGTTTGATAAGACATGCACTATCAACCATGAACTCTGAGTAAACAAACTCCCTACACAATTTATATCCTGGTGAGTGGCCAGTACACGCCTGCGCACCTGTTGTGCATTAGTGTGTCTCTGAAACCGATGAAAACAGTGAAAAAAACACGAACCATTTCGTCCGGCCGTTTTCCAGGAAATCATTTCTGTGACAACTGAGTGACCTTGGCCCAATTAATCCCTAGGTATTCTACAAGAAACATGCACCTATATTTGTCTGGTTGACATCGTTGGCAAAATTTTTAAAAGGCAGCGAACAACAAAATTTGTCCGATTACAAGAAAACGACCACATGCTGACCGCTAGGTGACCTTTGCCCCCATGCCGAAAACAGCATACAGATATATCTTCCCGGAGGACCCTGACTGGCAAAGTTTGAATGAAATCGTTGAGAAAGGTGAGGAAGCAAAGCCGTTCTAAATTTTCAAGAAATGACCAATGGTGATCGGTAGATGAACTTTGACCGCGATCTGGGTGCACTACCGCACATATCAAGCTTGGGCCAATATGGCCAGGTTTGGTTGAGCTCACAAACATTGAACAAGTAAACGACAGAAAGGGGTTGAAAATTTTCAGCCTTCTGGGCATCTGTAATGTGTCAATCCATGATAATATCCAAAACCATTTTTAACAACCTGCCTTGAGCAGAAGCACCCCCTCATTGGTTTAAAGAGAGCCATATTGGTCGGGAGTATTCAATTTTGTTGGCAGCTTCCTTTGATGTATCCTTGAGAAATGCGATTACATGTACGTCTGTAACTCAAACGGATCTTCCTTTTTTCCCAGTGATTCTCTTGCCATTTCAGTTTTCTACCCTTAATGTTTTTATTCCACTTTTGGGTTAATTGGCTTTCAAGCTACAGTGGTTTATTTTCACTTTTATTAATCCTGGCCACCTTGAAGTGGGTTCTTTTGGTTCGTTGTTTGATGTTTGTCTTTTTCTTTTTAATATACATGTTCTAGTCTGTTTTGTTCACTCTTGTTTGGCCGAATAAATAATAATAATAATAACCGCTAATGGGTCATTAGGAAGACATTCCCATAAGAACGTGCCCAAAATGTTTCGAACTTTACTGTTCCATAATTCAATATTCCTAATCTGATCTGAACCAAGCTTTGTGTGTTTTCATTTTAGACCCTAATCTATCATCTCTCAAAATTTGGACGATAAAATTCGGCTGCCTTCTGGTAGTTTGAAAATAGGGAGACACTGAAATGTCTCCCTAAAAGCCAATGTTTCCCTAATGCTGAAAAATTTACCACAAAATGTCTCCCAAATGATCTATCTGTAAATATCAGCGCAACGCACGATTTTCATAGTCTGTCTGAATCATCGAGGTGCAGTAGCTACCAGAGGCGCCTCCGTTGTTGGAAAGTTGCGCCCTCTATTGGTTGCGTCGGGTCTCATAGAGGGCAGTGTCATGCCTATTCTGAAGGATGCAGGCCAGTATGTAGGCCGAAAACTGCTTGCACGAACCAATTCACAAATTGTTTGCACTCAAATTCTCTACGAAATAGAGCATTTTGTGGCACACGAACTTGAAGATTTGTAGAAAAGACAGGTTTAGGTGAGCGAAAAAGAATACCAGCTTGCGTCCGAGTGAAATTTGGAAGAAATCGGTGCCTGAAAACGGTCTTTTTTTTTTAAAAGTGTAGGCATCAATATTTCAAGATGGCAAGGGGCGTCAAAACTGCATTGAAGGGGTGATCTTCGGTGGCAATAAATATTTTCAAAAGTTATTGATGAAAAATGAAGAAGATGAAATATCATAAACTGGGCTTTAATCTGATGTGCGTCTCTAACGCCTGAGAAACTCGTCAGTAGGCATATTTTTCCTGATTTTCTGAAGTTCGGGTATTTATCACTGTTGACTTTGGCAGTTTATTTACTGGCCTGAAACCTAAAGCGGTGATTTTGGCACTCACAAGCCCATAAATTAAGCCTCATCCCCAGAAAGGCCATAAAAGGTTACATGAAATAAGTTTCACCGCCAATTAGGAAAAGAGACAAGTTCGAGCGGCCCCACCCCCTCGAAAATTTGGTTCTGAAGCAGCCCTTGCCGAACGCCTTTATAATGTGCTTAAAACGTACTCTTGAGTCCGCTCAGCGCGCGGGTGCCCCATCACCAATCAACATTATTCGTCATTTAAATATCAGATTTACTTATCTTGTCAATAATGGAAACTGTGTGTGGCTCAAATTTGGTTTCGAACCAGATGTTGCTCCGCAAAACATCGACTTTGGACTTCGGCATGCGGGCGCGGATTTCAAAGTCAACTCTGTACAAATACAGCACAACTGATAACGTCTTGTTCATTGTTCCTAAACTTGCAGATAGTGTTTTGTGTCTTTTTTTTAAAAAAGTTCAGGTTTGTTCCGCCATTCGCTTGTAAGGGAAAATGTATTAAATAATTTTTCACAGGGTTAACTAAATATACAATGTGTAGGGTCTAGCTTTTTTTCTTTTTTCTTTTTTGAAGGCCCTGTTGGAGCCTCCTTCCGTTTATAGTTTCAAACTGTAAGCATTGGACCTCCTAGGGGAAGGCACGGGCCACTGGCTTTCAGGGTGGGGGACCCAATTGCCTCCTTTAGTCAACCACTGAGGAGTGGCGTGTCTAGGTCTAAGGCCTGGGCGAGCAAAATTTAATTGATTTTTAATAACTTTTCATTTTTTGGTTTCATTCACAAAAGAATTCCCATTCTCCTGAAAGGTGGTACCAGCGTACCCGGTATCTAACATAGTGGTACAGAACAGAATTGGCAACATGTTGGGGGGAGGCATCCCCCACACTGGACACACCGAACCTTGTTCTACCTATGACGTCCCAACCAAAGTTCCTTTTCAGCATGCACAGAGCGTACGTACGTCCCACAGGTAGTCTTATCTAACAAATGAGATCTGATATGTTTATTAGGTGAGGTCTTATCGCATACACTTTTTGTTCTCCATCCAAATTTAAATCTGCTCGGTGTGCTGTGGGTGAGGCTGTAACACCCTGTTTGGTAAAAAGGTCAAACATGATGAAGCTCACCCTTCGAACAGACTAACCCCAAACTACACCAGTCCGGTTTCTTTGAATTACTGGGCAAGGGAGTGTGTTGTGCTGGACAAAGGAGTGTGTTGGAAGATTAAAGCGAGAGCCGGTGATAAGACATAAAATGGCGGATGAGAAAGAGAAGGAGGCTGCAGCTGTCGCTGAGGAACAGGAACAGCCGAAGGAATTCGACGATGTCCTCGGCGCCATCGGCGAATTCGGCAGGTGGCAGCAGATCCTGTTTGTCCTGGCCTCGCTGATTGGAATCATGACCTCCATGAACAACTTAGCCCAGGTATTCTTGGCCGGGGAGGCTGACCACTGGTGCCGCGTGGCCCCCTGGGACCAGGCCAACTGCACCGATACCGGTCCGCCCGACGACTGGGAATGCCTCCTGGAGAAACGCAACGCGTCCATCCCCCTGGTGACCAACAACAATAGTGACAAAGCCTACGACCAATGCGAGATGTACGACATTGGAGAGAAGCCTTTCATTCCCGGGGCGAATTCTAGTTTCTACGAAACCAGCAACACCATTAAGTGCGCCGATGCAGACGGTTGGGTGTACGACACAAGACAGTACCAGACAACTATAATTACTGAAGTAGGAACAGAGCTTCAATCCTAGTAAACATTTTTGAAACACATTTTATGTGACATGTGTTCTCCAATAACAGGGCCCATAATACCTTAACTTCGGGCCTTGTAAGGGCCTTGTTTTCCGGTCTGACCTCTTTCACCCCTTAAAAGATGAGGGTTAATTTAATGGCTTGGCATTGAGACAAATACTGATATGGTTACGTGACAGCTGGAAAAAAAGACTGTGCCTAATGGTTTCATATGTTATCGATAGATGCTATCGTCAATTTATGAAAGGCGATTGTTTTGGTTGGTTTCATTTCCCTTCTTTCCAAAAGCGTTTATACCCTCAAAATATGACCACACTCCTAAGAAAGGCCACGAAAGGTAACACAGAAAAATTGCAACGTTTTGTTTGATAATAAAGTCCTAATTTTATCCTATAACAAATCGTGAAGGGGGTGACATCTCCTTTTGTATCGTTACGATTGTTTTTACTGAGAACAGTGTAAGGTTTGGTCTTGTTTTGTTGACAGTTTGAATGAACATGTTTTTCTCGCAGTTCGACCTGGTATGTGACGGGACAAGCTTGGTCAGTCTGGCTCAGTCGATCTACTTCGCCGGATTGCTGGTTGGATCGTTCGTATTCGGTTCTTTGGCTGACTTGTAAGTACTTTTGGAAAGTGCGTGAGTTCCGGTGGTTAGTTATTAGGCGCTTTTGAAAAAATACTACTCTCACCCGATTTCACAGAGGAGAAGGACTGGCCATGCTGACAGTTTCATACAAAGTGTGTAGACTGACGGGATTTAACTTTGGCAAAAGGGTTTACCCCGCCCACTCTGACGTGAAGTTGAACCGGTCCCGGTCATGACCACTTGCCCCAAAAGAACTTTTATCGAAGAACAAAGTAATGGAAGCCCGAGAAATGTTTCGAAACAGTCTACCCTCAGGGAATTGTGATTGGCAAAGCAGGTCTCAGAGCATGAGACTGATTTATTAGTTCCCTAGGGAAATTCCTGTCGTAGAATATTCCATTCGACGTTCGTACAGAGGCGGATCCAGGATTTCCAAAAGTGAAGCTTGGACTAAAAGTTTGAGGGTCGCGGCCGTAAAATTAGGGAGGTAACCGGAAGCAGAACTATTGTTTTCTAAAACTTAGTCGCATTTAAGGGGCTGGGTCCCTCTTTTTCTTTTTATTTATTTATTTATTTATAGTATTGGGTGAAAAGGGGCGAGGAGTGCGCCCCCACGCCCACGCCCCCTGATCCGCCCCTGATCTAAAGTTCACCAGAATGAAACGATCTTGTCTTCTGAGGAAAAAGTTTGATTGCATTGTTTTTCTTATAACTGGCTTACTTCAGGTAACAAACACAGTCAAGGTGCTGACATTTTCCTCGGATGAAATTGAATCCCCCTTAATTTACCCTTTCAAAAAATTATGCTACATTTTCTCAACCCACATACAGGTTGGGTCGTAAGCCTTCAATCTACATCGCCACCACACTTTTTCTGGCAGCTACTCTGGGTAACGTCTTCTCGCCCAGCATAGTCGTGTACATGGTGCTGCGTTTCTTCGTTGCGGCCGGGGGAATTGGGGCTTACCTGATGTCTTTCGTTCTTGGTAGGTTTGTTTGTTTGTTTGTTTTCAGAGTCACTGCCAGCAAATTAATAGCCTTTTATGTCCTCGGTAGCTTTCTGTGGATGAGTTTTGGCAGAAAACAGCCTCATTATGGATGTTTTGCATTCGGTAGATTTCTGGGTTTTTATTGTTGTTGTTGTTTATTTTCTTGTTTTTGTTTTGTGTTTGTTTGCTTGTTGTTCTTATTCTTTGTTGTTAGTAAAAAAGACTAGCAGACTCGAATGTCTTAAAATTATTAATTGAAAAATCTGTCCATTCTTTTTCTAGAAACTGTTTGTTAATTTTGCACGCCCTCGGATGATTCAAACAGATGTAACGAGTGCATGCAGTGCGTGTAAAAATTTGGCCGTTGATTGAAAATGCTAATTTATATACCAACAAACCTCTCTAATCACGATTCTGTTGAAATATTTACAAAGACTCTCCTTGAGAGCAGGGTCGTGGAGGAACGTTTTGCGATTAATGCATATGCTGGGAAATCATTCTCCTGGGCGTATAGTTTCCTTGTGTTTGATGGCACTGGAATGCCGGGAATGGCTCGAGCTTGTTTTCCCACTGCCGGCCACCAAATATATTCTACATTTTCTTACTATCCGATTTTGGAAAGAAAATAGCGCAAAGTACGTAAAAAGTAAGAGGAAAAAAATTAGTTTAGTTTACAGCGCATCTGTTCTCTGTCCACAAACTGCAAGCCTGCTACGTATCGTGAGATTTGCTTTTTGCTCACTCCAAGTACCAGCTTGCGTCTTCGTAACCCGTGAGGTACATGACCCGTACCTTTGAACAATCGCCAAACAAAACAAAGCAAAACAATTAATAAATAAAAAAATAACAACAGCGGGATTAGGCAAATGATAAACAATCAGGTTGGTCAGTGTTATCAGGGTGGATCAAACTAAACGCCCAAGGCTAAAGTCCGGATTGATAGGAGCCCACATTTTCGCTTTTCATTATTGTTGGTACCTAAAATCAATATTGTTAAAAAAAATTAGATTTCGATATGAAGAATGACTACTATGGTTATGAGCATAAAGAATTTATCATTACTCGAGTCATTACTCCAGGGTTCATTCGTTATGATGTGAATTTTTCTTGGAACGTGTTTCACGCCATTCATCTAATAAAATTAAAAAGTATCCGACATCTCCGTACTCTCAATTACAAGCCAATTCTTGTAAAGGTTTTGTACTTTTTCCTGAAAATTGAGAGTGTTGTCAATACTGGAAGACAACGTTCATTTTGAAAATTTTCTGCAACAACTGTAGACCCACAATTCGCTCTTTGGAAATGTAAAAAAAAATCAAACAAAAACAATCATCGCTCCCCTTGTGTCATACACTGAAACAAGAATTAATCCAAATTTTAGTGCAGAAATAGTGTAACAATGAGCCTCGAGCAAGATCAAGAGAGGGCGCAGTTTTCTTGAAAATGGAGGTTCTTTTGGTTGGAACTGAACTTCGCTAGTTCACTAACGACTATGAAATGCACGCGTCGCATCGCTACCAACAAAATGAACACTCCCGACCAACATGGCTCTTTTCAACCGAAAAGTTTAACCCGTTTGCTTTCCCGTCCCTTAAACATTCCTTCGTGAGTCTGAGGTCAAAACGTTAACCCATTTCTTTTGTTGAACCTTCATTACAGTCACTGAGTTCGTTGGCCCGAGCAGGCGTGTCCTTGTTGGTATCTCTGTCCAGTTCTTCTTCGCAATCGGCCTCACAGTCCTGCCACTACTTGCCTTCCTCATCCGCACCTGGAGATTTCTGCAACTCTGTATCTCACTTCCCACTGTCCTGTATTTACTTCTGTACTTGTAAGTGTCCTCTGCGGGCCACCGTACAATCGCTGTCAAGCCGCGAACCAGTGAAGGTGCAACTCCAACATGGCGTTTTGGTCGGTATTTCCATGGTCTCATTTTGTGGTTTGCTAAACATAGCGTTCAACACCTAGTATATAGAAATTATTCTGCAAAAAGAACTGGTTGCTACCCTCAAGCGTATTTTGTAATGTATTTTGTTGGTCATTGATTGCTTGTTCATTTTTGTGAGACACATTATTTTTATAAAAGGTTTTTATTTCGGTGTTTCCATTTTTATTTTCAGGTGCCAAAATTAAATGAAAAATAAGATAAGATGGAAAAAGATAAAACCTCGCACCCTTTTCGTGCACACACGACACCAGTTGTTATTAATACACTTGCAGCAAAATATAATTATCAAAATAAAACAGCTTATAAGCAAAATGCAGGCAATTAAAGGAATCTCTTATAGGCTAACACATAATTATACTTCTATGAAAATTTTGAGAAATAAAGCAAGGCGAAAAACCAACAGCAGCAGGACGATTTTCAAGGGGGGTGTAGATGTAAGACTAGCAGAAATCAGCTAATAACAGACCGACCCGTTAAGCCCCGCTCCATTACAGGACCCGCCCAAGGGAGGGTTCACACGGCATGCACCTATGTATTAATGGAATAAGGCTCTTGACGCTATAAATTTTATGCAAATCAACATATGCATGTCGGTCACACGAAAAGTTAATTTGGGTCAAGCTAAATTATATCTGGGCAACTGGAAGACAGGGCAATAATGTTATGTGTTTTCTTACATTGACATGACCGTTTCAATGGGAAACTCGACACAGAATTCAATGTTTAAGATTCAGATTTTATGATATTGACCAAGTTCAAGATTTGTTGGTGGTGATGGTGGTGTTTGACTATTGGTGTCATCCACAGTTATATGCCCGAGTCGGCTCGTTGGCAGATGTCCAAGGGGAAATACAAACCCGCCGAGAACACACTGAGGAAGATAGCTGCGACAAACAAGAAGGATTTCCCCGAAAAGATGTTCTCACCGGAGAGCATCGCAGCTTCCATGGTGAGTAACGAATATCGTTTTTACAGTCGAGGTTTAGATAAAAGCAGTCGTTATAATTATATCGAGAATTTCGCTTACTTCCTTGCTACGGAGAACACCAAAGTCGGATTTTATTCGTCCCCAGGAAAAATCGTCATCGGGACAGCAAACAGCAGTTGGATTGTTCCGCACCCCAAACATGCGCATAAAAACATTGAATTTAATGTTCAATTGGTGAGTTTAAGCTGGAACTTTGTTGTTATTGGTATCATCCTTGTTGCATTTTAAAGAGCGTATCTCACAATGTCCTTTTTTTCTTGATTATCAGCCGTGAACCGACAGTTGTCTGTTACATATGTGTGCATTTATAGGTCTGTCCATGGACAGATCTCCAGAAGTTTTACTCATAGTAAAAATTTTATTTTTACTTTTTTAAAAATTTACACCCCATTCATTGACCAATTTATCTTCCTCTCAGGTTTGTGAATAGTTTGGTGTACTACGGTCTGGGTCTAAGCACCTCTAATCTTGGCGTGGACGACTATCTCGCCTCGGCTCTCGCAGCGCTGATCGAGTTCCCCAGCTTGATCTTCTGCATCTTCGCACTGCAGTACTTTGGGCGGCGAATCAGCCTGAGCAGTACCATGGTGATAGGCGGCATTGCGTGCGTTATCACTGCATTTCTGGGTAGGTCAAAGTTAGGCCAGTCCTATCCTAGGCTTGTGCCAAGGCGATCGCAGCGATTATTCGACTTGCACTGCACGCTGAGCGTTGGTCTAAAACTAGCTGGTTTGATTCACAGTATTTTACGTTAAATAATTCAGTGGTGAAAAATTTTTGTTGGACCGATGGACCTTTCCACTAATGAATTCATAATTATGTAAGCATGTGCATAATTGGCAACGGCGGCAAAAAACGTGAGCGGCCCACTAAAAATGCACAGGGGCACATAAAACTTTGGGGTCAATATCTCTCGGATTTGCCAATCACTTTTTAGGTTTTGTATTCAGAAAAGCCTATAATGTCGCTGTGGCAGCAACATTTCTAGTTTAGGAGGGTTTTTATGTCTCACGAACAAAGAACTAAAAATCTTCTCTCGCACCAAAACCACTAGGTCGAAAGAAATAACGGGGCTCCCTTCCAAATGTGTGCAGTAAACAAATTAGTGATTCAGGGTACCTTGCCCTGCTATCCAAATTGTAAGCGTGATGTCACTTAAGTTTAAATCATGCATAAAGAGTTACATGGAACCGGAAGTTAACATGCAACTTGAGTGCTCATCCAATGGAAGCTTGGGCCGTTTTCCAATACTTCAAATTCGTCTCCGTCTCAGGCTTCCTGTAGGACACCAATCCCTGAATGTGGGACCTGAAGCGTTTAACTTAAATTGAAGTACTGTTATGTTTGGCTATTTTGCATCTTACTTGATGTTTTGGCACTATCAGACTTACTATTGCGCTTCCAACCTCAATGTCAGGAAGTAAAAAACAGTTGAAGTCTGAGATGGAGCCCAAGCCGAGTATCGGCAAACGGCCTTGCAATCAGTGGTTCGTGTACGTTTTGCGCATGTGTACAAAACCAGCAGTGTTTCTAAATGGTGGTTTCGTCACCGTACAAGTCTCATCTCTGACATGAAAACCGTTACAGGCATAATGGTGCTAACGGACAGATATTTTCCCTGCAGTTTATTTTGGCAGTAGCAAGTCATTGCTTTTTATTGGGCTAAAACTTCAGAAAGCAAGTACAAACCAGTTAGAGCGGCATAGGCCTACATAGTTGAAGCCGAAATTTGAAACACCAGCAATTCGGCTCTTGCAAAATTGTACCCCAAAGTTTCAAACAGTTCATTTTGAGCTCATGCAAAAGGGAAGAAGGGAGCCCTCTTGATTTTTGTCGATCTCGTGCGCTTGAGACGCAACAGATGTTTGAAGTCCCTTTTAAACCAGAAAGTATAGTAATAATTAAACAATGAAAACGACAACGAAATTTATACCCATTTACATTGATCTTATGGACCGCTCACACTTTTTGTCGTTACGGCCATTGCGCAGGCTTGTGAATTTATCAGTGAAAACTTGAAAAGGACCATTACTCGGCCGGGCAGCTGGCCATCAGCGTGAATACTAATGCAGACGTCATTGGTCCAAACCGCCTCCTTACTCCTTACTCATCCGAAAGAGATGACGCCATCTTTCTTGTGAATAATTGATATTGCTACCAACATTTGGTAGCAGTAATCAAGACAAGCCCCCAAACCCAGTTAATAAAAGTGGTTGTGCGCTAGTCTTTTCTCGAGCATCATGCATGCCTCCTGCAAGCCATCAAGCACTTGCAGTGATCGCCTCGATTAAAGGCTGGGCGATCTTGAATCGATGTTTGCACCTCAGCACAACAAGCTTAGACTCCTGAGTTTGCCTTAAAGACTTTACATAAAATCTAAAATGGATTTTCATTTTTCCTGCGGTTTATTTATCCTTCTGCAGAAATGGGGGTCGCGCGGACGGTTATCGCGATGATCGGAAAGTTCTGCATAGCCGGTTCATTCGCTATCATCTTCGTGGTGTCAGGAGAAATTTTCCCAACTCCCGTTAGGTGAGCACATTATAATCACGTTTTCAAATTCCATTTTGTGTTTGATATCCCTGCATATGAACTAAACTATCATAGATATTCTATCAAATGATCATGTAAGGGAATTTGCTCTATGAGTGGGCCCAAATATGCATTGTCGTTTCCCGTTTAATGTGATTGTTTTTATTTTAAATGTATCCGGCCTAAAATGTTATCCCCGTCTACAATTTCTATACCATTCCTATGACCTGAGGGCGCTGTTTATTCTATGCATTAGGGTACCCAATTGCAGGGTGGGAACGGCCGTTTAATGACAAAAAAAATGCAAATTCTCATGAGCGTAGACCAGAAAGACCCCGAAATACTCTTATAAACTGGCTTTGCAATATAATGAGACCAAAAGCGAAGTTACATTGAATCAAGAGGTTCATTTTAAAGATTGTTTTGAAGAAAATGTCTCACACCGCCGGGTATACAGAGATTAAAATCTGGTATGATCTGTGCCGGCACTCTTCCTCGCAGGAGTGCAGGGATGGGCCTGTCTTCCGTGACGGCACGCATGGCTGGCATCCTCTCCCCGTTCATGCTGGACCTGGAGGACCTGTGGGCGCCGCTGCCGTTCGTGCTGTTCGGGAGTCTGTCGATCGCTGCCGGCCTGCTGGCCTTACTGCTGCCGGAGACGAGGAACACGAAGCTGCCGGAAACGCTGGAAGAAGGAGAGGCCTTTGGAAAGTGCGTGAAGAGTGTATCCCCCCCCCAAAAAAAAGTGCAAGCAAATATTGTATATTTTCAAGCAAATAGTTTCGTGTGTTATTTATTAATAACATGGTTGTTAAACAGGGTAATAATAAAGGGTTTGCACTACAAGTTTTGTAATGGTTCCTTACATGTTCAAGGAAACACTACCGAGTACCAGCTGCAAGGGGTTTATGGCTTGATTGTTTCTTATCTCATTTGCTTTCGGCGTTCCAGAGATATATACGCCCAGTGACACAAACAATCACAAATGAGTTTTGGCCACTTCTCAGCCAGGAAAGCTTATAGTTCTTCTTGTAAATTTCGACGGGGATCTCTTTGTGCCTGCTAGTTTCAGTGCCAGCTATGGTCAGACCAAAAATTGTCCATCGCAGCGTCTTGCAAATGCTAACGCGAAGTTAAATCGAACTTACACTGGGACATCTCTCTGTGCTACTTTTAAATTTCAGTACATGTTTCTCGGAAAAATTTTATTCATGCCACTCACTGGGTTTCCGCCATTGATATGTTAATGCCTCCACGCGTTTCTGAGAACATTTGTTTTTGTTTTCCTCACAGGCCGAAGTGTCTAGGAGGCAGCGCCCAGGATGTGGAGGATAGTAGTGATGTCACTATGGTAACGATTAACGTGACTTACCCAGACACCAAGCAAGGACTAGATAATGTTGCCTTTGAAGAGAGAGAAACCCAAACAGACTGGCCACTTCCAAGCATTTAGACAAACGTCAAATGGTAGGATGAGTATGGGCTTCAACATTAATAAATAGTCAGTGGTAAGGTCTTTGTGGACAAAGAAAGAGGGCGCTATGTATTACCCAAGTACGGCTGTGACGAGGAGGTACATAAAAATATTGATCATTATTTACATGTACATATTTCTTCATCTAATTTCAATTATAGTATTGAAGCTCACTTTTTATTATTATTTTTTTTTATTTCAAGCTTACCAATTTCAAAAATTAGAAATGTGAATGCGTTTTTGGTATTACGGAAAAAATGGAGGCATTACCACCCAATGTAAATGCGTATTATGTTAATAGGATGTAATATGGTATTTGACTTAAATACGTGAAGCACAGCTCATTATTCAGATGTCACAATTCCTTTCTTCCTCGATATCCCGGATGTTGTGCTAATAATGATTTCTATATTCATGACTGAAGCATGATGTCGTTCAAGCAAGAACGAGAGTGTGTCCGCAGCTTTCTGTAAAACGACGTGCATCACACTTTTAGTTATAGTTGTTTTTCGTGTTATACAGTTTGTTGTGACAAACGTGGTGGCGTGTGAATGTCCGAATTAAGTCACCCTCTCATTTGTCGTTTATTGAAATTAATTTACAGCCTCCCTTGGACAGCGTTGCTTTTGTAGCCATTCAGGACATGCACCATATTTGCGGAAACTGAACGTTTTCTGTAAATCGCTTCATTTGTAACGATTGTTTATATTTAATTTGATTTAATCTGGAGCCTCTAAGAAAGGTTCATGGATAGTATATCATAAAAACAACATGAACATCACTGAACAGACGTCATAAAGTTGTGGTAACTTTTCACCGTGTTGACCAAAGTTTAAGGGAACTTCTTTCATCAATAGATTAATACTATTTATGCTACTCTTTTACTACAGTGATTGGGGCACAGGATCCCTGTTTTTAAACTGTTCGACTTAGTCTTTCTTTCATTCGTTCTTTCGAAGATTTGTTCGTTAGGCTATTTTGAAAATTTTGTTCGTTCGAAGAATTTGTCCTCAGAATGTTTATTTCCTCAGTATTTTCCTCTATAGTTCAATTTCAAATTAAAAAGCTCCGTAGAGATTCCTGCACATATTTGGACTGGACCCCGTCCCTGTTATATATTAATAGGGACCGGTAGCTAGCTGCGGTTTAACGCGTGCAATTAGCCCTGTCAATTGGGTAATGAATGTTAAAGCTTTTGTCAGGCCAATAGTAATACCTAAACACGTTTCAGTGCGGAGGCTTATGAAACACAAGTACCTATCTTTGCTAAGCCTCTGTTGATGACAGTGTGGTAATTTAGTTTTCAATGACTATCAGCGATAAACCATTTTACGGCAGTTTATTTCAAATCAGTGGTAACTGTGTTAAATCTTAGATAAGTGATCCGTTTATCATGGTAAAGTCAGTTTTGTTAACGAAGGAGAAAAAGCAAAATATGTCATCAACTCCTGCTTGATTTTTGCGTTGAGCGGGCGTCGCTTCCTCATTTACATACACCCGGTAGAATCCTACCGGATTCATTACCAGCTATCGGTTCCGACGTTCGGAAGACGTCTGGAAAATACGTAAGGGACGGGAGCCAGTCTAGCTCACATTGACACTTTCGTATTTTAGGTTCCATTTAAAACAGGAAAATACTTCTAATTAGGAAGATTAAAAAGAAATTCATTAATTCATTAAGATTATATCTAAGAGTTGAGATGTAACCTGGGGTTTTGTAATATTGAACGTTCTTTTACAACCAGCGAAATGGTATAAACATTGTATTATTGTGATTTCTCCAACGGAGTAGTGAATTCGGAAATAAATTTAACATGTGGGACCAAGTAAAAAAAGAAATTATTGTTGGACCGTTCTATGACCAATTTGGGTGGTACATGATTTGGACGTTTTGAAACGTCATGAGGACGTCATTAAATGGGACTATTTTAACAAGTGTCCATGCTGTGATTGACCTAAATAATGGTGGGGTGGATGGAGCTGCACCATTACATTTGGAATATTCATTAGATTCTTTTCCCCTTGCGCTGACATCGAGATGACATTATCTGGTGATCTTATGCGGATATTATGAATATATTCGAAGTCCGACAGTACTAGTCTTGTAGCCGGCTTGCAACTACCTTGATGGATGCGGAAGACCCCATTAGTCTTTTGCAAACAGATATAAGAGGTTTATTTCCCCTCATTACGACTTTAATGGCACTCTCTTGACGAACACAAATCTGCAGTTTATGTTATCATGTAACTCAACTTAGTGCATTGTGAGTTAAATTGGCCTAGTAGTCCCAAAACGAAGTACACGTTGAAAACTTTACCCAATAGATTGACCTCCTTTCTTTGGCCCGGCCGGCTTGGGGACGAGGTTGCGCCAAGTTTCACCGACGTCATTGCACCGAGTACGGGTAAGTCAAATCCACATTTGTGACTCGACTACTCTGATCACGTACGTACGTACTCGGTAGACTGTGGTCTGTTTCGTCACCGTCGAACTTCACGTAAACAGTAGTCACTGCTAACTTACCACATAACACAGCCATTGTTGAGACATAAAGTTCTATTAGTTCTGGGAAAATGGCCTCTTTCTTCGGTGAAGTGATGACATTACCTTCTCGAGCAGTTGACGACGATGACGAAGAAGATGATGAAACGCAATCACGTTTTCCGTAAGGAAAACGCCGGTCTAGTTTCCGGATGATTGTTGGACTCTCTTTGCTTTAACATGTTTAAGTTTAACTGAAGACAAAGGGCCTTGAGACGTTGATTAAGGCCAAGGCCTTCAACTGCACACAATAAATTACCTTGCGCCCCCTTATATACTAATTCAGTGAGGAATGACTTTACCAGAACTTTTACCCTAATCTTAAATGCAACAACTTTGACATTTAGCCTATCTTAGCTCTGGCCTAGTTGTACATGTAGCTTGTTAGGCCTGCTTAAAATTTACGAAGTGGCTGTCGTTACGACAGTCGTAACACATTTCTTATTTTCTGTCGTTACGGCACTGAACTGCGCAAGTGCGATGACGTAGCTTATCATCACGACGGTTTATACATTTTAAAATTTCCTGGATTTTTGAACGCTTGTGGCCGAGTGGTCAAGGTGGAAGGTTTGGAACCACTGGTGTGTGGGTTCGAATCTGCGCTAGGACTATTTTATGTTTTATACCATTGGAGGCTTTGGAGGATTTTTTTTTTAAAGGGAAAGAAAGTCTGAAATCTGGGCTTAAGTTGGCACGCTTGCGCAGTTGCAGTGCCGTAACGATAGAAAATGGGAGATGCATTATGGCTGCCCTAACAACAGCCACTGCATACAATTTAAACTGATGTTTGTCGAAGGAATGATAAATTATGCAGGTATTGCAAATTTGGTGGACTCGTTCTTTTAATATTGATGTCTGAAACAATCATTACAAATGTCTTCTTTCTGACAGAGTAACAAGTGATATTATGGTCTAGCATGCATTACATGCATGTTCCAATTCAAAGTTACACCACTTCAGGGAAAAATGAGTGATGCCTGTGTGAGGGATTTGTCACTTCGATTAATTCACTGTTCAAATGTTCCACCTTCAATTCGATTGAATATCTGAATATTTGGTCTTACTGACCAGCAGATTGTCGATGGTTAAACCATTATACAAAATCAGTTGCAGTAACGTACAGTTGTACGTAATCACTAGCTTCTCACGTCTAGGAGTATCTCCAGCCATGATTTAGCAAGATTTAAATAAGACTTCTTTCCCTGTTCGAAATTTCAGTTCCTTTTAAGTTTTGTGATGAATAATTTACATTTTGAATCATAAGAATTCTGTCACTTTTCATTTGAATCTGCTTGAAACAAGCCTCCACAGTGCAATTTTTCTCATTTAAAACAAAAGAAAAGTCTCCATTGCTTTTCATGAATTTTAGCATTCGAATATTCAAATCTGAAAAATAATATTCGATAATCGATCAAATATTCGGATCTTTGGCACCGCCTGTACAGTATATGGAACTCTATAAGTAGATTAATTGCATAGTACATGCACAATGTAGGCCTAGATTGCTGGATATTTTATTCTATTTTCTTAATTTGTTACTCCGGCGGTTTGGAAGGATTTCCAAATATGATAATGATATGACAATGCTATGATAAAAACTCACTGCCCGTGTTCAGTTGTTATACCACAGCAGAAGCATACAGTATCTGGCAAATACATGTACCCACTTTATCAGCCGTGCCAACAACCACACCAGAGAATGTGCATAAATGTACATGTACTGTATACTTGTATGTGCCTGGTTGCCCTTTGTACTGTCACTTTAGCAAACTTTCGTGCACCAGATTTTGACCAAAGGCCTTCCAATTTCCTGGCCCACAGCCAGACATTAACCCTTTTATGCATTTCCTCTTCCTGTTCACTGTAGGGAGCCCCAATTGCAGTGGAAGCCGGATTTCCAGCAGGAGATTCAGCAGTCTCCCAGGGAGCGGTTCAGCTGCCAATTGCTCGTTATCGGCATCGGGCCTGCAGCAACAGGTACGAGCAGAACTATGGAGTCTCATTTCTTGAGAATCTTTCATTTGACGTATTCCGTATGTTCAAGAATCTAGTGGCACCTTTAGGTTTGAAGATTCTTCGTTGCATTTGCCTTTTTTGTCGTATAAATGGCGAATGAAATTAATGCAATGGTTGGAATAATTTCATGAGGCGACAGTTGGTGCGTTCCGTTCCAGCATAGTGGGTAATTTTACCTGTCACCAAATGAAACTACATGTAAATTCTTTCCATTGCACAAAAAAGGAAATGCCGGTAGTATTTTCCTTCTACAGTTCACGTATAAATCCACACCTGGACTAAATACCTGCGTGAGCTACAAGTTTAGAAATGTCATGCCATGGTGGATTAGCATACGGTACATGTACATACATGTATTAATGAATGTCTGTGAAAACAGGGGTAAGAATAAATTCTTGAGGTGACCGATTGCCTTTGGGAGTAGAAAGATCACTCAATTGGTCACCAAATGAGATGATGCTTTCCACTGCACTAACGTGAAGCATTCATTGTTTGCTTCATACGACTCTTGAATAAATCATGCAGAAGCTTTCCATGCAAGTTTTAATTTGCCAGAAGTAAAAATTCAAATGAAGTTTTCACATTCCACCTTAGTTCATGCCTGAACAGACGATCGCGTGTGTCTAACAGTGTCCTTTGATAACCAGTTTAGATATAGAAGCTATTCAGAAATTGCCTTATCTGACAAAAGACAAGCTATTGCCAGTGTTTCACTTGAACTAGTTCCAGCCAGAATTTTACTTTTGCCAACAGGCCTACTGCTTCCATGCGCACTGTGCATTATTGCAATAAATTATGTCATGTGGTCCTCAGTTACCAATCAGATGACGGGAATCTGATTGGTAGGTCATCAATCATGTGCCATTGACTTATACTGTATTTTCAGCAGTGTGACCTTGGAATATCTATACATGTACCCTGTTAACCCCTTCGCGTTGGGACGCGGCAAGACACGCCGTAAAAATTGAGATCCTTAGCCCACTTTTCAGCTATTATTCTCGACCCACGCTCGAGCGAACACGGTGAAAGAAGGCAGACCCTGGCTCTTGTATATATGGTAATTGGCCTTTGTGTGTAGCCCAAAAATTAAAAGACCGAATTTGCATCATAATCACCAGCAACCAGCACCAGCAATAGTCCCCACTTTGAAAAGAGGCAACGAGAATGTGGAAGCGTGAGTAGAGCCGCATGCCACTGAACAATCAGCCTTTTCACCGTGTAATTCAAAGTGTGCAGAGCACGCAGGGCCACAAACCGAGAATTTGCGGGTTGGCAGGTGGCCTTTGTGGCCAAGCGAGGCTGGAATTCTTGGAGTCGACTTTCGGAAAGAGATTCCCGTCATCAAGGGGTTAAAAACAGCGCTGCTACTGCAGGGTAGTAAGGCACGCTCACGGTATTTCACACAGACAAAGAATGATCAGGCGTGCGCATGCCTCAGGGAAGACACAGTCATGACTTCTCAGGCATAACAGAAAATTTCTGTCACCACTCAGAACTTGAAAACTTGTGTTGTGCTTTATGTTAGATTTAGGGAGAAAAAGGGCAACTTACTTGTATACAAAAAGGGGTATTGTAAAAGAGTTGTATGAAAACAAATTGGGAATGTTTCACATTGTAGAAGGGAAAGAGAAAATTTCATTTGGCGAGGGATGGAATATTCCATTTCCATCACACCATGGAAAAGAGCATTCAGTTTGTCACGTCATGAAAGTATTCTTACCATAGCGCTCAAACTTTTTTTTTAATAAACCGTGGATTAGACAGATTTCTTTTTGCTGCAGCTACATGCTATGCTTTGGGATGAATTATTAAGACCGGTGAAGTAATTCAGCCAGATACAATGTTCCATTCCACCTGGCTTCTCCTTGTTGAATGGAACATTTCACCTCTCACCGAATGAGATTATTGTTACGATTGCATGTATATGAAATTTTCATTATTTGTTTCACCTGCATACCTGCATAAATCCGCCTCTGTTAGGAGAGCAAATGGTCCTGCTCGCATATTACCCTTTATCCTTTTGTGAAACAGATTTATCCACCAATGAAATGGGGGGAACCAGTCAAGTAAAATGAAGTTCTATTAAATGGGTATCGCTGAGCAGAATGGATCATTTAATGACATACATGTACAGGGTGTACATTAACCCTCCTATGCTGAAGTCAGTCTTTGGGTCATTTGGTGAACACCTCAAGGAAGCACAGCTGTGTTGTGTACTGCACCAACAGTCCCTCGCAGGAATATCAGATTGCATTTTTGTGCTGCCCAACAACTGTGCTTCACTGTTTCATGTGCATCATTGTGCAGTAAACCAAATGCAGTGAAGAGGACTGCACAAAAGACCCTGGGTCATTTTGTGCTGACAACCTACTGTGTACACACTGAACCTGCGCATGTTCGAGTTCCATATAGAAAATACATGCTCACCAGTGACTGTGGGCATGTGTGCACATTTGTGCTGTAAAACCAAAGGAGGGTTAAGAGATTAATATAGCTATGCGGCATCTCACACACCATTTTGAGGGCCACAGCCAGAAAACTCAAGATAAGAGCTTCCAAATGACGCCTTTCTTGCCTGATCATGTTATTGCTTAAGGGCATACCAATGGATTGAAATCATGGCACCAAAACTGCACTGGTTCACTTATTGAGCCTCGTTGCATTTCACTTGACCAACTGCCACACCTTGATTGTGAATAATATCTTGCCTGGGTATGCAATGGGGTTTATTCAAAAGGCCTGGTGTGTCCATTCTGGCCATCAAACAAGCTTGGTATCACAATGGGCAGCTAACCACTCAGCAGAGAATTTTTATGGTAAAGACATTTCAAGAAACTAAAAGTTTGCAAGCCACATGGGATGCTTTTCGAGAAGCATTCAGAGACAGAAACACCAGCAAAGAAAACAATTCGGGTCAATGTTAACAAGTGTGAAATACATGGAACCAGCTTGAACAGGACCAGAGGTCACTCAGGTTGGCTGTTGATGTATGTGTGCTAAATGAATAAATAATCTTTCATTAAAAGAGAATTTGTGTTGATTTTGTTTGATATGAAAGTGAGCCAACCATATTTTTGCACCCTAAAAATTCTGGGTGATGGTGCTCAATCATGCATGGCCCTGGACAAGAAACCTTTTGTGTCATTTGAACACTCATAATCTCTACTTTAAAGTGATACAATGATCCTTGTTGAAGGGCATTTAGTATTGTCGTACTGGCCCCTTAAAGTTGGATTACCTTTTTTAACAAACACTCGGTACCATCATCTTTGTGATCAACGATCCATCAATCACATGACAGGAATTTATGCAGGTACGTGTGTTGTATAGAATTGAATTCCTATCTTTACTCCTTTAAACCAGGCTTCCTGGATGCGTATGTACTTTGGGATGACCCTAGCATTGTGGGAACTGTAAAGTGTAACCCCGAAAAGTCCGAGGTCAGGCCAGAATCGGCTGCTAGTCACGGCACAAGCCCAGTGTATCGGCTCAAACGGCAACCAAATGTTCTCGTTTGCCAATGCAAGCATGATGTGATTCCGGAGGTAACCCACCTGCTAACAGAGAAGGTATGCGTAACTTACCCTGCTGATATTCATCATACTTGATGCAGAGGTCGTAGGTCATAATTACCAAACAACCAATGGCAGCATGATGTACATGTACGTGTACATTAGACATTGTCACTGACACATACGATGCATGTACTCGTTAGACTTGACCCGCGAATGAAAAATCTCAACATGACATATTGCCTCGTTTTTGTATTCTATCGGTGTTGCAGTTCAAACTGGTCACAAGACCAGTCGCATGTAACAGGTGAACAGTGACACAGGAACGCTTTTGTTACTTGAATAGTTTGTGACTTGAATTCAGGCTGGAGGCCTTGTAGGGCGAGGTAATTGTTCTCAGAGGTTTCCTCAAAATGTTTCTTTACATTAAGAGCCCTGTTCTTAATAAAAAAAAAGCCTATGTTTCTGTCTAGTACTAGTTGGTGATAAAAAAATATAAAACTGTCAATTAATGTTCACATTGACAGCGTGACATTGATTCCATGGTGATATACCTCTTACATATCCATGACCTAATTCTATCCTCCCATTGGTCACTCCTAGACATGCTCTGTGTGTTAGATTCCCTGTGGGGCTTTTTCAGCCTAAGGCCATGCCCAGAGTTACTTGGTTTTGGCTTAAAATTGCGCACAACCCTATTGACAGTGGCTGTAGCCGCTATTATAAACACATGCGCAATTTCAAGCCGCAGCCGAGTAATTTGTACCTATGTGTAGCCTTAGTCTTGTACTATTGACTCCAGGCAGGAGCAGTAGTACGGCACTGCACGTTACCCCGGGAGAGTCGCAATGCAGAGGGCATGCCATGCACATAACTTGCTTGTGTGCAAGCTGTGCTAAGTTCATGCGGCGGATTTTCATCAGAATGTGCACAATCAGTGGCTTCATCTTAAACCCAGTTTCCATGTCAGGGTAAAGAGACAGAGGAAGCATCAACAAACAGTCCCCATTGCAACCCATTTATCTGTGAAATACCCACAGATTTTAGTGCAGTGCGCCCTCTGTTGAGCACAATCAGTGAGGTATAATGTAGTGAGCTTTCTTCCATAAAACTGTGGGTTATTAAAGAATTGCAAACACTCTCAGATCAGTTTGCACCTGTAGTTTAGTCATTCGGAGGGTCGCTTTATGTGAGCCAAGGAACAGCAGTCGGAATCTCTGTAGAAACTTTTTTCTGTGTTGCAATTTAGGTCATACTCCAAAGTGTCAGTCATAAATCAAATAGCAAAGTGGTACCATAACTCAAAAGTGTCGGCAAGAAGTTAAGCTTTTTCAACGCTTAGTGCATTGTACAGGCCGCAGTGTACATGTATTGTGTGCCTATTTTCCCGTTGAAATTAAGGATTAGCCTGGGTTGCCTTGTTGGTACATGTACAAAATTACGGGGAAGTGGTTGGCTCTACTAAATAATGCCAACACCGATGCAAACATTCAGAAAAGTTGGATCCTGTCTTTGCACGTTGCCGGTTTTAAATCAGTGCCGGGAGACTGCGCCCATAGGTACATGAATGCCGGCTCAACAGGTGAAAGAATCCCTCTCACATAGTGCCAAGAATTTTGCGTATTTTCACTGTGTGACAAAGAAATGACATGCCGGATGTCAACAATAGTAGCTTAATAACTGAAATTTATTTAAAAAATTTGAGTCCACACAGGCTTCAAGAAATGGTATAACCACCTCAAACGGGCATTTTGAAGGATCCTGTTTGAGTCTTGGACACCATTTTGTATCAGTGTTTGGTGAGCTGATGTCACAAACAGTTTCTTCATCTGCAACTTTCTTCATCCCCGTTATCAGCTTCAGGGTCAATCTTTGAGGGGTCAGTTTTTGATTTTTTTTTTCCCCCAAGTAAATTGATGATTTTTCATCCCTTTCATCTCTTTTCTTTCAATTTTTTTTTTTGCTCTTGTCTCTTTTTTTTAATTTGTTATTTTCAAGTTCTTGTTGGAGGGGCCTTACGATGCCCATGGGTGTTAGCATGTTGCATGATTTCAGCCGTCGTTATGATCTCACTAAAACAAAGCTCTACGGGTGCTTAGCACAAGGCAGCAATCTGATCATGCGTACAGGAAGACGCTGTGAGTTCTTTCTCAAACATGCAACATTTTTGTGTTTTTCTCCTCCTCCCCCCCTTCCCCTCGCAGATTTTCTGTGACATTGACACTGCAAGTCTGGAGGTCGTTGTCTTGGACACAGCCCCGACGGCAGAGTACAAGACCCACATGTCGCCCTCGGATGTCTCAGCCCCTTTCCTACGTTCTCTTCGTTCCCGAGCGCACACCTCCAAGATGCAGTGCCCGGTCCTGGAGTCACCAAATGCCATCAAGGGACTCTGCGCTGCAGGTGAGCTCTGTACAATACTTCGATTTGTGCACAAATTTTGGCATTAGAAGCATCCATAAATGCTGTACATGTACCTAACCTAGTTTCTTCATTCGTATGGGTCAAAAGCTCGTCTCATGGATGGTTTTAACGCAATCAATAGGCATTTTTTTTCTGGTTTCTTATGAAATTTTGACTTGCATTGTAACCCTCCCACAAGGGAATCAGTGATCTAACTGTTGTCATGTACCAGTAACACAGAGCAGTGTTTTAATCGAGTCCGTCACAAGTCCCTTCACAAGGCCAGTCATAATTAACAGGGTGAATAATGACAAATAGAACACATGTTTTGGCTTTGCACGACTTATTACCTTTTTTTGCAGAGCGGGTCACATTTTTTACTCTCATTTGATATTTTCACAAAGAGGGTAGTTTTAACCAGGACAAAAAAGTTTGATGGCGCAGTTCATAGATAGGGAAGTTAAAGGCCCATATCCAGATTTAAATTCTTGCGCTTAAACTGCTCCATCAATTTTGACATCCAAATTACATAAACATTCTGTCCCGAGCAGTTTTGCTAACTCCCAACCATCCCCGACCCTAAGTTCTAAAATCCACTGGGAGACCCATTAGAAGTTTGCGTGACCCAGGAAGGCAGAGTCTGTCTGGTGTTGATATATTGTGACAGGAGGCTGAATGCCTCTTGTCAGTGAAACCCAAAGTTGTTTTTTCCAGCTGTGTGGAAGACCTTTAAGGGGACGAAAAGTTCCCTGTAAAATTTCCAGGATGGTTGAGACTAATGCTCAGTGAATTGGTAAATCTATTAGCGATACTGCTCAATTTTGGCACAGGCCGTGAGAAACCCAAACACTGCTGCTTCCTATTTTCCGTGTAAAACAGACAGTGTGTATAAATTCAGCAAACAGAGTTGTTTGTCGAACATCTTTGGACTGAGGGTCATCCAATACGTTGTCATGTCAGGGCTGAAAGCATATACATGTATGTATTTGTAGTTATAAAAAGAATGCTGTGAAGCAGAGCATCGCATGTAGTGAACTACATATTTCCAGCGTGTAGAAGTTATGTAGGTACATGCAGATAGGTCATTCTGTAGTTGAAAACTTTATTTGTTTTTCTATCAACGGTGACATATGAGTTTGAAAGCTTGAAGTTTGAATGCGCCGGTTAGTTGCATGGTTGCTTATTGCAAATTATCTGCCAAACGAAATACATGTTACACACAAATGTCACACTTTTGAACCTCAGATTAATAGAATGGTGCAAATGGGCAATGGAAGTCACTCCAGCCAGGAGTAGCCCTAGTTTTTTTGTTTTTTTTTTGTCTGACATGACCACTGTTGATGCATCCAAGATTTAAATGCCGTGAAATGGGAAGGTTTTACTTTCTCCTCATGTCGGATGCTTGGTGTGGGAACCTTGAAATACAATCTCATCAACTTCAAGTTAAATTCAGGAAGAACTGTTGATGTATACATTGTAAAATCTCACAAAGTATGGTACTTCATCTAGATATCTGATGTTGTTTGTTATTTCAGTGCTAAGCCATTGCCAAATATTTGGTGTTCCCTGCATGGTCTACGTTGGCTTTCTAGATAGCCTATTTCTGCACACAGATGATATCAAAGTCTTCAGTCCACTTCTGTCAAGCAGTCCTATCCAGAAAATTTACCAGGTAATTTTATGAATGAGTTTAAGACAGAAGAGAGCGCTTTTTAGTCTTTGGGGGGAAATTAAAGATGACTAGGTTGGCATGTTTCTTTCCAGTGAGACCTGTAGCGAGTTACAAAGGTTGCAAAGCTGTTACGTTAAGCATTAATTCACACAGCAGGAGTTTGCCAGTGCTGCCTCCCTTTCAACTCTGTTTCAAAGTATTCTTTAACCCTAACCCTACATAATACTGCAAATTACTACTTGTAGTAAAATGCAGTACTGAGCGCTGTCGCTTGTAAGAGGAAATGACTTTATTGTTCTGTGAAGCCATAAGATACAATAGATAAGACAATGTACCATACAGTGCTGTGGCACTATGAATGCATGGCTTTATTGTTCTCTGTATAAGTAACAATGGAAGTAACCTAGCCAGAAGTAGTAATCTGTAGCGCTAGGTCCTTCAGGCTCAGGCTATTACTTGGTATTTTGTAGTACTGTATAGTGTAAGCCAAACAATATGCTTGGTGGTTAGGGCTAATGTTCCGGCAGCTGGAACTTTATAACTGCTCAAGCACACCCTTGGAATGTGGGATGGATCCATGCCAGTGAGGCCCCTCCCCCCCTCCCAAAATAGTAACAATTCCTGTTTCCCTACCTGCTGGTTCCCTATTTTGACGGCACGACCTTCAAGTTTTTTTTTAGTGAAAGAAATGCGTCCCTTTAATTTTGAATATTGTGCAGAAAAGGCTCAGGGCACGCAATTAGTTCCCTTTAAAGTGTTAGTCATTTGAAACAAATACCAACCAACCTTCTTTCTGTGACTTTCACCCAGTTAACACTTTGTAGCTACACACACTGAAACACTACCAAAAAAAAAAAAGGCCAGTGGTGGATCCAGGTAAATGGGGGGCGGGGGGAGTTTTGAGACATTTTGCATACAAAGGGGGGACGTACCACATGTAGTTGTCGCCGTTGGGGATGCCATTTCATCTTTACATGTATGTCTTATCCATAAAGAAGACCCCTACATGGTTAATGTTCAAGAGTGTCTTCCAACATTCACTCTTTAAAGGCAAAGGAGTGTAAAACTCACTCTCAGGAAGAGTGAGTCCTCTGTAAAACCACTCCCAAAGAGTGAAAACCATGCTAGAATGAGTAAAAAAAACATTCTAAATGGAATGAAAACCACCTCAAAAGAGTGAAATTTCCACTCCGACAAGGATCCATTCCTTCATGTGGCTCCTCTTTTTGAGTGAATGTCACTCTTTTGGGAGTATTTTTCACTGTTTTTAGAATGATTTTCACGCTTTTGGAATAGATTTATGAGAGACTCGCTGTTACTGAGAATGAAGTTTTCACTGTTTTGCCCTTAGAGAGTCAGTATACGGCCCCCCTCCCAATAAACTAAACGATCACCCCCAAGAAACATTCCTGTCTACCTACATGTACCCTGTTTTCCAGATGTCATGCTATGGGTAACGGAATATGTGATGCGATCTGCAAAAGCTTTCACACTGTGTGCTTTGTCATTTGGGTGCATATAAACTTCCAGTTAATATGGACATGCACTTGTTTTCAGATATTAGGCCTGTGCCAGGTACCCGGGTACCCGATGTTGACAAAAAATGAGTACCTTATTCCAAAAGTACCCTG